GATATAGAATTGCAGAGTGCAACCCGGAACAGAGAACACCAGCCCCAAAAGGAAAAGAAGGAAAGAGAGGCTCTTTTGGGTTCGCGCCGCGATGAGAGAAGGACATGGCGACGGCGCACAGTGGGCCAGAAGACCGGTGGAGGCGGCCAAAACTCTGACGCGTTTTGAGCTCCAGAGGCGCGGACTCTGTCATCCGGCGGTGCCATGTAGAGGCCGTGCATGATGAGAGTCTCCTTGGGGTCCTCCCAGGCCTTCCCACGGCGTCAAAGAGTCAAACGGCCGGGCCAAACAATCGCGCGTGATCTGAATATTACACTTTCTTCGCCTCGCCCGAACGGGACGGCGGGCTGCCCGACCGCGACGGCATGCCAGTGCACTGTAAGGCTGTTTGCTCTGCTCGCGCCATTAAGAGCGATTACCCGCGAACAATGGCGTCGGGTAATTTGGGTCGGCGAGCGACTGTCTCTCTCGCACTCACGGGGCGGCCCGCAGGCCCGCACGAGTGCGACAGAGACAGAGGCACAGACTGCGCGGGCACACTGGCGAGACGGTTCTCGCGTCACCTGCGCCATCGCCACGATTGGCGGGGCCGTCAGCCAATCGGCGCCACTTCCGCCGTGCTCTGTCTCTCTCGCACCTGTACGAAACGCCCCGTGAGTGCGACAGAGAGAGAGAGGCCGACGAATTCGGAATTGGCCTGCAGTGCAGGTCACCGCGACGAGTTCGCAGACGGTCCCCTGGAGTCCAGGACTGTCCAGGACTCGTTGGTCCCTTCGGGCTATTCAGCAGGACTGGACTGGACAACCCCCCGTGGGGCCCTGCCCGCCCTACTGTGGGGCTGGGGTGATACCCTCGCCCGGCCTGGCCGACCGCAGACCGACCGGGGCGGGGCGGGGCGGGGCGGGGCTCGGCGAGGGGGCGGCGCGTGGCGGGCGATAGGCGCAGAGTACAAAGTGTTGTACGCTTAGGACCGGGAGCATTGTTGTCCACTAGTTGAAATTCCAGCCAGACGGGCATGTGGCGGGCGTGGCGTGGCGTGGCGTTGCGAGGGGGCCAGGTCCGAGGTGGGAGGTGGGACTGGACCCCTGGGCCCTGCCGGACGTTGGGGCCGGGCTGACTGGCCGACCGGCGCGGTGCTCGGTGTGGACACGGCCAAGGGGGTGGGCGGCGGCGGCGGCGGTAGCCACTGGTGCAGTCAACGGTCCGTCGGTCACTTTGGGGCGTGGCGGGGCGTGGCGGGGCGTGGCGGGGTGCGGCGGGGCCCGGCTCCCGGTTCGGAATACCAAGGACGGCGACCCTCTCCGCCCCGCCTGGGCGGGCACGCCTGGGCAGCCCCGAGAGGTACGCCTCGCCGCGCCCCAAGAAGACCACCGCCGCCTGCTGCCCCGCTGCCGCCACACCGTGGTGGCCGCCACTACGCACGCTGCATGAGATGCCAACAGCATTGCAGTGCAGTGCCACCCGTCACAGCCTCGGCACCATTTATAGTTCCTCTAGGGAGCGGCCGACCGCCCGTCCCTCGTCGCCGGCCCTTACCACCACCACCCCTCTTTTTCGTGCCCTTCCGCACGCCCCCGCGCACCTTCCCGCCACCCGCACCGACCACAACAACAACAACAACAGTAGGAAAACGACAAAAACGGGGACGGCATTGTACGGCGGGCTGCCCGCGCACGTAGGGCGCTATGCGGCGCTCTGCGGCGCCACGGCGTGTTCCGGAAACCCCTTCGCCTTTTAGGCCGTTGCTCGCCGTGCCAGCCGTGCTCGCCCTGCCTCACGGCCTGCTCGGCGTGCAGCGGGGCGCTACGAGTGGCGCTGCAGGCTGAACGGGTCCTATTCGTCGCTCTGTCTCTCTCGCACTCGCGGGGCGGCCCGTAAGGGCTGCGAGAGAGAGACGGTGCGACGGGCAGGTGCCGGCGGCCGCGGCGGTGAAATCGCGTAGCTTCGCTGGGGGCGGAAAGCAGTTACCGCTGACTTCGGAGCGCGGGGGCGGGCGAGGATGGGCACCCTGTGTGGCGGGGAGGTGGGGGTGGGGGCAACCAGTGCAGCAGGAGTACAGGCCCCGTCTGGCCTCACTGGCCGAGTGAATTTCACAGCCCACCGAGCCTATAGCGGGCTATCGCCACTGATTGAGCGGACCGGCGGAGCGCAGGGGTTTGGGGGGGGGGGGGGGGGGGGCAGGTCGAACGGACGGAGAAAAATGCAGCTGGGTTGGAAGCACGCACGGACGGAGTTCCCTGCTGCTGCCCGTGGGTGTATGCAGTGAAGGGCCGATTTTTCGCCTCGACGTAGCGCTGGGCTTCCCCTGGTTTTCCCGGGTTTTCCCGGCCGCGTGGCCCCTCGAGCCGAGGGCCGAGGGCAGCGGGCAGCCCCGTCGTGGTCATCATTCTCGATGGGAGTGGGGAGGGGGTGGACGGGGTGGAGGCAGGGCGCGTAATCGACTGCGCGATTGGAAGCGGGCACCCCGGAGCGCCTGTCAGGTAGGCAACCCATCCGGCTGGCCGTGGAGCTGGCCTCGACGTCCGCGACGTCCACCAAGGCCGCGCGACAAAGACAAGCAGGGCCAGCAGGGCCAGCAGGGCGGATGGCTCATGACAAGAGAACGACAGCCAGCAGGCCAGCAGGGCCCCACCCCACCAGTAACGGTCCTCTCAAAAGGACACTGGCTGCAGGTTGACAGTTGCCCTCGTCGCTCCGTGACAGCGAATCGCACTGTCCTCTGCGAGAGGGGGACGGACAGGGGGACCGCGGTTGCGGCGCTTAGTCTCGAGATCAAAATCGAAGCGAACGAAACAAAACGGAAAACCGAGGGACGGTGCACACTCACACACACACACAGGCACGCGCTGCTCGTCGGACATGGAAGACATTCGCATTCGCCTCTTCGGCCTGTGTCTGCGCCTGACATGTATCCTGCCTCTTTTCCTTGCAACCCTTGACGCGCCCCGCCCCGCCCCGCCCCGCGGTTCCGCCTTTGCGTCTGCCGCGCTGTCGCCCTGTCGTGTTATTTTCCAGTCCCTGAGCACCGATCGCAAGGCCCGGCCAGGCCCGGCTGGCGAGCGATGCCGAACAGCGAGGCGTAGGAGGACGACCAAGGCACGGCCAAGGCATCGCCAAGGCACGGCCAAGGCATCGCCAAGGCATCGCCAAGGCCACCCCGCCATTTTCCATTTTCCATTCTCCATTTTCCCGCCTCCAGGTGGTCATCCCCCGCGCGCCGTAAAAACTGAACGAATTTCCCGACCGGTCCTTTTTTGCGGGTCGGTGACGCGTTACGTTTTAAAGCGAACGCTGTCTGCCCTTTTTGTGGTGTCGTGTTTGCTACCCCGTGGCGGCCCCGGCTGCTTTGGGTGGCCTCCAGGGCCCCGCGGAACGCTGTGGAACGCTGTGGAACGCTGTGGAACGAGCGGGGGAGGTACCCAGCGGTTTCTATCAGCCACGGTATAAGTTACTGAGTAATAAATCCAGTGGGGCCCTGGCCGCCCTGGCACCGACTCCCACGGGCCAGAGGGGCACTCGCTTTGGACGCTGTGGTGGAACCGTGGTGGAACACACCCCCACTCCCCAACTTCCCGCCGCACATTTGATTCCCAAATACAAAGAAAAGCAGACCTGCATTCTGTCGCTCCTTTCTGTTTTCATCTTATTTACATCCCCGCGGGCCGCCCCCTCCCCCTCCACAGGCAGTGCTGCCAACCGCGTCTCGCCCCTCACGGCGCCTCACGGCCCCTCATCGAAAGTCACATCAGCGCCTCACGTTGGCAGCCCTGCTTTCTTCGCGGAATTTCCCTCGGGTCATTCCCTGCCGCCTGCCTGCGCCTGCCTCGGTCGGCGCCGCGCCTACTCCACTCCGCGCACTGCGCTGACGCGTCAGCGCGGTGATTTGGAGCGAAGGGAACCGGCCGCTTACCGGTGTGGCATTTCACTGTTTATTTCAATGGCCATGAAAAAATTAACGTTGCAATCATTGTTTTTTGCGGCTGCATTACCGCTAAAGGAGTACTAACTGCTTTGCAGTGAACGTGTCAGAGTCAACTACCAACGTGAGATTCGCTCCCTCAGGATACTTTGCCGTCGCCGCCAAAGCGCTGCCATCATTCACCGAACCCGCCTCGGGACACGACACCGCGAACCTGGCTCGCTGCACGCACACTGCACACGGCCAGGCATTTCAAATTCCCGCCCTGTCCCACCTGACTGTGCTGCCGCCAGCTCGGTCTGGCCGGCGCCCCAGCACCGCCCCGACGAGGCTGCCGACACCGCCACGCTTCCCTTGAGGCAGAGAGAGTGAGATAAAGCCACCTGTCGGCTCGAGTCGGGGAATTGATGCTCACCCGGTGAGCCGGTGAGCCCTGCCGCCCCGCCCCGCCCCGCCCCGCCTTGAACCCCGGCACGCTCTGCCCGTTCCCGCAATAGCTGAGGTGAATTATGAAAGTCACAAAAGCATTTCCCCGAGAAGCGAATTCCCTTCCCTTTTAAACCCCCGGCAGGCGCGCGCGCCTTTGAGGAGAAATACCATTGTAGATGGAGTTATGACAGGACCGAAGGGACTGGGGAAGGCCCCGGGCGAGGAGGGAGGCGCGGCACGCGGACTCTGCCCCCCTTCCCCCTCCACCTGGAACGCCCCTTGTGCCCCGTGGGGAAATCAGGTTAAAGACCGTCATTGGACAGTGTGAGCACGAGGTGTCGGCCCGAAACAGGCAGGGTGCTGGATAGATACTGAAAAGGCCCCGGAGACTGAGTGAAACGCACGCAGCCTCCCCCCTCTCCTTTCGCGCCGAATCTTGCGCGTGTCAAGAATTTACAACTCACCGTCTTTTCTCTTTTCTTTTTCTAGCGGCCTTTTTCCGTTTTCAAAATCGCTCACAGAAACCGAAGCGAGAGCCCTTGAGAAAGCCCTCGCCGTGTTCGGCGCCTGCGTTCAAACGTTGCGCGGGCTTTCCCTTTCGCTCACTGCACGATTTCTCATCTGCTAGCCTCGCGTGAGGCTCGTCCGAGCCCTGAGTGTAAATAAGCGATCGCTGCTCTATGGGCAGGCTGACGTGCCTTTAACCGCGGCCACTGTGCTTAACATTACACGTCATGCGAAAATATTTGATTTTCCGCCGTTGCTGACGTTTTGTTTGCACTGAATAATCTGATTCCCATGCTTTTCGTGAGTGGCAGTCTCTTTGACACATGCACCGTTGCATCTCTCGTCTGGGTTATGACATATGCTAGTTTTAAGCAACTTCCTAACCATACTTTCTCTTCCAGTTTGAGCCTTCAAGGCAGGAGCATTTCACGATTTCTCAAAAGCCGACTATTCCTCGTTAAAATTTATCATGGCCAGCCCTAGAACTCGTCGTGTGCTACACGGGCTGAAGACTGGGGACGAAAACAATGTAAGAGTTTATTGCTAGGACCTTTGTAGGCTGGAAGGCTTACCATATTTTCTGTTTGTGAAAGAGCTTTTGACATTAATTTACATTTATTAAATTATATTCTCTTTGCAATTTGTATTTTATTCTTGAGTTATGAATTGGGGGGCTCTGAAATTGCCAGGTCCCCTACTTTCCTGTGATGTCATTTTGACTGCTTCATGTTATGTATCTAAAACTGTATCTTTCTCTTCCAGAAATGTTTTGAGTGTGGTGCATTCAATCCTCAATGGGTGTCAGTGACCTATGGTATTTGGATCTGTCTGGAATGCTCGGGGAAGCACCGGAGTCTTGGTGTACATCTCTCGTTTGTTCGTTCCATCAGTATGGACAAGTGGAAGGACATAGAGCTGGAAAAGATGAAGGTATTTCACGATTTCTGTACCTTTTTCTCTCCTATAACCTGTTGCCTGAAATCCAGTGATTCATATGTTCTGCTTATTATCGACTGACTCATTAATTTATTTCATTTTGCTCAGGCTGGAGGAAATAGGAATGCTAGGGAATTTTTAGAAGCACAAGATGACTGGGACGATTCTATGCCCATTCAGAGACGGTACAATTCCAAAGCTGCTGCATTGTACAGAGACAAGGTTAAACAATTGCTCCTTTGTTTATTTAGTCTTAATGGTTTTTTTTGGACTTGTGTAAATTTTAACTTGTTGCCTGCAGATTTCTTCTCTTGCTCAAGGCAAGGATTGGAGTCCCTCCAAGTCTCAAGCTCAAAACTATTCAAGTCCAGCAATGAGCCGGTTTGTTGAATATGCAAATGCATTTCAAACTCTTATTAAATGGAGCTTTGCATGAGAAACAATATTAATTTTTTTTCTCCCTTCTAGAAGCTCTAGCAGCCTCACAGAAAATGGGAGCAACTATGGTGGTTCATCTGGCTCCTATCAGTCAAGTGGCTATCAGTCTGGAGGCAATGGTGGTTACCAGAGCCCAGACGGATTTAAAAGTGATAAAGAAGCTTTCTTTGCTCGGAGACAGGTGGAAAATGCAGGCCGACCTGAGTAAGTGTGCCAATAAATCCGTAGTGATTATTGTCCTTAAAATTATTTTGTAAGTTGCATTTGATTATGCTTTCTTTTGGTTTTCAGCAATGTTCCACCAAACCAAGGTGGCAAGTATTCTGGCTTTGGCTATACAATGGATGCACCTCCAAGAAGCACGTCCCAGGAGTTCTTTGATACTGCTGTATCTTCACTGTCCAGTGTAAGGCAGCCACATTTGAGTCCCACACTATATAATTAATATTTTATTAAACATGTCTAAAGATGTTAATTTTCTTTTCTAGGGATGGTCCTTATTTTCATCAAATGCAACAAAGTTAGCAAGCAAAGCAACAGAAAATGCTTTTAAAATTGGAAGCATCGCCTCTCAAAAAGTGACTGAAATTGGTTCAACAGTTGGGGAAAGGGTCTGTAGGATTAGTGATTAATCTTTTTTTATATATATATATATATTCCCTACTATTTAATTTAGCTTTGTGCAGCCATCTTATCTGTGAACACAAACGTGATAGGCTAGACCAGGAATGATCAATAGCTGCTGTTGTATTGTTTAAGCTCTCTGCTCTGCTTTGTTTTAGAGTTTTTGCTGTTTGATAAAATATTTAGTCTATTTACGCTTTATCAGCCTATTTTTAAGCTGCTGTGTATAAACGTAGTTTCTTTTTTATTATTTGTTTGTTTTATGTTTTGTTTTTATTTAGGTAAAAGAAGGTACCTTAATTGACAGCATGTCCACTCAGGTTACATCCTTGGCTTCTAAGGTATGCTTGTATTGTTTACTTGCTGTTGTACTACTTTGGTGGATCAATGACAGCTGTCCATCTGTTACTGATTGGCATGCGAGCATTTCAATTAAGCTTGCTCCCTAAGCATGTTAATTAGATGTGATTTCCATTAGCTGTTCTTATTTCTATGTTGTGTGTATAATTTTTCATGCTTCCCTTGTTCATCCAATAATAGAAATTATGTTATGTTCCAATTGCAGATGGGGGATTTGGGCAGGAAGGGGTGGCAGGATATAGCTGGTACTAACTCTGAATTACCACCCCCTGGCCGAACTCCAGATGGAACTGAAAAAGCATCTTTGCTCATTGATGGAACACATAGGTAGGTGTCTTTTGACAATAAAAGTTAAGAACTGACTGACTCTACATTGCGTGTCTAATCTATTTGTTGTGCGCAGGCCACTTGGCCAAAGGGACAGCAGTGCCCCGCTTCTCAATGAAGGTGGCAGTGGGCGGCGCAAGTCTGCTGGGGCTTCACGCGAGAACAGAGAGAAGAGGGAGCCTCAAGAAGATTGGGGGTGGGGGGAAAATACTCAGTATGTATCCTCTGCCTTCCCCAAGTTTTTGTGAGAATTTTTTGTTACATTGTAGACTTGTTCTAATAAAGCCCCCTTTTTTGCATCTGTTCAGGATATCTTCCTCAACGGTATCATCACCGACTACAGAGTGGGACAACTGGGGATCTGGCGGCGCTGATACAGGCAAAGAGCGCGAATCTAGTAGCCGCCATCAAAAGCGAAGCAGTAAGAAAAAGTCATCTTCATCAGGGGGATCATCTTCATCCAAAGGAGCTAAAGAAAGTTTACTCATTGATTTTGCAGAAGAGAAGGGCAGTGCAAGCGGCGACTGGAAAGACAGCAAGTGGGGTAAAGAAACTACAGAGGAAGATCCATGGGACATTCTTAATAAGTAATTATTTATTTTGGTACTTATGGAGTGCATTAACTGGAGGTAGCAAAGCTACCCTGCTTCTATCCTCTTGCGGTCCTATATGGATATTTGATGTGTGTTCAGTCATTCCCTGCTTTCTGCTCATTGGGGTCCTTGACTAAAGCTCTCTAAAATAAAGAAAGCTAACTTCAGTACTTTCCCTACCAATGTTTCTTTCAGTTCTTAGTCTGATAGTAAGTCAAATTGCCATTAGTCATTTCAGCCCTTGCTATTCAGACTTAGAAAACATGTCAAACACATCCATTCCTTTAATGGTAATAATAATAACACTATTCCCTCTGAATTTGGTTCAATTCTTATTGCCAATTTTATTGGTGCTGTAACTGTATTGCACTTGGATCTCAAATGAAATTATTTTCACAGCTTTGCTAAGTAATTTAGGAAGGGTGTGCACTGTCATTTGGGTGTCATGAACTTTCTATTGGTTCTAGGTGCTTATTCATCACTATTGTATCCAAAAACAACCTGAAAACCATTGTATTTTCAAGCACACAGCATGTTGAGCTGTGAAATATCATTGTAATCTGTCCTAAGCTCTAAATCATTCAACCATTCATCGCTCTTCTGTGCTTCACATTTTGGGAAAATTGCTTCCTTCATATTTCATGTTTTATGTGTTCTTTTTAATGTCCTTTTGTTCCTCTTCAACCTTTCATTGGGGTAATAGCATGACATAGTCAGAGAAAAATTTGCTGGAAACCTTTGGTAAGTGTCCAGTGAAGATTTCCAGCAACTTTTTCTTCCCAAAGAGTTCCCTGACTATACAATATTTTGATTTTGTTCTTCATAGTTAGTATTTATATAAATTAAAATTGATTTTATTTAAATATTTTTTTTTAGTAATGTAATAGGTTTACGAGTTGATCTGAATGTTTCTGTGTACGAAACATCTGTAACTGTGAAACTAATTTACAGTTGTGTAAGGTAGTATGAACTGCCCCCAACATCATTTTGAACATGTCTGAACTACCTTACCATGAGGTCGGTTATTATTATCATTATATGATGTAAGACAGATAGAAGATAATATTGTTCTTTGGACTTGAGCAATTCAGAAAACTGTTGTTACAGATCACTTCAATATTTTAATGATACTATATATTTTATTTTTGTTAAATGAATTGAGACAAACATATGTGGCCAATGAGGACAACATATATGTTAAGTATTTTGATATTAGAAGCCTGGTGTGTTAAAGTGATTCTTTATTGTTGCCGTTTTAATTATTTCGATTATTTCAGTACCAGTAGTTGATTGTTGTATTGCTCATGAGCAAAGCTAGGTCCTCCCTGGGACAAAAAAAGAAAGAATTATATCACTTGTTAAACACAACATTTATGTAGTAAATACAAGATGTGTACATCAATATCCACTTCTTAACTTATTGATGATGTTTTATTGCATACAGTCATAATATTGGATTTATTGATTCTGTGTAGTGTGAGAATTCATCCAAAAAGCTATTGTGTATGAAATCATGTGATAGTCACATATGACTTTGGAGGGATGGACTATTTTCCTTAGGAATAATAAAATATATTGTCGCGGTGTTGCACAACGTAAATAGACAGTTTAATCCGATTTGAGTTTCTATCATTTCCCTCAATGATCATTCTGCATCGAGCTGGAGAGACACTGACGTCGGACTAAACCTGCAATCCAAGCAGTCTCGCTGTAGCAAAGGGAAAGGAGACTGCGGAGCGCTCTGTCTCTCTCGCACCCCCGCTGCCCCGCCGCACGCCCAGCGAGTGCGAGGGAGACAGAGCGAGGAAAGTACTGCTCGGAATGAGCCTGCTGCCGAGCGCCTTAGCGGTTTCAGAGGCAGCGCCGCCCCTATGGGCCTAAGCCACCCCTCGCTGTGGGTGGGGTGGGGGCGAAAGGGCGGGAGGCGTGACTACAACCCCTACACTCTCGGGGGTGGGCGGCGAGGGGCAGACGAGAGTGAGGCGAGTTGCATCAGAAATGTCATCATCCCAGCACGAGCACACGGGGGTCCTGGGCGCCTGAGTCACAAGTTACGGGGAAGACCGCAGGTCGCTTCTCGCTCTCACGGGGCGTGCCCCACGGGTGCAAGAGAGAGAGATAGAGAGAGACGAGGCGCTGTTCTGAACGGGACTACAGGTGAAGCGGGCAGTGGGCTGGCCGGCCCAACATCACGGGTTCTTGACTCAGCCACCTCGTGCCCCACCGCGGGACTTGCCGTGCCGCACGCCAGCACGCCAGCACTACACGCCTCTCGTCTTTTTCTGTCCCGACGAGATCCCCCGAGATGAAAGCATGTCTTGTTGGGGGAGGGGGGGGGGGAATGGATGGGCAGATGAGCAGGCGTAGCTGGAGCAGTGCCGGGAAGAAAGCGGGGGGGGGGGGGGGCAAACAGCTGATCGTGCCGGCGGACGCTGACCCAGCGAGGCGGGACGGGAGGGGAGGGGGGAGGTCCTTCCCTCCGCGTCCACCCCTTCCCCCTCCCCGCCTCTGGGGTGGCGGCGGGGCGGGGCGGGGCCGCGCAGGGGTCACCTTGGGCTCCAGGAAGACAGCGTCGCGTCGGCCAGCGCCCAGCGTCGGCAGCGACGCCAGTGTACCGCCAGTCTACCCCCGACGCTCCAACCGACCGCAGCGCCGACTCGCAGTGCAGGCAGCTTGCAGTGTGGTTACGCCTTGTTGCACAGTGAGTACGACGGGCACCGCGGCGCCGGGACTCGAAGACTCGAAGCGTGCTGCTTGCCGATTCGGCCGATTCGGGTCAATCGCCACCCTTCCCTCTGCCGCCGTGCCGGCGTGCCGCTCGCACTGGTCCTTGCGCTGTCGGGTCCCTGCACTGTCGGCCAGGCTGCCCGCGTCCGCCGCGCCGGCCGGGTTATCGTCAGTCTGGTCGCCGTCAGTGCGATAGTGCCCGTCGATCCGAGCAGCAACCCGTCACGACGCGGTCCTAGCGCCCTAGCGCCGCCGCACGCGCACTAAGCACGCACGAGGGTTCGCGGCGCACTGCGGGTTGCCTACCAAGCCGCGGCAGCGAGGGTGGCGCCTTCGCACAGCCTTCGCATACCCTTCACACGCAGCTGGTGAACGAGTGAGTGACAAGGCGGTAGAGAGAGGAGGCCGGGCAGGGCAGGTACTCTCGACGAGTCTCTCGACTCGAGTGCCTCGATAAGATTAGCGATTCGCCGCGCATTTCCTATCGGAACTTCCAATGCTGCATGGCGGCACATGGGGATGCGCGCCTCGCGCCCTCGTCATCGCAAAGCCGTAAAGTGCCATCCACCCAGCTCGACAGATTTCGGCGAGATTTCGAGTTCTTCTTCTTCTTCTTCCCGCGTTGCGTCATTTTTCTTTTCGTTTTATTTGATGGCCGCGGTTCCGACACTAGAGCCCCTCGCTGGCATTGCTGGCAATCCGAGAAGCCTCTGCGAATAGGGCTGGCCGACCCAAGGCCTAGGGCCCAGGCCCAAAGGCCCAGGCCAAACCGCCGCCGTCTCGACGCAGCCCATATGGCCGAACCGCCAAGCCCTTTGGGCCCTTTGGGAGGGGTGTGGGGCCGCGCAGGGCTCCGCAGGGCCGCTCGGGAGGGCCCCGTGCAGTAAAAAGGGCTACGCGGGCACACTCGCAGAAACAAAGGCGTGGTGTCGCGTTGGGTTCTCTAGCCGCGGTTCAAGAAGTCCATATCAGGTTTGGGTGTAAAACAATTTTTATTTGAAATATCAATCTTTCGGATACCTTGAATGAAAATTCGCTTGGAAATTATGTTCCTTAGCTGGTTCAAGGTTTCGAGGGGTTCAAATAAAACGTGTTTACTTTTGTCAGTGCAAGGCATGTACGCGGCGGCACGCGACGCCGCGGTGACCCTTTTGCCGGTGCCTTTTGCTCGGGCATCGATCCAAAACACTTCCTTGAGTGTTTTCGAGGAAAGCACACTCACGTACCAGCAGTACTTCCCTTCCCCTCCCCTCCCCTACCCTCCCCTCCCCTCCGCTCCCCTCCCCTCCGCTCCCCTCCCCTCCCCTCCCCTTTCTCCGCGCGAACTGATGCAACATCGACGTGCGCGCGGAAACAACAGGTGGGCGGGACGCCCCTCCCCTCCCCACCGCCACCGGCGTCAGTCTGCGTCGCGCCCGGCCAGATCTGGCTAGATCAGGCCCTGCCTGGTGACAATGACGTCAGAGTCACGAGACGCCCAGCCAGATCTGACTAAATCAGGCCTTGTTGACAATGACGTCAGAGTCACGAGACGCCCTGCCAGATCTGGCTAGATCAGGCCCTGTTGACAAACACTTCAGAGTCACGAGACACCCAGCCAGATACGGCCAGATCTGGCCCTCCCCCGCCACCAGCCACAGTGTCACGGGACACCATGCGATATAAAGCCAGATCTGGCCGCTTCTGGCATGACAGTTGTCGCTCCGTTTTCCAGGCAGACACTCTGACCGGCAATGAGTAAGAACGGACACGAAGGAGGGCACAGGCTCTCGGAGCAGCTGCTGAGCCCCGTCGTTGACAAGGTGGTGAGCAGCGAGTCCAAGATCACGGTCGTGGGCACCGGCCAGGTCGGCATGGCCTGCGCCTTCAGCCTCCTCTCGCAGGTAAGGTCGCGGGTTCGAATACCGCATCCGATACATCGAACCACCGGTGCTATTTTTCTACTTGGATCCTCTTGCCCGCAGAACGTGACGTCTGACCTGGTGCTGGTGGACATGGTGGAGGACCAAGCTCACGGTCGAGAGACGGCCTGCAGGCCGGCCCTCCACCTCCCTCGCGGGAACGCCAAACACCCAACTCGAACCCCCGGGTAAGGAAATCCTTTTCCCTAAAAAGTGACCCACGCCCCGGGGCGGTGGACATGGTAGGCAAGCTCAAGGGCGAATGAGGGCCTGCAGCACGGCTCCCCCTGCCTGCCCCCCCCCGGGGGGGCCCCCCATGGCCCCGCGGGGAGGCCGGGTAGGCAGTCCCGGCTGCAGCCCCGTTCGATGAGGCCCTCTTCATCCCCTTCACCCCGCAGACTACGCGGCCACGGCGGGCTCCAGGGTGTGCATCGTGACGGCGGGCGCGCGCCAGAAGCCGGGCGAGTCGCGCCTGGAGCTGGTGCAGCGCAACACGGACATCTTCCGCAGCATCATCCCGCAGCTCGTGAAGCACTCCCCCGACACCATCCTCCTCATCGTCAGCAACCCAGGTAAGCCGTGCAGCAGGCCGCCGCCGCCGAAACTCTGGACGCGTTTTAAAGTCCAGAGTCGCTAAGTGTGACTTGAACCGAACTGTGACTGTGACCCCCACCAATGGATTCCTCGCTCGGAGAACAATTTATTGGTGGGGTCACACGTTCGGTTCGAGTCCCACCAAGCGACTCTGGAGCTCGAAACGCGTCCTGGATTTTGACCGACTCCACCGGTCTGCTGGCCCACTGTGCTTCGCCAGTGTTTGCTCTGGTTTTCGATTCCAAAATGGCTTTGTCTCCCTCGCAGTGGACATCCTGACGTACGTGGCGTGGAAGCTGTCCGGGCTGCCGCACCACCGCGTCATGGGGTCCGGCACCAACCTGGACTCGTCGCGGTTCCGCTTCCTGCTGTCGCAGCGCCTCGGCGTGGCGCCCACCTCCTGCCACGGCTGGATCATCGGCGAGCACGGCGACACCAGCGGTGCGTCCCTCTGCCTGTCTCTCTCGCACTCGTGGGGCGTCCCCTGTAGGTGCGAGAGAGACAGAGCGACGGGAAGGACTCTCGCTGGGCTCCTTGATGTGTATTGTAGTGTCTGTCCCTCCAGTGCCCGTCTGGTCCGGCGTGAACGTGGCGGGCGTGCGCCTGCGGGACATCGACCCGTCGCTGGGCAGCAAGACGGACGCCGAGAAGTGGTCCGAGGTCCACCGGCAGGTCGTCTCGAGGCAAGTCGCCAGCGGGGCTCTCGCTCTGTCTCTCTCGCACCGCGACGGAGCGCCCCAGGAGTGCGAGCGAGACAGACAGAGGGAGGAGAGCGCCCCATTGATGTGGTTCCGTTTCCCCTTTTCAGCGCGTACGAGATCATTCAGCTCAAGGGCTACACCTCGTGGGCCATCGGGCTGAGCGTGTCGGCGCTGTGCCAGGTCGGTATACCAACTTGAATCTCCGTGCTTCGCTGCTTCATGTCCGAAACAAACAGGGTCGTTTGTTCATGCCACTCGCGCGCGTGTGTGTGTCCGTGTGTTTGGGGGAGGGGGAGAGCCAAAGAGTGTGTGTTGTGGGTGTACTTTCGCCCCGTCAAGGTGCGCCGGTGTTACCACGTAAGAAGGCGGCAACTCCCACGACGCACCAGTGCCGAAAGGGTTGCCAACCACAGCCTGCACAGCAATCATGCCAAAGCCCAGACGTTGCCTCGTAGTCAGGCTGTGGTTGGCAACCCTTTCGGCACTGGTGCATCGTGGGAATCTTCGCCTACTTACGTGTGGCAGCACTGAGCTGTGCGCCTGGCGGGCCGCCGAGCTCGAGCGCCTGCGGAGCCGAGGGTAGGCCACCCTTCTTACCGCCGCGCGTTCGGGGCGCCAAGTTGCCTAGCGCCGCATTGCCATTACCATTACGGGCTAGACCGCAACTGATCGTCGCGCGCAGGCGGTTGGCTTGACTGCGGCTGGCCAGGCCCACGTGGCCAACACGTGGCGTCCACTGCAGTTTGCCTCAGAAACGAGTCGAGTGCGTGCGTTGAAGCCTCCGTCAAATCAGTCACCTGATTCCGACAGTCGCTCTGTCTCTCTCGCACCCAAGGGGCGCTTCGTATCGGTGCGAGAGAGACAGAGCGACGAATCAGTGACGGCTGTCTCTGTTCCACCCGCAGGACATCCTCCGCAACAGCCACAACGTGAACGCCGTGTCCACGCTGGTGCGCGGCCACCACGGCGTCGACGACGACGTGTTCCTGTCGCTGCCGTCCGTCCTGGGCCGCCAGGGCGTCGAGCAGATCGTCCGCCAGAGGCTCACCGACGACGAGACCGCCATGCTGCAGAAGTCCGCCACCGCCATGGCCAAGGTGCAGGAGGGGCTGCGGCTCTTTTGAACAAGTTCCTCCGCCTCGTCTTCACTTCCACTGTCTCATCTTCTTTCCTGAACCATTATCCTAGTTGAATTTTCCATTCCGGTTCGTTGGCTACAGTTTGCAGCCATCAATCGACCTGTGTGCAGCATTTACCAGACAGCGGACGGTTATACTATTTGTGTAGCTCTCTCACGATTGGCTTTAACTCGCGCACTCGTATAGTTATTTATTTATTTGACTGATTTGTTTTAGGCATTTAATTTGTGTGCTATTGTACTACTTACTTCATCCTCTGTGAAGGTTAAAATAATAAGTGATATACCCACCGACGACCCCTGTGTTCTTTTTATTGGTGGTGCAACTGCACTGCATCCAGAACTTTTCAACACGTGGAGCCGGGGGGGAGGGGGGGGCACTCTGGGGGATTGCCCCGAAGCACGCCGAAGCACCGGGAGTGGTAAGTGGGAGAGGGACGGAGAACGGAGGAGGACTCAACCACCTTACGGCAACACAGCGCGGCGTGGCGCGGCGCGAACCGACGCGGACGAACCCTCCCGGCATGCGGGTTCAAAATAGCCTCCACCCGTCGCGACGGCGAAGCTGGGCGAAGCGAAGGAGGGGGAGGGGCGGGGAGAGGTGGGACGGGGCCTGATGCCAACTGTTGATCTCAGGAAGAACCACTCTGTACTCTAGAATCATCGCTTCAAATTGTGTATTGAGAAATATAACGTAGTACATGAAAAAAAAATAATGTTAGGTTCGCTCAGAGTGCAACCACACGCATCATCGTGGCGAAAGTCTCACAAACTTAAAATAAAAAACAAAACAAAAAAATAGTAATAGGGAAGAGAAAACATATGAGAACTGGGCGTTGGCATTAAAAGTGAGTGAATAAATAAAAAATAAATTAAAATAAATTAGGTAAAATGAAACAAAATGGGCGATGTAGGGTAAACAGTGTACATCTTTCAACTCGACTAGTTCCACTCTCGTCCATTGAAGAAAACTTAAAAACTTAATACATGGGTAAATGTAATACAAAGAATCTAGTCTAGATGCAAAATTATAGCAGAAGTGCCTAGTTTAATAATACTATTGTCATGAAGTATCACAAAGTAACAGTTCAAATGCTTTCCTTCTCTGCTTGGATACTCCTGTAGAAAGCTCCCGAAATGGCCTGGGATCGACTTAACTAATCATAAGTACAATAGACCATAACTTACTTATCGACAAACAAAACAGAGCAACGAGTAGTACAAAATGTCCCTCACTACCTACACAGTACCTTACAAAAATAGCTCTCGAAAAATACGGTTCAAGCGATGTAAGAAGCTACGTCGACGCAGTGAGGCCAAGACTGCCTATAAGACGCGCTAGTCTTGGCTTGGACAAGGGCTGAGGTTGATTGGAATAGACTATGGAGCGACCCTCTCGGGCCCAACGGGCACGCGACGGGCATCGCCACCGCTGCGCCCTCCGCGAGGCCCTCCCCTAGCTCGGCTAGCTCGGCGTGGCACTGTAACACCACGCTGCCGCTGCACTCCGTTGCGCCACAGCGCCGCAGCGCCGCGTCCCCTGGCCTTCCTGCACGCCAAGAAACATTGGCGGCCAAAGCGCCGTCGTCCTCGTCGTCCTCGTCCCCGCCGTGATTATGGCCGAGGCGCAGCTGCCGCGCGGAATCCGCCAGCAGGCGAAGAAGGGGCCCGCGGCCCGGGGCCCGGGCAGGGCGTCGACGGCCAGGGTCAGCGCATGTCGGGCGAGGACGGCGGCGAGGACGACAGCGACCTGCTGCTGTGGTGCTGGGGGCTGGGGGCGCGGCCGGGCGTCGAGTGTCCGCCGTGTCCGCGCAGACACGAGGCCTCCTCGTGCTTGTACAGGTACGACTTGAGCGCGAAGGCCTTGCCGCAGCGCGCGCACACGTGTGGCTTGGCGTCCGAGTGCGTCTGCACGTGCGCGCGCAGGTTGGACTTGTCGGCGAACGCCTTGGCGCAGACGCCGCACTTGAAGGGCTTCTCGCCGGTGTGCGTGCGCACGTGGCCCTGCAGCAGCCAGGGCCGCGAGAAGGTCTTGCCGCAGAACTCGCAGCGGCAGGTCTGCGCGTGCGTGCGGACGTGCATGGCGAAGGCGGGGATGGACACGTACAGCTTGCCGCACGTCGGGCACCCGCGCGCCTGCTGCCCCGCCAGCGAGCGGTGCGTCTGCCGGTGGCGCGCCAGGTTGCTGGCCGTCGAGTACCTCTTGCCGCAGTCCACGCAGCCGTGCGCGCCCAGCCCCGCGCCGCCGACCGCCGCGCCGCGGACGCCGCCGTCCTGGGGGAGGAGTGTCACGTCAGCAGGCATCCCGAGAGTCGCGCTGTCTCTCTCGCACCTAAGGGGCGTCCCATGAGTGCGAGAGAGACAGAGAGACGGCTCTTGAACAAACAACAACAGGTGGGAGGCCCGCGTCGTACTGCCGTACTCACGTCGTCGTGGCCCTGCTGGTCGGCGTCCTGGTCCCCGTCGGAGTCCGCCCTGCGGAAGTGGTGTCCCTGCGCGGCCGCGGCCGCCAGGCTCACCTCGGCCAGCTGCGTCAGGTTGAACAGCTCGTCCGGGACGCCGAGCGCCCCCACGCCGAGCGGCCCGACGCCCCAGGAGCCGGCCGCCACCGCCAGCCCCGCCAGCCCCGCCAGCCCCATGGGCTCACCGGGCGCACCTGTGCAGGCGAAGGCGAAAATAAAGTTGGCCGTTTGGGTCCAGGGAAGGCTGCGTGGGGTGGGGCCGTGCCTGTTGCGTCAGAGCGCACTGGGGGTAGTTCGGGGGTACTTCGGGGCTTCCCTACTCCTTCCCCGCCCCTACCCTCTTCCGGGGTCGGTGCCCTCGCTTGGCGGAGCGGAAGTGCTAGGTAGAGAGAGAGATACTTCCTCCGCGCGGCAGGGACGCGGCAGGGACGCGGCAGGGGAGCCATTCCCAAGGATCGTTTCGTCGCTCTGTCTTCGTCACCTTCGCGAGGGGTGCGAGAGAGGCAGCGCGACGAAACCATTCTTCCGAATGGCTCGGCATTCCCCGACGCGGCGAGCCGATGGCGAGCCGACCCAGCAACCGGTGTCGGGATATTTGGCACAGTGAACGCCGAACGGGCGCTAGCTTTTGGCTTGCCTGTTTCGCCGCCACTCGCCAGGACGGCGTTAGCGCGCTGGGTGCAGTCGGAGGAAGAGAAAGACTGTTTGCCGTCTCGCTCGCGTTACTCGAGCACTGGGTGACGTCACGTGGCTGTGACTCAGAGCGGGGAGGCGAAGGGGATCGCGGAGTGACCCCCTCGGCTCTCGGCGCGCGGCGCAGTGCGTGCGTGTCCACGCCTGTCCGCGGCGACCACCTGTAGGTACTCACCCTCGTCGTCCTCGTGGTCGGCGTCGAGGAGCTGGCCGCGGTCATGGCCACCGCGGCGCTCCACGCTGCTGCTGCTGCTGGCGGCGCTGGCGTCCGACTCGTCCGCGGCGTCCTCGTCGCCATCCTGGTCGCCATCCTGGTCGGCGCCCTTGCCCTTGGCCTGCGGGGGCGGCGGGTCGCCCTGCCGGTAGCGGCGGTGCGTGATCAGGAAAGCCCTCGGCATGGCCTAGCGCGCATAACGCCGCGGCCTGTCAGCCCCGCGCCACGACCACGCTCGCACTGGCGTCCCTGGCGTCGGCGACGGCGTCCCTCCCAGTCCCTCCCCTGGCCGGCCTGGGGGCCCGGCGTGCCTCCTCTGCGTACCGCGGCACGGCGGCGTACCGTCCCGCCCCGCTGTACCAGAATATCTGGCGCGGCGCGGCGGAGCACGGCACGGGGCGCACGCCAGCCAGCACCGTCAGCACACGCCGCACGCCGCGAGCACATGGCGCAGGGGGTGGGGGTGGCTCCGACTCCTGCCGGTGGTCGAGGTGGTCCCCCTCGCCATGCCGTCGCCGTCGTACCCCTGTTGTTGGTGGCGACGGCGGTGTTGTTGTTGGTGGTGTTGTTGTTTCCGGGGAAGGGGGCGCCACTTCTAGTGCAGGAAGGTGGTTGTCATCTCGGCGACCCTAGCCCCTGGCCTACGCGTGCCTTTGCTCCCGTCTCTCTGTCTCGCTCGCACTCATGGGGCGTTCCGTAGGGGTGCGAGAGAGTGTTCGGTATCGAGATGGCCCCCTTGGAGAGGGGAGGAGCGCGACCGCAAGCAGGACGAGACACGCAAGCACAGCGCAAGCACGCCCCACGCCTCGTGCGACCACTTTTTGCTTCTGCCCCATCGTTGCGTCAGCGCTGCATTTTTTGGGCTCCTTGAGGAGGGTGGCTCGCTCGGCACCTGAAAGTGTATACCGCCCCCTCCTTTTTCAACCACCGAGCCGAAAGACCAGACTAAAGCCAACTAAAGCCCAGACCTCCCAGACGGCCGCTCGGCGCCGTCTTGGAGGGGCAGCCGTCGTACTTGGTGCACTTGGTGGCGACGGCTGGGCTGACGGCCACTCCCGCCCGTCCGGCCCCGTCCGTCGGCACCCTCGCCTTGCGTCTCGCGGTGCGGGACGGGACGGGGGACCCACTGGGCAGGCGGGGCAGTCGCAGGGCAGGGGCAGTCGGGGCCGGGCCGGGCCGCACGGGACGCCGCGCTACGGTCTTGGGGCTTGGGGAGCCATATGTGCTTCAGCCTATTTCGGTCTCCTCGTGCGCGGTGGCGTCCTACCGCTGTACTGCCGGCACTGCCCCTCCACGCCTCGCCACGCCGCCCCGTCGCGCGTGCCAAGGAGGGTGCTTCGCACCCGGCCGTGCCTGCCGTGCACACGTGGACCGCGTCCCGTCCGGAGCCGCAAAGCCGCACAGCGCACGACCCCGAAAGCCCCGCGATGCAGCGGTGGTCGCGTCGCGCCGCAGACCGATTCCGAGAGTCGTTTTCGTGATCGCTCTGCCTCTCTCGCACCCGGACGGGGCGCCTCAGGAGTGTGAGAGAGACAGAGCGAGGCGCCCCGTCCGGGTGCGAGAGAGGCAGAGCGAGGAAAACCACTCTCGGATTCAGTCTTTGCTGGCCATCTGACTGATATCACCGCAGGGTTGGGTTGGGACTTCCCTCCCCACCCCCGTGACCACCGCCGAAACTGGGGTCCGAGTCCCACCCCAGCATTTTGATACATTCCAGGCTTGCTGTGCTGCAGACTGGTAGAGGAATTTCAGAAAATGAAAATGGAACCCTACGTTAACTACGCGCAGACAATTTACTCTCATATAAATTCATATAACACATAACATAACAAAGAAAGATTAACAAAAGACAATCACAATTCTTGGAATGTACTTAAACATCAGTCAAAAGACCTTCATTTTGAGCTTTTTTTTTTTAAAATTACCTACATGTAAAAATTTATGTTATCAAATCATCACTACTGACTGACATTATTGTAATCAAAAATATAATTACAATGAAATTCATTTAAAGTTGTGATACATAACATAACAAACAGGTGTTTAGACTAGCAAAGGAAATGACACAGTTCAACTTAAAAATCTGAGCCAAAATAAACATTATAAAATTACATAAAATCAGAAATCATCCAATACATAAATGTTGATTGCATACTTTCAAATGACAAAACAATCACCCAACAACATAAATCATTTTGGATCATTTACTTGCTGTTTCTGTTGCTCTCAATTGTGCTAGGAGAACGGCGTTTTTACGGCACTCGACTGTCAATTGTCTAACTGCAGCCACATAACTCCTTTCAAGTTCTAAGAGAGCAACCTGTTGTCTATTGAGTTTGTCCCTCCTGGCTCTCTCCTCATTCCGGCGCTGTTCAATCTGACAGTTAGAAAGTACATAAATCAGTGACACAGGCCATCTAAAAACTGTGGGTTATTGTAAAAAGTGTAGCAAAGAATACCTACCTTGATTTTATTTTGATTCACATTCTCAACTATGCTCTCAAACTGTCTGATAAACTGGTCTCTCATTGATGGAGAAGACAGGGCCCTAGAAAAGGAATGAAAGTATAGGAGTTTGTAAATTGATGTTTCAATGAATCCATGATCAACAGCTTCTCAAACTAGTCACTTACTCATGATAGTTTTCAAGAATTGAGTCCAACAATGTCAATTCCTTGCCCATATAGAGTTTGGTGTCAGACAAAGTATTGTACAGAGTATAAAACTGCTTTGTTTCCTTGTGTTTAGCAGCAACTTGGCTGTAGAGCTCCAAAAATCTGCGCTGATATTGAGCAAGCTCAGCACGGCCTGGCACATCATCCAGTTGTCGCTGAAGAGAGGCAGTTGTTCTTGTGGCACGTGCTAATCGCAACCTGACAGCAACCAAGGCCTCCCGCTCTGCAGCAAGAGTGGTTCCAAGTTCACTTATATCAATGCCCTCAGATCCTGTGCGGCCTTCTGCAGCCTCACTGTTAACAGAAATTTAAAAATTGATGGACAGTTCTGAAAATTGAGTTTATGGTGCATAATGGTAGATGCACTTACGCTGCCAAGGCTTGAAGGCGAGATAATTCAGATTGACACTGTTTACGAAAACGACTTTCCTGATCCTTAAGACTGTCATAAGTTTCAACCAAGGATTGAAGCTGCTGCACAGAGCTGAAAAATTTATTCCATATTTTTTTGTAAAAAATCAGAATATAAATTGTTGAAAATTTTCAAAAGAAAAGGTAAATTAAGTTGATACCTTTTGTTTTCTGAAATGTCAAGTTGTTGGAGTTGTTGTTTCAGCTCTAGTTGTTTCTCTTTAGCAGATGACACCCTTTCTTCAGCTTCATTAAGAGAGTTGCGTAGTTCATTGGCTTCAGCCATGAGCTTAGACTCTTTCTCTTTCAGCAAGTCTTTCTGCCTGGTCAGAGCCTGCAGAGCCCTTGTTGAGGCAGTTTGAGGAGTGGCCTGCAGAACCAAGAAAGTCCCAATATCACAAATAAGTACTGCTTACAAGGTTTCGGAAAAAAAAAATCAAATTTAAATATTACCTCAAATGTTGCCTGAAGTTTTTCATAGTGCCGAGCGGCTTGGGCTATCTCATCAGCCTGAAGATTCACTATGCTTCCCACCAATCCGGCTGACAGACGACTCTGAAACAACATTTGGTTTCATGAGTCTATGAACAAAGAAGCTTCAAAAACTGAGAGGCAACTTTTTTGTGAGGAAAACAGATAAACATATCAGAACCAAAAAAAGATCCTCATAAAACTAGAAACCAGGTGGGATCAAAGCATGCACAAAAATGGATACTGAAAAGCAAAACTCATACCTCTCGTTCTTCAGCAGAGGCCATGTTCTTCATGAGAGCTTTCACACGAAGCTGGACAAAACTCATACCAATTACTCAAGCACAAATTACAAACACAAAGCAAAACAAAACAGCTGGTAAGCATAAGTAAATAAAGACACACAAAACATCTATAGCAAATCATTGTTAAATTATCTGGTTAAAGTCAGTAACGCACTAGAAAAACATGCACAATTAAAAATGATAAAAAAGAAGTGTAATAAAAATTGGGAATCAAAGTGAAATTGGATAAGAAAAATACCTCCTCTGCCCTTTCTTGCTCCTGTAACTGAGCTGAAAGCTCTCCCTGATCAGGAGATGTTTCCTTTCCTTTCAATTGAGCCTGCAAATACAGAAATTTATTGATTAAGGGATTGAAAAACGATCATGGCAGAAGTATGTGAAGTCAGTCACACATCACATACAGTTGAAGACCGCCGCTGCAATGGACCATATTCAAGGAGGGTGCTGTGGATACGTGTGTCCAAGTCTTCGTCTAGCTGAGCAGGAACTTGACGTCTAAATCTTCTCTGAGGGCGATACGTTTCCTGGTATTGAATTGAAAATAAAACAGTTCAAACTAAGTGAAACAAGAATACTCAAACTTACGAAGCTCATTAAAAAACAACAGCAAATACTTCACTAACCTGTACATGCCGCACATTGGAAGCGGTAGCAAGTATCTGGGCATTGTTGGTTGGCTGGCCATAATAACGGTTGAATTGGTCAACAGCATGTGCACGCATCCGCTCAGCTCTCTCTGCTCTTGTTTCCATGGATCTTTTAACCAGCCACTATTGAGAAACAAACCATTGTTAATCACAAAGAAAAGTGCAATGAGATGTAAAATCAAACCTGTATGACTGGGAAAATGTTAATGAAGTCCAGGCCTTGTATCTGATGGGGCTCAATGCGGTGAGGGCACTTCATTATTGGCAGGACAGCAACAATTTTTTCAGTCAAAGATCTACAAACAAGCAATTAACAATGAACATTATGAACCCGAAAATCTGGGTAACAACACCCCCCAACAATAGACAATAAATGTAGAGGTGGACGTGCAGTATACTTACATGCGTTGACCAATAGTAAGATTTTCTTGAAAAAGAAGGTCAACATCAATATCAAAGTTGCACATCTCTATGCACCATGTTAGGCCTCCGACAACCTGAAAAAAAAAAGGAAACGATCCTTAGATTGGGAAGCCTACAAGCCTTAAATGGGTGACGCAAACTACAGTGTACGTTACCTTGTCGAAGGGAGATAAACCCTTGATTCGAGCCCGGAAGTATCCCGCGGCAACCAGCAGGTCAAGGGTTTCCTGCAGCTTGATTTGTTGCTCCTCATCTTCTCGAATCTCAACCTGTTCAATAAATACAGTACGGGTGAATCAATAGAGACAATATGATGACGAATGTCAGAAAACGCTTAAATGACACTAAACACAAGGCTCTTTCCAGTGCATTGAAGTAAAGTAGACAATTATATAAAATAAATAAAACCAATTTTACTAAGATTTGATAAACTTGCTAACCTCCACTTCCTTCCCATCAGCATCTAGTTTCGTTGACATTCGAATTCCCGCCTTCAGGCGGGGGGAAAATATAGTGCCGGTCCCCGCCATCGTGAACCGACGCTGGTAGCACCTCCAACAGACACAAAATATGACCAATATTCAATCAAATATTGTAAACAAATGGAGTTATGACACTCGCTTGTTATGAATGAATCGCCCCTGACTGGGGGGCGTGGGAGGGGGAGGGGGAGACCTCTGGCCGCGAGGACTTGGGCCGGGTCGGTGCGGCCAGGGTTCTCTCGGCGGGAACTCATTGCCGTTCAAACCGCGCGCAGCACCGGCTTTCAGCTTTGGCGGGTGCTGATGTTCATCTGGTGCAGACCGGTTCAGGGTTCAGGCGGACGGCCGCGAGGCGAGGAGCGAGTGGGAGCAGGCCTCGGCCGCCTCGGCCAGGCTCGCGGGGCAGGCCGGCAGGGCTCCACCGCGAGATTCGAGATTCGGCGCTGTAGCCAGGCAGTCAGGCAGTCCTGTCCGCCTCCCCCAGTCAGACGCGGAGGTGTCCAGGTTCACCGTTCCTTCCACCAAGGCAAGGGCGTCCTCCGCCATGGCCTCCGCGGCGTCGCTGTCGCTGTGCCTGGCCGTGCTGCTGCTGGCGGACGCCGCCGTCGCCAACGTGCGCGTCAGGAGGATCGTCGGCGGGCGCGCGGCCGCGCCGCCACCCGAGGACGACCCCGTCGTGTTCGTGTACAAGGAGGACCACGACGCCAGGGTGTTCGGGATGCGGGAGCGCCCCGGCGGCTTCTACGTGTACCGGGGCATCCGCTACGCCGAGCCCCCCGTCGGACTCTACAGGTTCCAGGTGAGGACCGCCAGACCAGTTGCGGAAACAACGCGTCAAGATTCTTTCCCGTTTCCGCCGACCCCGATGTTGCTGCTGCTCCTGTTTATCAAAAAGGGACACGGCAGCCCGGGCGCGCTATTCGCTATCCCCTGTGACCGCGGCACGCCACGGCAAGGCACGCCGCGGCTGGGCCTTCCCCCGCCGGGCCACGCCGGGCCACGCCGGGCCGGGCTGTGTGTGACTTATCTCCCATTTCCTGCGGCCTGCGGGTGCGGGTTGCCTTGGTCCTTGGTTGCCGTCGTCGTGATAGTTGCGCGATTCGCACTGTCGCCAAGGACGTCCTCGCGCCGTGCCGCCGCACTGCTGGAACTCGCGGCAATGGCACAGCACGGCACCTCAGTAATATGACGGGGGTGGAGATGGAACCCTTCCCCCTGCCTCCTAACAGCCCCTAAGCCCCGAGACGCCTGATGGGTTGACAATGTGCAGTGTCAGCAGGCACAAAACGCACTGCGCCTTGCGCCCCAAGGAGACCCCAGGATCTCTCAAAGTAGCGCCCGTCTAAGTACACCTGTTTGCTTCGCTTGCTTCGCCAGCGGCCTCGGCCGATGCGCCTGGAGGGCATCGTGAACGCCACCATGGCCGGCGCGCCGTGCGTGCAGCCGCACCCCGACGACCCGCTCAAGACCATCGGCAGCGAGGACTGCCTTTTCCTCAACATCTACTCCGCGGAGGTGCGAGGGCTGTGCCCAGGGCTGTGCCCGTCTCTTGGAACTACCGCCGCCGTGCCGGGCCTCCCCGTTGACGCGGTCCTCCCCTCTCGTTTGTAGCTCCCCGACGGCGTGTCCGAGGGCCTCCCCGTGCTGGTGTGGATCCACGGCGGCGGCTACAGACGCGGCTCCGCCAACCAGTACGGCACGGGGCACCTCGTCGACAAGAAGGTGGTCGTGGTGACGGTGCAGTACCGGCTAGGGTCCATGGGTGAGCGCAGTGTGCGGAGCGCCGGGCGCTGGTTCGAATCCCCGCTGATTCGTGTGTTTGTTCGGCCCAGGCTACATGAGCTCCGCGGCGCCGCAGCTGCCCGGCAACGTGGCCATGTTCGACATGGCCGTCGCCATGAACTGGATCAAGGAGTACATCTCCTTCTTCGGCGGCAACCCCAAGAACATCGTGACCATGGGGCAGGGCACCGGGGCCAGTAGCGCCATGATGATGGGGCTGTCGCCCATGACGCAGGGTGAGTGTCGGGGTGGGGGAGGGCGCGCGCTGTGACACTGTAAGCAACCGCCGCCTGTCTCAGACAACGTGAAGGGCATCGTGGCGATGAGCGGGTCCGCGCTGTCCCCCAACGCCGTGGACCAGCAGCCCCAGGACGCCGCGGACGAGCTGGCCGTGCAGCTGGGCTGCCCCACCAAGCCGCACCTCGCCATGGTGCGCTGCATGCAGGAGGCGCCGGCCGACCAGATCGTGTTCGCGGACGACACACTGGAGGTGAGGTTGGGGCTGGGTCGCGGGGCGGGGCGGAGGTTCGCGTCCCGGCGACCGCGGCTCTACTCTCGTTCCTGCCCAGACGTTCCGCCTGGCGTCGCAAGGCTTCGTCGGCGGCCTGGGCGGCCTGCTGACGCCGTCCCCCGTGGTGGAGGGCAAGGAGGACAGCCGCTTCCTGCCCAGCTTCCTGCCCGAGCAGCCCAGCGAGGTGCTGGAGAAGGGCAACTTCCCCAACATCTCGCTGCTCACGGGGGTCTGCAAGGACGAGACGGGGCGCGCCGTCAAGGGCGGCTTCAACCGCGAGCTGCAGTCCAAGCTGCAGGCCGTGCCGGACTTCCTCAACAAGGTCCTGCTCAAGGACCTCGCCGGCAAGGCTTCGGGTGAGCAAAGAGCGCAGACGTAACCGCGACTTAAACTTCCGGCAAACAAGTGACACTCCTTCCCGTTGATGCATAGGCGTCATCAACCGGGTGCAGGGCCTGTTCGGCGGGCTGGCGGCGTCGCCGCTCTTCCAGCAGGCGGAGAAGGCCGTGGGCCCGCTGAGCAAGGTGGTGGAGGCCACGACGGACGCGCTCTTCAACCTGCCCATGTTCCGCGCCAGCCAGCTGTGGTCCAAGCGCGGCGGCAAGGCCTTCATGTACAGCTTCGAGCACACGTCGCCGCGGGCGGCGAGTGCCGGCCGCTCCTTCCTGGGCGGGCTGCCCCTCATGAAGGCCGCGCTCGACGCGCCAGCCGGCCTCAGTGAGCACCACTCCTACCTCTTGGCGGGGGGGATGAGAACGCACAGTGGGCCAGAAGACCGGTGGAGGCGGCCAAAATCCTAGACGCGTTTTGAGCTCCAGAGTCGCTAAATGGGACTCGAACCGAGCGTGTGACCCCACCAATGGATTGCTCTCCGAACGAGGAATCCATTGGTGGGGTCACACGTTCGGTTCGAGTCCCATTTAGCGACTCTGGAGCTCAAAACGCGTCCGGGATTTCGATCGCCTCCACCCGTCTCCTGGCCCACTGTGGAACGCCTGCTGAGCCTTTCCCTTGACCGGTCGACCTCTGCCTCGCAGACGAGACCTTCCACGGCGACGACCTGGCCTTCGTGTTCGACGCGCGCCCCCTGGAGGGCCAGCGCGACCCGACGCGCGGACAGGTGTCGCTGTCGGACCCGGACGACATGAAGGTGCGCGACGTCTTCACCAGCCTCATCGCCGACTTCGCGCACAGCGGGTAGGCACACCGTCAGCGATTGCAGGGCCGCAGCTTCGGTGTCCCCAGAGTAACCCCGGCCCCCTCGTCCACTTTCCAGTCAAGCCTCGGTGCGCCAGAAGGACGACAAGCAGGGGCCCCTGCTCCTGCCCAGCTTCGGCGGCGGCGACAAGCAGAAGAACAACTTCCTCGTCATCGACAAGAACCCCCGCATCGGCAAGGACTTCCGCGGCTGCCAGATGGCCGTGTGGTCCGGGCTGTCCGGCGCGCAGCTGCCCACCGACTCGTGCGCCGACGTGTTCAAGAACGCCGCCAGCGCGGTGGCGGGGGCGGTGAGCGGCGCGGCGGGCACGCTGACGGGCGGGCTGCTGGGCGGGGCGGCGGCGGCAAACTGATCGGCAGGCCGCCGACCGGGGCGCCGCGGCCGCAGGGCGCGCCAGCTCCGGGTCCGGGGGGATTCTTGGGCGGTATCGGCAAGTAGGCCCCAAAGCCGCGGAATGCGGCATGGCGCCGCGGCCCCCCACGGCCACGCGGGGGGCGCGAGAGAGAACAATAAAGCTGGCTGAGCCTTTCGCGGTGTTTGCTTCTTTATCGATGCCTCCACTCCAACCACCTGTGTAAGTAACAGCCGAAGTGGCAGCCGCAGTGGCAGCCGACCAGCAACGCAGCGTCCACAGTCTCTTTCGCGGCCTCACAAAAGCCAGTGAAATACGGTGAACGAGCCGGGCGAACCGTCTCCCCGTGGTTCTTCAGCCTAGCGCCTGATAGGTAGGCCAGCGGACAGCCCCGCAACGCACCGGTGTGAGGTCGGTGGCCTACCTTCGCCTCTCTCCCCGTCGCTTCGCTCGCACGCGTCCTGGGCCATTCGGAGGCTGTCCTCTGCCTCGCCATCTGGAGGCGAAGGGGGTGGTGGAGACGAGCGCAGGTTCGTTGAGAGGATTGCGACTCGCTGGTTGCCTTTCGCTCCCAGAAAGCGTCGCCACGCAGCCAGGGGCGAGGTAGGCCACCGTCTCCACGCCGATGTGTGGCGGCCTGCTTGCTGGCCTACCTGCCAGGCGCTACAGGCTGACGCTCCGCTTTCCAGCGTCTTTTTGTGGCCAAACATTTATTGTCTTCGATGGAGACGTAACCGGGAGCGGCCCGTCGCAGCTCCGAGCTTCATCAAATGACATATCTTCTCACATGCTCTTCGCCCACTTCGCCGCGCATTTGGGTAAAATGCGACCGACAAGTTTCTCATACTCAGACTGGCCTTTCCGTCGTCTGCTACAACCCTTTCACGGAAAAGGGAAAGGTTTCGGCACGCAGACATTGACGGACACCAGAGCTTGCCAAGGATGTTGATGCCATTGTCATCTTTTTCGGCACTTCTGTGAGAGTTCTTGAGAGCGTGCGGCAGGGGTGGTCTTTGTCTTGAACCGGGCGGCGTGTTTTAGAACTTCGCGGTGAGGTTGGTAACGGGGCACGTACCCCCTTCCCCTTCCCCGCCCCTCTGCCCCTGCGCCTTAAAAGTAGTGGGGGTAGATGGCAGAGGCTGTCGTTTGTGAGGTTTGTCGTAAGTAAATATTCTTATTTTTATTGGTTTTAAGTTTCTTTGCCTGATTTCTTTACTATTCTTTTCATTAAAAGTCTGTACCTCTTTATTTGGCTCGCATGTTTCACACCATGTCCTCATTTGTGGATTTTGAATCGTGTTCTTTTAAAGGACGGTCTGGGTCGCAGCTCGCCAGGCCCTATCAAATGTAAACATCATGACAGGAGACCCGTCTCTCTTTTCCCTTCATCTGGACTACCCAAAACCGAACAACTTCATGGCAATTTATCCAAGATTTACTTTTATTGACCTTATTTCCCCTTCAGAATTGGGATTTATCTGATATTATGCTTATGGCCATTGTCATAGCAGCCCAGTCCATTGTTTAGATTTTTTTCAACCATCAATATTACATCATTTCTTTGTTAGTGCCTCTCAATTCTGCATTAACATTTACACTCCCAACAAAGTATAGTGTCCTTTTTATTCCTTCAAACCAATGCAAAGCCATCCACTCAAGGGTCATTATTAAAATATTTATAATTGTATACTATTGTGACTATTTCACGAGTTGAACTTTTCTAATTCTAATGTTCTCAAGGATTGATTTGTTTAATACTACAGTAACACCGACCTTGTTTTATTTTGTAGGTGTTTGAAGATGCCTGTAACAGTCACAAGAAATTTGCAGAAAGCAAGAGGAGGTGTTATTAGTGTTGTCGAACTATGTATTTAAAATGAAACAGCATGCCGGAAACAGTAAGCCGCCTCCTGCCCGAAGTGCAAGTTATGCCCGAGCGCATGCTGAACATACATTCTACCATAATCTCCTTCCTATGGACGTATCTGACAGGTACATTTGTCAAATAACTTGATGTTGCAATTGTTTTTCGGTATCCCTTATTTTATACGCTGCTTTGTTTTCATCCAGTTGCTTCATGGTGACTTCTGACACTTGTGGTGATGTATCACCGTCCCATGGAGACAAAGCGCAGGGAAAAGTATCTTCGAAAGACATAAATGAATGCATTGCAGGATGGCTGGCCTATCTTCAGGTATGGTTGAACATAGAATTGATAGGTTCTCTTCATCCCACTAGACCTGAATTATTATCAACACTCTCTATGCACTTTTCCCTGATGTTTGTGCTTTCATTTTCTAGAATTTGAATGCCTTGTGTGGCTCTGGCTCCCGCTTATCTCACTGTCTCGGCTCTCTCCTCCCGCCTGAAAGCCAGTCAGCGTGTGGAGGGCGGGCTACACAGTGCCAAGCGGCATGGGATGACCTAACGAAAGTTGTTGCTGCCACAAGCAACAGTATATGCTCTCAAGTAGTGCAGGCACTACAAGAGCTGAATGGCCAGAGCCCAGGAGCTGCTACCAATGATGTTGGGCAGGTGTGTTCATGTTCATGTTCATGTTCACCATTACCGTTTTTATTCCTTAATTTCACATCTCAATCTATTCTTGTACATTGCAGGTGCTGGCACCAGCCCAGCAGGCAGCAGTGTGCCATAGCCTTATGACAATGATTAGTCTGCAGTACCAGTTCTGTATGGCTTGTTGTGAATGTTTGGGAATGATGGCACCGTGTCATTGTTGTGTGAGTGGAGACTCTAATCAGCAAAAAGCCCATGACCCAGATTGCATTCTGACAACGCTTCAGCATTACTTCAACCGCCTGTATGTTCCACCGACTCCAACATCACGCAGCCCTCTTCTCTTCCCTCTGTGGCCACTCCAGGTGGGAATAATTTGAATATTTTTGCTATGTTTTGGATTTTTTAACTTTGTAAGTTTAAGTTTGGAATAGCTTTGTGTTCCTTTGGTTGATTGTAATACTTGTGTTTGCCAGAGTCCTCAGAGAAGATGGTCAGAAGCCGCAGCCCGTGAAACCTCTGGAATCGGTGATACTCTCATGGCTGAAGACGGAGCAATGAGGCGCTGGTCCATGCCTTGGGATTCATCCGGTCAAAATGAACAACATGGTCAGTGGACTGGACGGCTATATCCCAAGGAAAACAAGTTGACTGTGCCAGGAGGCATAGCTTCGCAGGAGAGGAGCCGATCTACAACACCAGGTTCGATTTGATTGACTCACTTTAAAATATTTACTCAGTAATCTACATAAAGTGGACTTCCCTGCATTATTCTACCTTTTTTTTAGATCCCCATGGATATAACTAAGTTTTACTGCAATTTTGCCATTAATATTTATATTTTCTTAGTACAGTCTCATATTTTTGACATTGATGTTTCAGAGTCTCTGTGGCATTCTTCTTTGGCGAGTCAGGAGGAATTGTCAGATGTGATATCACTACTATCATGCCGGCCTACTCAACCACTACAGCTTCATCAACCAAGTCAGCATGTACCCGGTAGGTACACAATAGTTACCACCTGCCAATTGTTTGTTCTTTTAAAAAAAAATTAAATTCATGTTTGGTGTTTCTTTTGTTTAGGTGTTACATTGACGGGTTGCAGCCAAAACAGCCCTTCCCCAAGTCACCAACCGTCCTGGGTAAGCCCAGTCTCTGGGGGAAGCCCTAATGAAGATAGAATGGGTGTGCTCTCACGCCATGGGAGTAGTTCACCAGCTGGCCTGGGGAACAGCCCTGGGAGATTGTCACCACACCAACATCAAGGACTCCAGCAAGTTCCTCAAATGCCATTGCAGCAGCAAACAACCCAGCAGCCTCATATTTCAATGTAACATCTTACTATCCGAATTTAAATTAAAATTTTTATCTCCAAGCTTACAGTGTATTCAACAATCATGATCTTGCAGGTGGACAGAGCCTAATTCTACTGGCCCTCTGAATCATCCTCCTGATGCTCCTCGCAAAGGAAGTTCTTCCACGGATTCATCATCCTTGTCCTCGTCTCTCTCCCTGCACAGAAGTTCAACCTCCAGTTCTGATACTGGAATGGTGAGTGCCATTTTCATCACCTTCATACCCATACTCTGATCTCATATTTTTATTATTTACTCAGACAGTTTTCTTTTTTGATGATACACTAATGCTATGTGTAAGTGATTTTGTGTTTCTTGTCTTTGTAGGAGAATCGGTCTCATTTGTATTCTATGTGGAGTGGTGCAGATCTTCCTTTCATCAAATTACCTGAAAACAACGAGCTTCGGGAACATCCCTCAAGTGTAAGTCCTCGAGGTAGTCCCAATAACCAACGCTATCAGCAATGAATTACTGCCCTCAAAATGAGTGAAATTAGTGGGCAGGACCCACTTCAAGATCCTAGTAATGGGCAGGCCCCAAATACATCAACACACTTTTATATTCCCCTTTTGAAGTTTTGCTTTCCATTTGTGGATAAACTAGAAAATGTTGCCTGTTTTGTAGTCTGCAAATAGAAATCATTCATTTAGTATGACAATTTGGCGAGTTTTGTCTGTGACTGAATCATAATTTACTCAAGGGAAGATGACCATCCAAGAGTTTTCTAATCTTGAAGGTTGTCTCCTGTTACAATCTTTTTCCTTTTTTTTTTTGTTTTGTCTATTTCTTGTTACTTTCTGTTTTTTCTCTCATGTAATAGTTTGCATTACAATCAAATAAGTAAGGTTTACAACCTTTGAATTCGTGTGGGCTGGTCCCACAAATGCGGTGTGCAATAAACTTTTGTACTTAGCTTTTATCTCTTGACAAAATACTTAAATATACAGTATTTAAAGTTAAAGATTTTTTGTCTGTTTTTTTTTTTTTTTAATATATATGTGTATGTATAGTTTATGAATGTCTGTATAGCCAGATGGTTATATTTATCTTGTCAGGAACTGCAGATGGAGTACAATTTTTGTTCACTCTCAGCTGACCACTTCAGTAGGCTTGAGGTCTGAAGTGCTGAGGGCAAGACTGTACCCTCCAGGGTAACTAGTTTATTGCTCTGATCTCTATGTACTTTTTTCAATCAAGGTACTGCTCAGTATGAAGCAATCGTGTACATGTGAAGTTGAAATCTGCCACTGAAAATACCTACCATTTTTAGGGTACTGTCTGAATTGTGACTTATGGATCTCACCAATGTTTTTTTTTTCTTTTCTTTTGGGTGTGTGTTTGTGTGTCTGTTTGGAGGAAGTATTTGTGCCATATTATGTTGGAATCAATCTAAGGTGCTTTGCCTGTAATTAATCGATAATGTCTTATGGAGGTTCTACTCATTTTTTTACTTAATTTGCTTCTAGCAAAGCTCTAAAGCCTAATATCTTTTCTGTTTTGGTGCTTCAAAACCATTGTGATTTATCACTAATAACAAACCTATGGCTTTGTCCCCACTTTGTTAACAGCCCTTAGGGAAAAAAATCAGGAAGGAGGAAGTGAACCCATTGCTTTGGTTACCTATCACTTAAGGCTAAGTTTTGCTGCAGTTTTAATAGTCACAGGTCTTACACTACCAATTTTATGTGCCCTCTTAAAAAACATGTGCTCTATAAGGCAACAGAGGCTTTAGAAATTACCTTCAAAATCCAATGACCATTCTTCAACTCTAAGTTAGGGAATTTAAATTGTTTTCAATGCTATTAAAACTAATTGCACTTTTGCAAGTATAGCTCTTTTAACAAGTAAACAAAAATGTAAGTTTTGGTCTACTAGAGTGCCTTTAGCAACAGGTTATTCTTCCTTCTTTAATCTAAATATTTTAAAAGAGGCAATTTTCATTATAAATTACTGAAACTTGTAACGGTATGATATCTGTTGGCAGATTTGATCATTAGTATTGCATTCTCAGAAACTGCTGAGGTTAAACTATATAATGCACTTCTCATGTTTATATGTTACTTAATTTCAACAAAACAAAGCTTACAATACTCTAGTCTTCATCACATTGTACGCACATGTTCATACCTAGATTTAAACTCTTCTATCTACTATATAGGTGTTTTTGTGTTCCTAAGTATGTTTGCTTGTACTCATAGTTGTTCTTTTGGTTGCGTATCTAGTATGTCAGTCTTGTATCCAATAGTGTCCTTCCTTTTCCTCCTGCCTGCATTTGGAACAATGCATGACAAATAGTTTTTGTTTGTTTAAAATTTTATTTGTATTTTGGTTTTTTGATGCTCTGGAGCTTTGAAGTGAAAGAATTATTGCTTTGGAGTCCAATTGGACAACAACATGTGTGACGTATAAAACAACCCAAACGTTTTTGCTAATAGAAGCAACTTCAATGTAACTATTTCAAAAATATTTGTCTCCATTTTGGTTTAGAAGCAGTTTTACCAATTATCCGCTGTCTGTTCTTACAAGCCATGCATTTAGTCAGTTACTGGTTTTGTTTGATTTCAAATAGATTTTTTAAAAATGCCCTCCTGAAATGAACTACAGAAATCTGGGTCTATGTTACCTTTTTTGGCATCTTATCTTATCTTATTATTGACCTAGCACTAAAATCAAAATGACAAATACTTTGGCTGTGACCGCAGGGTTCTTTCACGGTTCACCTCTGTGAAGGCAGGCTGTTCTGACCCATGGTCTGGGGCAAATTGTCGGATCCAGATTAAAGTCTTAGTAAATAAGCTGCGACTAGCACGTCTTTTAGGACTCTAATCTGGACCAGAAGTGACTTCTGAATCTGTCCAGAGAAAGGTGGTGGGAGTGGGTGTCCACTGCACACTGCAAAATGTTTCCTACATTAAAGGTACTGTGTTAGCATTCTGTGCTCGACTAGGACTTAAATTGGCAGTACTACCTTTCGTCTGAGGTATTTAAGCTTCTTTGTTTAGATGACTTTTTGATTACCACTAGCCCAAAATACTTGAGAAGTGGAATAATTCCCAGAACATCGCCTAAACAACTGTATCCCAACTCGGATTTTTTTTTTTTGTAACCATTCTGTTGTGATTTTCTTCTTTTTTTTCATTGAGGTTGAGGTGTGAAAATTAAAGTACATGGACTGATACAAGTGTGCAAAGTGTTTGTCATATTGTTCTGTAAAATTGGCAAAAAAAAATGCTCCTGTGGAACAAAATCATTGATAAATATTCCTGAAGAGTTAGCCTTCTTTCTTTTTTTTCCCTATCAGATTCTCCTAGGTCACTCACAATCCAGAAACGTGCTGATTGTCAAAAATTCTGGTGATAAATGACAAATGGTGAAAGGGAAGTAAAGAATATTCATTAACTTCGTTTGATCCCTTTATATATATTTTTCACTGCCCAAGTTGAAGATATGATGCAAAAATGGCACATGTAGCACAAAAGCCATTGTATAAAGGCACACCCTGTACAAAATGATAGTGAAATGTACCCTGTAACAAATCACAGAGACATGCACAAAGGATACAAAATTGAGTTGGAATGTTTCTAAAAATCTTACAAAAACAGTCATGAATAAATACAAAAGGAATGAGAATGCTCTACGAGCTTTCAATGAAAACAAAAACAGTCTTGTCCCTTGCCAAGAAAATGGAAAGTCTGCATTTGACAGCTTTTATACAGTTATTTACTATCCATATAGCAGAAGCTTCGCCCCAACACAGCATGGGCAACACGAGAAGTCTTTCTAAAGACATCTGTTTGCTTAAGAGTCAATAAAACTGCTGAACAAGGAATTGATTACTTTGTCCTGTATGGCACATTTGGTAAATTAGTGGAAAGTTTTATTTTTTTTGATCTTTTTTAATCTGACTATAGAAGCAAGCAAGAATGGCATTAATCGAAAAGTGTCAGGTAATGGTATATTGAAATGATTCCAAATTCTAAAATTGAAAGGAATCAAGGACATCCAAAATAGCACTACAATGTCAGATCATATCAAGCTAACCACATAAAGTAAAGATAAATATTTTACCCAGGACGGAGTCAATGAGCTTAACTTAAGTAGAACATAAAACAATTGTTTCTTACAAGAACAGTCTGATTGATGTTAACCTAAATTGGTAATCATCTCGCATACACTTAACATACAGCTAAGATCTAACTTAATTACATTATTATTGTCCTCATCATAAAATCTGCACATTCATCAAGAGTCAATGAATATTCTGCTAAACAATCTAATAAACAAATACTGCAAAATCACATTGCAATTTGGTGGATAGTTTAAAAGGATTCTGAAAATATCACTTTAAATTAAGCAAAAATCGATTGTCAGTTAAAAAAAAAAAATAAACATGGTAAGAATGTGGTTGGAAAGATTTATCACAATCATAGATCTTTCACCACAGTGAGAAAATTGAATAAAACAGAATTGTCAAAATAATTAGGGTGAATGTGTTCCATGCGTCCCACTAGCTGATGTTGCCAATGATGCAGCTGCAGCAGATGACGGTTCGTCGTAATCAACATCATCGTAAATCAGGCTATCTGGATCATCTTCAGGAATAACATGATCCTTGTCCAGGGGACACCTCAGACACCTAAGCAGAAAAAACAACATAAAAGTCAAATCAAATCACTTGTACATGTACTTGCTAACAGCTAAGTCCTATAAAAATTACCTGCTCTCATTAATCCCGTAATTGATACAAGACGCACCAACACATTCACAGCAGCCATCATGAAACCAGCGATAACTCGATGCGCCAGTAGACTGACATGCTTCTTTGCACTTATTCCAAGACATGCATTGGCTCATGTAAGCAACAGTGCAGTTGAATGTGGCTACATCTTTCCTTGGAACAACTTCTTGTTCAGAAAATTCTGGAAGGCATAATTAAGTCTCTAATAAAGATTGCAACTGAATTGAATTTGATAAAGTTGCAGCTGAAATAGAGATCAACTTACGTGTACGATACTTTATTTCCTTTTCAAGGTTTGGTTTGTAGTGAACATTGTTCACTTCAATATCAATAGGGAATGTCACAGTAATCCAACGTTCCTGAGCATCTGGCTCGGAGCCCATGAGAGCTTGGAAGAGTTCTGGAATGGGCTCAACGAATTCTTCAACGTGACTCCTCTTGCTGAGGGCATTGTGGTTTGTCTGATTAGGCTTAGGACACATTTCTGAAAACAAAATTCAATGTTGTCAAAGACTTAAGTGTAACTTGAAGATACGAGAATTCAAGTAACTTCACTCTTACCAACACAAGAGCAGCACTCAGTGTACAAATAACTCAAACAACTGAAGCACTCTTTGCAACAGCTGCAGTTCTTAAGATCGCACTTGCACGATTGTGTTAACATACATTTACTGACAATGCTCGCACAAACCGCTTCATTGCAGCTGTCGACAGAGCTAGGCCCCCAATATTCTCCGAGGCCAGCCCATAAAACAAATACTGTGAGCAGAATTCCCGACTTCCAAACCATCCTGAAATCGAACAAACACAAATTATTAGTGAGGAACAATGTCATAACAAGCTATAATACGACACGTGAGCCGGAAGGGAAAGCATGCGGAAATAAAAATAAAACCGCAACCTTGAAACTAAAGAGAATCACAACAGTGAGTCAAGAACATCGCAAGGAGAAAAGAGAAATCAACAATAACCATTTATGTCACTGACATAAACCCCTAGCACGCTCACAACAAGAAAACTTTGAAACATAGTCTAAGCACACACCTGCCTGTAGGCTCCAGGCCTAATCCTCAATCTCAACTCAGAGAAATTCCAAAGTGTCCAGCAGGTTTGATACCGAATCGCAAAACCAACTTCGGCGGTCGCGTCTTGGACTCCAGGACTCTTCCAGCTCCAGCCTTCCAGTTCCAAAGGCACGTTGCAGACAGCAAACAACACAAATACAACAGCGCAGCAGCGGGCGGAGACACTACACTAGCACTAGAGCCACACTAGAGCTGATGCTGCAGGGAGTTGAGTTGCGCCCGCCTCGCAGTCGTAAGCTGAAGCCGCAGCCGCCTGTGGTGGGAGGGGGAGGGGGAGGGGAGGAGGAGTGGTCAGCAACAAGAATGGAGAGGGAGAAGGAGGAATGCAGGCAGGGAAGGAGAGGGAGAGAGAACGGAAGGTCAGGTGGCTTTGCGGAGGAGGGGGCCGGAGGGGGCGAGACGAGGAAGGAAACGGGGCAGACAGCAAGATGGAAAGAGAGGGAGGAATCGTCGGCAGCGCCGGCGCCCGATGAAGTCCTCAGGTCGCAGGACCACCTGTGGGCTGGGCTCGGGCACGCCGGGCTCGCCCTCGCCCATTACCAGCGGACTCATTCCGAGAAACGTTTTCGTCGCTCTGTCTCTCTTGCACCTCAAGGGGACGCCGCATGAGTGCGAGAGAGACAGCGAAGAAAACGACTCTCGGAATCAGTGTGCCGGGCCACCCTGCGAGCTGTGACTCGGAGCACTCGGAGTGCACCGTGCAGCAGTGAGTCCAGTCCTGTCGATGAGTCAGACCACGCTCTCCCTCTCTTTCTCTCTGGACCAGGTAAAAAGAGGTGGAGGCCCTCGGGCTTTCGGGGAAAACGGTGCACGAGAACCGAACTGGAGCGCAAACAAGCCACGGCCAGAGCACGGTAGAGAGGCACAGCAGACGCTTTCGGCGGAAATCCCGGAAATCCCGACGACAACCGCTGGAGTAGAGAGACCCCTTCTCTCGAAGAGACCGCGGGAAGGCAGTCTCTCCACCACGGTGGACTTACGCGACCACTCGACAGCGCGCTAGTTCCATACTGTCCATCGTCTCCGGGATCCCGCGTTGATCCTGCGGAGGGACCCCGCTGCAAGTGAAAATGAACAGAGATGCTGCAATCCTTGCGAACCGGCAAGACGTTCGGCGGGGCGGGCCGTTCGAACCAGCGCGCCGAAGCAAGCGGTGTACCAACCTCCGCCGCAGGTTGGCAGCAGCTGCGCCGAGGTATGAGAACCTTTGAGGTCACAAACGCGCGGCTCTTTTAAAATCAGAGGCGCCGGCAAGCTAAAAGCTGGAAGGTTGCCGTTTGCGCGAAATGTGCTGTATGAAATCGCTGTGCTATCGCGGAATCTCCTTATCGCGAGAAGAAATAAACACGTGGTTGTCGTTGGACCGAGATGAATTAGACGCCCTCGAGTCATCTCGAGGAGGGCACGAAGGCAACGGGGAACTCACTCTACGAACTCTACGGGCAACGTAAAACGTGGGAATGAGTAAAAGGGGGGGGGATTTACAGCAGCAGCCACAGCAGCAGCAGCCCTGCGGTCCATGAAGCGGCCCTTGAGCCCAGCCGGCGTGCCGGCAGACAGACTGACGGACAGGGCCCCCTCCCCCGACCCGCCCGACCCCCGGCGGGGCTGGCGGGGCTGGCGGGGCGCGAGGGCGCGGCAAGGGGGCGCGGGTGGAAGGGCAGGGGGCCAAGCCGGCCAAGCGGGCCATGCAGCATGGCGGCGGTGCGGCGGCAGAGGGGAGGGGTGGGGGCGTGGCGGGGCGTAGCGGGGCGGCGCATAGAAAGAAAAGAAGCAGCAGCAGCAGTGCCATTCCGGCGTTCGAGTCGTGCCCGCGTGTGGTGCGTGCGCTGAGCGGCGTGAGCGAGCGTGCGCTGCGTGTTGTGCGGCGTGGTGGTGTTGTTGAGCTGTGCGGCGACGCGGCGGGGCGCGCCGAGCAGCACAAGGAGGATGCGGTGTCGGACAGTGTGGGGGTGTGGCCGAGTGGGGGCTGTGGCGCTGCTCCTGGTGCTGGCCGTGGCCGTCCAGGCCCAGGAGGACCTGAGCGGCGCCGACGCGCAGCGGGAAGGCATCACCCGTTGCTATGACGAGACCACTGGACAGCCTCAGGTACGCAGGACGAGCAGGACGAGCAGGCGCTTTGGCAGGACGAAGACTGCGGCGCTTACAAAGTCCAACTGCAACGGATGCCGAGCAAGGGTTGCCGCCACCCTGCCGCGCGGCGTGATCGTTGTCCTCGAAGCCCTCCTCCATGCCATCATCATCGTCGTCCCCCAGCACGTCAGCACATCAGACCCCTGGCGTCGTGCTTCCCTGGCGCTGCGAACCAAGCACCCAGCACGTCCAGGCGCCCTCTCGAGATCTGGGGGTTTCTGGACGCACAACCACGACGTCGGTGCTTTGCTTGGCCTGGTGGCTGGCGACGCCCGGCGACACGACGGCCCCTGCGTTGGAGTCGCCATGGTGCACCGTGGTGTCGACGGCGAGGGTGGCGGTGGCGGTGCGGCGGCCCGTCGTGGACACGACTGAGTGTAGTGGTGGTTTTGAGTCATGTCATCGACGTGCACCCGAAAGAGGCTGCCTGTCGTGACCAGGGGGTAGCTTCACGGGGTGAAGGGTGTGGATGCCGTCGGCGGCCTTGGCGCTCGGGGGTTGGCCGGCTGGCCCAGCTGGCCCGGCTCGTCGTCGCCGTGGTCCGTAGTCCCCGACAGTGTCCCCGACAGTGTTGCCGTGGGAGCGTCGCGGCCGTCGGACCGACCGCGGGGCCCTGGGAAAGAAAGATGAACAGAGAAAGAGGAGCAGCAACTTTGTCTTATCGGTCGGCCCTTGCTCTCCCCTCGACCCGCCTTCCGCGGCGGGGCGGGGCGGGGCGGGGCGGACGCGGGTTGGAGTGGCACGCCTCATGGACCCGCCAAGGCGCGCCAAGGGCCGTGAGCAGCCCGCGAGCCGAGCCGCCAGCAGACCGATTCCGAAGAGTGGCTCGTCGCTCTGTCTCTGTCGCACTCGTGGGGCGTTCCGTCCGGGTGCGAGAGAGACAGAGAGTCGAAGCGGTTCTTGGGCGCACACGACAACGCGTGCTGCCATAAGCCGTTGGCGTTCGCCTTTGCCTGCCTTTGGCGGGCCGCGGACTCGAGTGGGACCGAGACGGAGTGAGGCACTCGCAGTGAGACGGAGAGAGAGAGGGAGAGGCCCCGCAGGAAAGGAAGAAGGAGAAGGAAGGGGTCCCACCAGTCCCACGTCCGGCTCGACACACTCGCATTCTCGATAAAGTCCGCCTCAGATATTTCTATGTAGTGTACTGGGTACTGGCGCGGCTTGAAGGCGAGGGAAGACTGTGGGGGAGCGAGGATGCATGACAGCACCACAACACGACCCACCCCGCCCGAGCTGAGCTTTCGTCGCTCTGTCTCGCTCGCGCACATGGGGGTCCGCGTGCGAGCGACGAAAGCCCCGTGCGGAACCAGTCTTCAGGTCTCCAAGCGATTGGCGGCGATTGAAAGCGAAGCGAGGCGGATGGCGGGAAACGGCACGCCGCGCTATCTCGATCTGATTTGAGACGCAAAGACCCCTCCCCCCTCCCCTTTTCCCCCGGCCACTACACTGATGAATGGAGTGCCCATGGAGCGGAGCGATTACCCCCGGCCTGCAGCGTGCGAGGGCCCCTCTAAACTTTCGTCCACAGAACAAGAGACCTAATTGAAACATATTTGCAATCCGATGTGGCTGGGAGCTCTCTGTGCGCAGGCGACGCTTTATGCTGGCTGGTCGACGTGTCGTCGGATTGAGATGCGACGCGTCCGGACGCGTCTCGACCCAGGAAAATTGGCACAGCAGCAAAATATTCAGTAAATACGTACAGTTTACGCTCCCTCCCCACAGTGTAGCGGAGGGGTGGGGGGAGGGGGCGTTGGGCCGTAAACTAAGACAAAGAGCCCCCTTTGTCCGAAAGTTGCAGCGGGCCTCCCGCCTCCCTGGCCTCCTCCGTCCCCCTCCTCCTCTACCTGCGCCTTTTCCCTGTGTGCAGTGCACCGCCCTGCGAATCATGCTCCAAAAGAACGCCTCCTCTCTGTCGCACCGCCGGCACCGACGCGTGCGCTGCTTGCGCACCTGTGCACTACACTGCAGCAGGCGTCGCTCTGTCTCTCTCGCACTCACGGGGCGTCTCGCACGGGCGCGAGAGAGACAGCGACAGGGAGGACCGCACGCTCCGGGGGATGTTTCGCGGGCACTTTTTACCCCCTCCCCCTTCCCCACTCGCGTGACGTACTCTATGCAAAGCCGCTTCCTGACGCTTTTGTGTCCGGCGGCGCTGCGACCAGCAGCGACCGGCCTGCGCCTCTCTCGTGCACTTCTCGGCGGGAAAGGGGAATACTTTTCCGCGCAGTCGCCTCGCCTATCCCCGCCTCAGCACCGGTGTCGGGTTCACTTTGGTCCCAACGACGCGGATGCCGCGGTCAAGCCACCTCGGCCTTCGGGGGCGGGCCCTAAACCGCGTGACTAGGGCCGGCCGCTCCAGCCGCGTCGCTCCACGGCCCTCTGGCCATAAAGTCCCATAAAGTGGTATGTACCGCCTCATGGACCGGTCCTCGGAGCTTGTAGGCGCCTGCAGGCTGGCTGCAGCCCGGGGGGCGTAGGCAACGGGCACCGCAGGCATGCACGGCATGGACCCTTCGGGCTTTGAAACTGCCGTGCTGGGCGCAGGGCCGCGGGGTCAGCTTCGCCTTCTCGGACACGAGTCCTGCGAGTGCATTAGCGTGGCTCAGGACCTTCAGGGCACTCACGGCCATCTCAGGACCTTTTCAGGACCGCGCGGCGGCACGGCCAGGCACGGCCAGGCACGGCGACGCAGAGCCCTGGCGGCGCGGCGGCAACGTGGAGGCGTTTATTTTGGTCCTCCGGGGGAAGGGCTCGACTCCAAGCAGCGCTGTCTCTCTCGCGCCCTCACGGCACGGCCCGCGAGTGCGAGAGAGACAGCGCGACGCCCGCCGGTGCTGCCGGTCTGAACAACGAGGACTGTGTTTCTGTTGCAGCGGTGCATCCCGCCCTTCGAGAACGCGGCCTACCAGCTGCAGGTGGACTCCACCAACACTTGCGGCCACAACCGCGTGTTCTGCCGCCAGGCCGGCCCGTCCGGCAGCTCGGCGCGCTCGTGCGAGGAGTGCCGCGACGGCCAGTTCGGCCCGGAGTTCCTCACCGACCTGCACCACGAGGACAACGCCACCTGGTGGCAGTCCGACACCATGTTCCACGGCCAGAACCAGGTCAACCTCACCCTCAACCTGGGTAAGTTGAGTTGAGTCAGTTGCGAGTTAGGCTCAAGGTCAGGGTCAGGGCAGTCCATGGGGCGGTCAGGGCACTGAGACCTCGGCCAGCGTCTCCAGAAGGGCGCTCCGTCGTTTCCGGACAACCCCCGGCGCTGCGGCTCTGCCTTCGTCGCTCTGTCTCTCTCGCTCTCGTGGGGCGTACCGCAAGGGTGCGAGAGAGACACAGCGACCTGCAGCAGGCGGGTCCTCGGCGTCCTGCGCGTCCTGCCGCAGAGCCGAGCAGCTGGGCCACACGTGTGGGGTTCGGCGAACGCCACGGCACAGCGCGTTGGGGGTGGGGAGCTGCAACCCCGAGAACAACAACAACAACAACAACAGTGATGGTCGTCGAAATGCAAATGCGCGTCCGACGCGTTTCTTTTCCGATCCGTTTCGCGCGCTTCGGCCAGTCAGGCCCGAGGGCCCGGCCCTAAACGACGTGCATCATTTCCGGCGCGGCTTCAGCGCGGCACACGTTTACAGTGGCGTGGCCAGCTTGGCCTCGACGGCGTGCCGCGCGTGCCGCGGCGTGCCTCCACCAGTAGTGCCGTGCCGCCCACGCGAGACCATTGAGCGCGGTGGCCGCTTGACACCGACACCCACATGCAGTGTCGCGGGCGGCGGCAACGCGAGACGGTTCACTTGACTCGTCCACCGAAAACATTGGAAAGGGAGTTGCGTGCCCTGGACTGGGCCCGCGGCGGAGGTTCGTCGTTAGCGCGACCGTACTTTTGGAATAGGGTGTACTGCGTTGGGATAGCTGTGGGTCACCCAGATAAAGTATCGGCGAGTTGGGCGACTGCCTCGCCGAATGCGGCGAATGCCGATGGCTGCCTCCGCGGCCCTCGCGGCCCGGGGCCCGTGGGGCCTCGACCTTCGCAGTGGCGGAGCAGTTTGGCAGATTGGGGACCGCGCAGCAGCGGCCTGCCTGGACCTGGAAGTCCTGCCTGGAGGTCCTGCACGGGAGCGTCTTGCAGTGGACTGCACCTCGGCGGACCCACCGCCAGTGTGACGGCGCGGTATCGCCGAGCCACATTTCCGCCTTATCTCGCCCGTGATTGGTCGGAGGATTCGCTGCACTGCAAGTTCAAGACGCCGCACGCAAGACCGACGTGCCGGTTGGGCTGCCTAGCCTCCAGGCGCGCTGCCGCCAGCCGCGCACCGCGCACGGCCGTCGCATGGGCTGCCTGCCTTCTAGGCGCCTACACTGCCGAGTGGCTCATCGCTCTGTCTCTCTCGCACTCTTACGGAGAGCCCCACGAGTGCGAGAGAGACAGCGCGACGAAACAACTTTGGCTGCTCTTCCAATTCGCCCAGTTTGACCACTGCGTTCTGTTCATCTGTTCGTGTGTTTCCGCAGGCAAGGCTTTCGACGTGACGTACATCCGCCTGGTGTTCCACTCGCCGAGGCCGCAGAGCTTCGCCATCTACAAGAGGACGTCGGAGAACGGCTCCTGGATCCCCTACCAGTTCTACAGGTGCGTACACGGCGTACACCCACCAAGTGGAGGCAAAAACCACCCCACCTGGCGGAACTAAAGTCAGATGACACGACAATCTTCGGAAAACATGAGGCCGCGTTCTCTCGCTCCAATGGCCAGCCTAGGGTCGTGGGTTCGAATCCCTCCGTCGCCTAAAACCCTTCCTCTCTCTCGGCGTGCCGCAGCGCCACGTGCCGAGACTCCTTCGGGCAGCCGGAGAGCATCCACACGCCGCGCGGCGAGGAGACGCGCGCCCTGTGCACGTCCGAGTACTCCGACATCTCGCCGCTCACCGGCGGCAACATCGCCTTCTCCACCCTGGAGGGCCGCCCCTCCGCCTACTTCTTCGACACGTCCGCCGAGCTGCAGGCAAGTTTCCGCTGCGGTGACCGTCACGTCGCACAGTGGGCCAGACGACTAGTGGAGACGCGGTCTGAGCCCCAGAGTCGCTAAACAGGACTCAAACTGAACGTTTGACCCCACCAATGGATAGCTCTCCGAACGAGGAATCCATTGGTGGGGTCACACGTTCGGTTCGAGTCCCATTTAGCGACTCTGAAGCTCAAAACGCGTCCGGGATTTTGACCGTCTCCACCGGTCTTCTGGCCCACTGTGCGTCGACCAAAGATAGTGTAACTGTAGTCATGCATGTATGGTGCACTGCTGCGTGCTGCGCGTTGTGCTTGCGTCCTCTGACCGCTGCGTCCTTCTCTCTCACCCCCGCAGGAGTGGGTGACGGCCACGGACATCCGCATCACGCTGGACCGCATGAACACGTTCGGCGACGAGGTGTTCGGCGACGAGCACGTGCTGCAGTCCTACTTCTACGCCATCTCGGACCTGGCGGTGGGCGCGCGCTGCAAGTGCAACGGCCACGCCTCGGAGTGCCGCGGGGCGTCCAGCACCAGCAACCGGCGCGAGTGCAAGTGCCAGCACAACACGGACGGCCCGGACTGCCAGCGCTGCCTGCCCTTCTACAACGACCTGCCCTGGCGCCGCGCCACCGCCCTGGACGCCCACGAGTGCAAAGGTGAGCCTCTCGCTGTCTCTCTCGCACCCACGGGGCGGCCAGACAGCCATGAAGCACTGGTCATGCGGGGAGTCCAATCGGTGCACCCAGATGAGCTGATCTCTGTCGCTCTCCTGTGCGGAGCGGATCCCCGTGGGAGCGCTCGATGAACCCTCTGCTGGCGCCGATCGCCCCCACTGTGGGTCCGCTGTCCAAGATAGTTCTTAGGTAATGTTGTTTGCTGGAGAAAGCATCGCAGGGCCTCTTTGTCGCGCGAGTCCCGGACCGCCTGGAGCCAAGTTGCATGCGCTGAATGGGGCTGCGGGCTCGTTCCGAAGACTGCTGTTGTCGCTGTGTCTCTCTCGCACTCACGGGGCGTCCCGTAGGGGAGCACACTGTGCAGAATCGCCCCGCCGGAGAGCATGCGCCTGGAGCGTGGAGCGAGCTCGCTGCCGTGTCCATGTCCAACTCGTGCCCTTTGTGCTGAGCGCCAGTGGCACCAGGTGGCACCCGCCGAGCGATTGCGAAGAGTCGCTCTGTCTCTCTCGCACCCCTGCGGGACGCCCCATGAGTGCGACAGAGGCAGAGCGACGCAACATCCCTACACTGGGCATGTGCATGCGGTGTGGCGTCGCTGGGCCCTCTCGCGCCCATGTGCGGCCCGGTCCGCGCGTGCTGCATCGCACCGGCCGCGCCGCGCCGCGCCCTGTGCCCAGTGTGCCCTACCCATCTGGTACCTGGTCCACGGGCCGCGCCTGAAAGGCTTTCCCGCTACCCGCCCCGCCCCGCCCCGCCCCGCCCGCGGTGGCGTCTGTCGGTCCGGTGCCCCCCGCGCCGTGGCCCGGTCCGTGCGGCTCCGTCCCGCGCCCCGCGGCCCCGCGGCCCGCCTGGCCTGCTCTGGAGCAAGGAGAAGGAGGCTGCCGCGGCGAACGGCCGAACGCTCGACGCTCCGCGCTCCGCTCAGTGTGCCCGCGACGCTACGCGACGCCGCTGGCCGCACGGCGCGCCGCCCCGCCGAACGCCGCGAGCCCCAGGTAGTGCAGACGCGTCTCCGCTGCGCCCCGGACCACCTGGGCCCAAAATCGCGCCGAGAGGCGTTTTCGGGATGAATCCGGTCGCACCGGCGGCCGGCCAGGCGTGCGCTGCCGAGTGACTGAGCCGCGAGTGTGTGTGAGAGTGAGGGAGCGACTTCGAGTGTGATTCGGTGGACAAGTGTTGTGAGTGACCGCAGCGCCGAGTGCCGCCAGTACCGAGTACCTCCATGTCGCCCCGCGCCGCCACGCTGTGCTCAAATTTACAAATTTGAGAGCTCTTCTCCTCCCAGGATGTCGTTGTCGGCGGCGTAGCCGCATTTTGAGTCTGGCCCTGGCCCGCATGGGCATTGGGGTGTTTTTCAGTGAGGGTGCTGAGTGACTCCGCCCCCTTCTTGAACCCCACCAGTGCCTACCTTTTCAAGGGACCAGGGCACTGAGTGGACTTTAGCAGTGTACCGAGCCCTTCCGCTGAACGTGTATGTGTGTCGTGTGTCCCGCGGTGTCGCAACGCCTTTCAGTGCTCGTCATGCACGACACTGCCAAAATTTAAATTCAAAGTGGATGTTTGCCTCTTTTACCACGAGACAGGGAGCCGCCGGCTTCCCCGCGAGTGAATATCGAGGAGTGGATACAACCTCACCTCGCCGGCTGGGCCTTTGCGTGGGCGCCTCTCCCTCCCTCTCTCTCTTCTCCGGGCACAGCAGTCTACACAAAGACTCACACACCTTCCCCATCCGGACGCGGAGTTGAAATTATTCCCAGAGCCTTGGCTGATCACGGCCTGGCATTGATCGGCTGATTTCGAACAGTATGCGCTTCGTCGCTCTGTCTCTCTCGCACCCCTGCGGGGCGGTTCATGAGTGCGAGAGAGACAGAGCGACGAAAGCAAGGCCTGAAATCGGGCCGCGGCATCCGCAGGCAGGCGCCACATTGCACTCGACACTCGGTTCGATCGACGAGGCCCGCCGCGCGGAAATAACAGTGAAATTGCCGCTGCCTTGACTCGACTCCTCGACTCCCGCACACTGCAAACACTGCAAACTGCATGCATGCTCACCAGCAGGGTGGCCTCGTCGCTCCGTCTCTCTCGCACCCCTTCGGGCGCCCCGTGAGTGCGAGGGAGACGGCGAGACGAGTTCGGAATCCGCGTACCGATGCCATCTCTGCAGCCGCACCTGCGTCGCCTCGGACTACAGTGTCGTGGTGTCGTCGATGTTGTTTGAGGGTTCCCTCAGCTCAGCAATTACACCACGCTTGGCTCTGTAGAGTACCGGGGTGACTGGCGGGCTTTCTACAGCCTGGCGCGTAGGCAACCCGGACGCAGCCCCGTTCGACGGGACTGCCTACCTTGTCTCCGTCGCAAGGGGCCAGCGGAGAGGCAGAGCCCTCGCATCCGACGCGTTTTCCCTCCCCCTGGTTCCACCCTGGTTCCACCCTTGTCGTGTCGTGGCGATGGGAATGAGTCCCGGTGGCGCGGGGTCGCGGACGTGGAGTGCAAGGTACTGGCCCCGGTCTAGGTTCGCCTTCGCCACGATGGCGCGGCGAGTGCTGCTGCTGCTGGCGCTGGCCCTGCTGGCCCAGGCGGCGGACCGGGACGAGACCCGGCCCTGGTTCAGCGGACCCAGTGAGTAACGAGGATGTGATCAACACAGGGCTCTCCCTTCGCGCAGCGAAGAGTATCGAACGTCCGTCGGGACGTTGAAAGTGTCGCTAATGCAAGTTTTTAACGCGTGCCTCTGTTTGCAGCCTGCAACTGCAACGGGTTCGCCAACCGGTGCTTCTTCGACAAGGACCTGTACGAGCAGACGGGCCACGGCGGCCACTGCCTGGACTGCATGGGGAACCGCTCCGGGCCCAACTGCGAGCGCTGCCGGGACAACTTCTTCGAGCGCGAGGACGGCGTGTGCGTCAACTGCTACTGCGACGAGAAAGGTGCGGGTTCGAGCCCGGGTGGCGGCGCGGCGTTTCCCGTTTTTCGTTGCTCAGTTTGTCTCTGCCTCCAGGTTCCCGCAGCCTGCAGTGCAACGCCAAGGGCCAGTGCCAGTGCAAGCCCGGCGTGACGGGGGAGAAGTGCGACCGCTGCGAGGCCAACCACTTCGACTTCGGCCCCCTGGGCTGCACGCCCTGCAACTGCAACGAGGCAGGCAGCGCCGACAACAGCCCCAACTGCGACCCCTACACTGGGGCCTGCTACTGCAAGGAGCACGTGGAGGGCAAGCGCTGCGGAGTGTGAGTGCCACGAGCCAGTCTAGCAGTGTGGTGCAGTGCTCACTGCGCGAACCTTGCCACTACACTACACTGACGCTCTGATTCCAACAGGTGCAAGCCCGGATACTTCAACTTGGACCCTGAAAATGAGTTCGGATGCACTCCGTGCTTCTGCTACCGACATTCTTCTGACTGCCAATCTGCGCCTGGCTACTCTAAGGGTAGGGAAAGGACCTGGTCTGTATTTTCAACTTTTAAAATCTGAGTGATTGGAGTTAATAGTAAGCTTAATTTGCAGTCACAATGGAGAGTGTTTTTGCTCGAGGCAATGAAAAGTGGACTGCTGAGGATACACGTGGGACACCAATTCCCTCAGAATACAATAGCATAACTCAGACGATTGGTGTGAAAGCTCCTTCAGACCAACCCGTTTATTTCATTGCTCCTGGTAAGCACAGGTTTGGGTGGCACTATCTTGAGACATACTTTAAATGTAATTTTTAAACTTACAAGATAAATCTTAACATTTTCAGATAAATTTTTGGGTGATCAGAGATCTAGTTACAACCAGGACCTCAGCTTCCGTTTGCGGATTGGCGAAACTGGAGCTAGTCCCTCCGTTATGGACGTTGTTCTGGAAGGAGCTGGCTTCACAATATCTCAAGCCATATTCGGACAAGGCAATAAACTTCCCACTGTAAAGGTATTGCACCTAATCCAGTAAATGCAATGATTTTGTTAGCTTCTCAATTTTCAATGTTTCACTCATATCCATGAAAATTTTAGGATCAAGAGTTCACCTTCCGCCTTCATGAACATCAAGACTACGGCTGGCAGCCTCGCTTGGCTGCTCTCAATTTGATAGCCCTACTGTCCAATTTGACAGCCATAAAAATTAGGGGCACTTACACACCTGTAGGAGTTCCAGAAGGAGTTGGTTTCTTAGATGATGTCAGGCTGTCCGGTGCAAGGCGGGGTGCTGCAGGTCAGCCGGCCCTCTGGATAGAAATGTGCAAATGCCCGGAGGGATATGTCGGCCAGTTTTGTGAGTCGTGTGCCCCAGGCTATCGGCATGAACCGACTCATGGAGGACCAGATGCGCGGTGTGTACCATGCAACTGTCATGGTCATGCTGATATTTGTGATGCTGATACTGGTAAGTTAATCAGTTTTTTTTTCATTCATTAATAAATGTAGACATCTATTGGAATATGAATGCTGAGTTCATGCCCTGTTCCAGGTCGTTGCATTTGCCAACACAATACAGCTGGTGACAACTGTGATCGTTGTGCCAAGGGCTTTTATGGAAATGCTCTAGAGCAGACAGCAAATGACTGCAAGCCTTGCCCTTGCCCTAATGGTGGAGCGTGTATGCAGCTTCCTGACGAAACAGTTGTGTGTCTGGAGTGCCCCAGGGGGTATGCAGGTGAGCCTTCACATAAATTATATATTTTTAAAATTTATTTCTCTATTTATTTATTTATTTATTTATTTATTTATTTATTTGTCCACTTAGTGGACAGAACACTATGCTCTGGAGATTTTGTCACAAAATACACTTTTAAAAATACTTTCAATTTTAGAGTGTATTTTGATGTTTTTTCTTGCTTTTTTACAGGGCCCAAATGTGATCTTTGCAGCGATGGATATTATGGAGATCCCACTGGACGCTTTGGCCCAGTGAAGATTTGCCAACCATGTGACTGCAATGAAAATGTGGACCCTAATGCTGTCGGCAATTGCAACCGTACCTCAGGAGAATGTCTAAAATGTATTTACAATACAGGAGGATTTGAATGTGACCAGTGTCTTCCAGGTTTGTGTGACTAGCTTGCTTATTTTTTTTAAATAATTGAAACAAGTTACTATTATTTAACTCGGATTTAACTCCATGGTTATTATGATACATTTTAATTACACGTTCTACTGTCTGTTTAGGATTTTATGGAGATCCGCTGTCTTTAACTAAGGGTGACTGCAAACCATGCCAATGCTATCGTTATGGTACAAATGAAACTGAATCTGGACCTTTAATCTGTGATCAGTTCACTGGTCAGTGTCAGTGTAAACCACATGTGACAGGGACCAACTGTGATACCTGTGAGCTTGGCTTTTTCAACATCCGCAGTAGTGAGGTAGGTGTTTCCAATTCCTGTATAATGCAAAAGAGCCTTAATATACACAGTTTTTTTTTGTTTTTTTTTTTTAATTGTTTAATTTTTGTGATTTAAAATTTACTATGATTGTAGGGATGCCAAGCTTGCAATTGTGATCCGATTGGATCACTAAACCACACATGTGATATCAGAACTGGACAGTGTCTCTGTCGCGAAGGCATTACTGGACTACACTGTGATCAGTGCTTACCTGACCACTATGGCTTTTCGACTGAGGGCTGCAAGCCTTGTGATTGTGATGGAATCGGGTCAACCAATCCGCAGTGCGACCCATCAGGGCAATGTCCAGTAAGATTTTAACTTTAACTTCTCCTTGTAAATTACAAAGCTTTGGAAAATTTGTAAACTAAATAAGAAATAACTCTTTTTCAGTGCCATGACAATGTTGAAGGGCGTCGTTGTGACAGGTGTAAAGAAAACAAATATGACCGCCAGAATGGGTGTCGTAACTGTCCTGATTGCTACAACCTTGTCGAAGATGCTGTAAAGGCCCACCGTGATAAATTGAATGACCTGCAACGCATTCTCAAGGATATTGCTAATAGCCCTACCACAACTGACGATGCTGACTTTGAGAGTCGGTTGGCTGAAGTTCAGCGAGTAGTTAATAAATTGCATGATGATGCCAAAAGTGGTGCAGGAAGTATGTATATTTTCTATACAGAACTACCAATTTTTTTTTTCTAGCTGCAATATTTATTTTAAAATATCCTACAATTTTCAATTTTAGAAGAAGATAAGAGTTTGCTCCAAAAGATTGAAGATTTACGTTCTCAGTTAGAATCTGTGGGCACATTAACCAACCAAGTAAGAAAATGGACAAAGCAGGCTGAAATTGCCACTGAGCTGGGTGAAAAGAATGTCACAATGGCAGAAAGAACTATTGAACGAGTGCAGTCTAAACTGAAGGTTTGTTTAGAACCATTATCACTGCATGTGTCCAGACATAAAGTAATAAGGTTTAAAATAAAAATTTTAAAACATATCAATTTTTTTCTCCGATTAGAACACCATGGAGTATCTAGAAACTGAAGGGCAAGCTGCTTACCAAAAGGCACTTGACAGATCTAATGAATTTGGCCAACGCAGTAACCAAATGTCGGCCATTGCTCGGGAGGCTCGATTGAAAGCTGAAGAGTAAGTCTATTTGTATGCCTTTTGTTTTATCCACACTATAGGCTTTCATCATTTTCTGCTGACTCTTAATCATTTTTCATTTTGGTCTGCAGGCAAGAAAAGGAAGTTGAGAAGATTAAAAAGATTGCTGAGGAAGCAAAGAATGTTTCATCCAAAGCACTCACCCTAGCTGATTCTGCTCTTAAGCAACAGCAAAATACCAGGTACATTTTTAAGTTTTGCTTCAATAATGTGCTTCATACATTTATAACATTTTCCTGAATTTCTGATTTCAGTCAAGAGCTACGCAGACTGGGCGGAGATATTGTGCAACTAGGACAGAAGCTAGAAGGAGTCAAAGCTCTCTCTCAAGCCACAAGCTCTCGGGTGAATGCCACACATGAAGATGCCCTGGGTGTTTTCAGTGACATATTTGCCCTCATTCTCCCTGACATTAATGTTCCTAAACTTAAAGAGGATGCTGATATTGCGAGGAGGGAGGTAAGTAGCCTCAGTGTTTAATCACCAATCCAATTCACCCCCAAAAAATGTATTTGTCTTTTTGTTTGACAAAGTAGGAAAATCCTTTATCTCTAAGAGCATTCCTTACATGAATGAGTAATATTTGACATGTATCTGTTCCAGGCGGAGAGGATGAAGGGAGAGGCTGAAAGTCTGGTGAATACTCATACAGATCTATTGAAGGATCTCAATAAACAGATGCAACAGTCTGAAGATCTTCTTCTGGCGGGAGACCAGCAAAGGCAGAAGGCAACAGATTTATTGGCACAAGTGGATGCGGCTCACATCAGAGCTTCGAAAGCTGTAGCCTCAGGAGATAAGATTTTGAAGGAAGCTCAAGATACCTATGCTACTCTTCAGAGTGAGTTCTTGGACATGCTTAAATCAAGCTGCAGTGTTCTCTCTTTACTTCCTTTTTTTTGTTTATTTTGTTGTTAATTTTTTAAATCTGTATTTTTTATCTTTTATTTACAGAGTTTGAAGACCAGGTTCAGGAAAGCAGAGCGCAAGCACCTGATGCTCTCCGCCAGAGGCCCAAAATTGAACAGATGATCCAGGAGGCCATTGAAAAAACACATGACGCTCACCAAGCCTTGGCGGGTGCTAAGACCAATTCTCAGATTGCTCGTGACACAGCGCAGAAAGCCCAGAAGGGCTATGCTGAGCAGGCTAGTAAGGTGGGCCCCAAACCAGTTCCATGGGATGGAAAATGAACTTGGCAAAAAAAATTTCACCCACAATTTTTTGGTTTTTAATTTCAGGAAGCAGATGAGATCAGGAAGGGAGCTGGAGAAACCAAGGAGAAAGCAGGGAAGTTGCGGGACGAGGCTGACCTCCTGGCTGAGCGAGTTGTTACTACTGGCATCAGGGTTTCAGAACTAGAAGATCAGGCTACTCGAGATGAAGATTTAACTTCAAGTGCCAAGAAAAATGTGGGCCAAGCCAAGAGCGATGTGTCAGATGCATCTAAACAAGTTCAGAAAGCTCTAGAGGAAGTTGATGCTATCATCAAAGAACTCAACGAATTTTCAGATAATTGTAAGGAAATTTACAATATGGCTCTCCCTGATTTAATCTATGAAGCATCTCCTTTATCCATCTTGTTTTTTAATTTTTCAAATTTATCTTTGCAGATGATGACACTCAAGATTTGAACAATCTGGAAGCTCGCTTGAATGCAGCTAAAGAGGAGTTTAGGCGTGCTGAACTTGATAAACAAATTGAGGATTTAACATCAGCAAAGCAGACACAGGTAAGCATTGCTCCTAAGTGCCACTTTAATTCTATAAATACTTTTCTTCCATTATAAAATTGTAACTGTCTTTTGCTTCAGATGCAATGGATGAAGAGTTATCAGGATGACCTTGATCGTTTGACTGCTGAAGTTAATAATATAGAAGACATTCGAGACGCCCTGCCTGCTGGGTGCTTCAGGCAATTGGCACTTGAGCCAGAGCCATGAGGAATCATTGCCCAAGACTGTTTTAAAACATTTAAAATGTGCTGCAGTAGTGTGAATTCACATTGATGTGGTCATTTTTTCCCCTCAGAGGAAAAGAAGTCATTAAGAAACAGGGTCAGTCAGACTGGAAATTAATTTTTGGGGGGTATATTTATTTGACTTTGGGTATGTTGATCCATTTATTGCATAATGCTTGGACCCTGTTCGAGGCAAGGACGAATTTTCTTTGACTTTTAAGAAAGCCTAGATGCTGATCACTGTAGTTTAAAGCATCATAATGGTCAAAGTCAATTCTGGGGCACCAAACAAACATTCTGCCCAAATTGTTTTCCATGTTCTCTAGTACAAAAGTTCTAAGTTTAGACCATTCTGGCATAATACTATGAAGCCCCTTGAATGAATTGATTAAGGTAGAAATACTTCACCAACCATCAAAATTGAAAATGTTAAGTAGTATGAATTCATTCAATACTTAAGAGTAACTAGATGTGCCATTTGTGTTAAATATGTCAGTGATTTAGGAGTGAAGAATAAGTAAGACTGTACGGGGCATTAGTGTCTTTTATGTCCAAACCTCTGACATCTTTCAGAAAACTGGTATCAACATTTGATAGCATAGAATAGTAAAGTTGAATTCTTTTTAAATATCTTGTGTTTTTTTATCCTTTTTTTTTTGTTTAATTTAATAATTAACAGCGTAAGGTTTGCCACTGTTGTAGATATCAGTAACATTATGTAGAATTGTGTAGAAATTTAAGAGGTAAGGTTGTTTTAACTGATTGTTGAATACCAAAGATGATATTTAATGAGGAATTGTGCTAAGTGTCATGCCTTAGAAATCTCATTTCACTGCCAAAATGTTTAAGAATGATGTGTGACTTGCCATGAAAACCAACAAACAGCTTCAGTTTTGAATGTGAAATCAGGAAAATGTTACAATAAACTGGATTACATCTTTAAGGCCTCACTTAATTTGTGACTTGGTATACGATAAATCCTGCCATATCGGGAGAGTTTCAGGAGAACCAAAGAAGCACACAAATGAAGGAAAGAGCTTTTACTTACATATATACACATATAAACGTCAAACGCCTGTACAGGACCAAATGCAGAAATCAAAATTAGACGTACAATATTTATGTACACAAAGACATTTACACACACGCATATACATACAGTATGCCATTACAGGTCGAATGTTACAGTTTGCATCTTACAACTAGTATCACCTCGAGTATCACTGCGTCGTGCAGCAGAGCGGCATTACATAATTTATTACAACTAGAGGCCGCTCAACTCGACGATCACAACCTTACATTTCCCTACACTACCTCCACACTCCGCGCGGACTTCCCTAGCACGGCCAAAGCGGCTCTGCTAGCTTTTGCACACCTGTCCTACACTCCGTTTGGCACTCGGCGCACCGTGTTGGCTGTGTTCCGATTCAGTCCTCTTCCTCTTGCCGGCCGTGAGGGTCTGGTTGGACGGGTTGCCGGTCGCCGTGCCGGTCGCCGTGCCGCTTTCCCGGGCGACGTCGATCTGCACGACGGCGGTGCTGTGCACGGTGCGCTGGACGGCCTTCTTGCCGGCCTTCACGGACTGCACCGTGGAGAAGAAGCGCACCGACTGGCCGCGCGACCTGCCCACCAAAGTTTCAGCATTATAAAAATAGAAAGGACACAGCTTGCAAAAAGAAAATCTCTTTTCTTTCTTACCTTCGAATGAGGAGGTTCTCGATGTGGGCGACCTTGGAGTGGTTGGCGGCCTGCATGCTCTCCATGGTGCCCAAGGTGGTGGTCGTGGCCAGGATGGTGCGGTGCTCCAGGTCGAACCGCTGGGCCAGCTCGGCGAGTCGCCCCGCGTGGCCGAAGTCCCCCACGACGACGAGCATGGCGTCGCCAGGGACGGCCTCCAGCACGCGACAGAGGTCCTGGAAGAACTGCCCTGGCGCCGCGGCCTCGGCCTGCGGCGGGGGCGCGTTGGCGCACACGACGCAAGTGTCCCTGGCCTTGACGGTCTTGGAGCGGAGCAGCAGCCGCGAGACCGAGCCCACCGACGTGAAGCTGTCCTTGTCCAGCGCGCTCCTGCGCACCGCGAAGCCCGAGGAGGGCTGTTCGGGAGGGCCGCTCCACAGCACCCGGAGGCCCTCGAAGTCCTTGAACTTGGCCCCGGCGGCCCAGCCGGCGCGGGCCACGCCGTGCAGGGCGACGACGGCGATGCCGTGCTGCCGCATGTGCTTGAGCAGGATGCTGCCCCCGAAGGTGTGCACGTGGTGCGGCAGCGGGTTCACCCTCCACGTGGCCAGCTTCAGCCACGGCTTCAACCACGGCTTCAGCGTGGCGTTGGCCTCTGCCCCGCCGGACAGGCGCGACAGCAGCGCGGCGTCCGCGGGCCCCGCTGTCGGGGCCTCCGAGGACGGCGTCGGAGTCGCGGTGGCGGTGCCGCGCCCCTTCGCAGCCACTTTCTGCTTCTTGCTGGCGGCGGTCTGCTTCGGCTTCGCGCTGAGGGGCTTCTTGAGGCTGATGCTGGGGGCTGGCGAGCTTCCTGCATCCCTGGCCGGGCCGATGGAGGGGGCGTTGACGAGCTTGTACCTCGTCTGCATGACGCGGGTGGTCTTCATCGGCGAGATCGCAGCGGAGTACGCCAGCCGGGCGGTTCGCTTGATGGAGGCCGCGAGGGTGGAGGTGGTGGTTGCGGCAGCGGCAGGCGGGTCCGGGGGAAGTACCGGGACGCGGCCCGGGCGCCGAGCCTTGGCTTCCAAACGCTTGCCCAGGTTGTCGACCTCTGCGTCGGCGTGCTTGACGGCCACCTTGGCTCTGTCCTCCACACTGGTGACGCTCTCCTCGGCCTCCGCCAGGGCCGCCAAGTCGACGCAGCCGTCGTCGTCCGAGCTCTCCACGAAGTCCATGAGGCCGCGCAGCACCAGCTCGAGCTTCTTGTTCACGTCGTCTTCGTCGTCGACGTCATCATCGTCATCATCCGGGTCTCTGCCGCCGGCTGGAGTGGCGGGCTGCTCTGAGACGGCACTGTCACTTTCGTTGAAACCACTTTCATTTGCACTTTGGCTGCGTGCAGCTGCCCCCTCGCCGCCCCCTTCACCCACACTGGGAGTAGCGCTGTCCTCGTGCGCAGCCCTTGCAGCCCTCACGTTGAATCTGTCGTCTGGACAAATGTCTATCACGGTGCGGGTGCCGTCAGAACGGTATCTGTAGCTTAGGCACTCAGTACAATTGTCAGCCACACTGGACACGGTCGTGTCTTCGCCACGACTGTCTGAGCTTACAGTGCATGAGCCCTTGGCACCCTCGGCAAGCAAACTGGCGTCACTCCGAACCTCAGGACACTTCTCAACCACCGCACTTTCACTTTGGTCACTTACGCCCCCAGAGCACTTATCAGTCTCACTGGAGTCACACCTGCGCTCCAAGGCCACACTCAAACTCTGGTCCTTTAAGCCCTCAGAACAAGATTCGTGCCCTCCACGGCCACCTATCGCACTTGCGTTGCTTGTGGCGTCCTCACATTGAGCAATCGCACCGGAGTCGGTCTTGTCCTCGCCCACCGATTCAGATTGAGCAAGACTTTCTTCGCCGATTCCAGGCGTGGCTTCGCTTTCGCTTTGACACTTGTCTGCTTCACTTGAGTGGTACCTCTCGCTCCGCTCCTTCGGGATGCTCTTGGTCTCCGCTGGGCCATGTTCTTCGTCGCGGGGCTCTGTCTTCACCACCACCGCGGTGCTTTCCGCCGGGCCATCCTCTTCGTCGCGGGGCTCTGTCTTCACCACCACCACGGTGTTTCCCGCTGCGTTGATGGCGGCGTCGTCCTCTTCGTCGCGGGGCTCCGTCTTCACCACGGCCGCGAAGGGAACGGCAGCGAGGCAGTCTTGCGGGAGGGATGGCGAGCCGGACGCGGCGGCGGCCTCCTTCGGCGAGGGCGGCATCGCAGGGGACGGGGAACGCGGAGGGGGCGTGGTGCGTGGCGGCGAGGGCGTTGTTGGCGGCGAGGCTGTTGACGGCGGTGAGGCTGTTGAGGGTGCTGAGGCTGTTGAGGCGGCTGAGGGTGTTGAGGGCGGCGAGGGTGTTGAGGGCGGCGAGGGTGTTGGTGGCGGCGAGGGTGTTGGGGGCGGTGCTGTCCGCGGCAGCGGCGGCGCCGTTGAGGAAGGTGCGGGCGGCGGCGTCGGCGGCAGGTCCCCGTCGTCGTCAGTTATCCGCAGCACGCTGCCGTACTGGCCGTCGGCACCCTTGTAGACGCACAGCGTGCGGCGCGCCAGCACCCCGTCGGGCTCCACCTTCTGTGCCCAAAGGTCCTCGCCGGCCTCGCTCAAGACGACCACGTTGACGGCCTCCAGGTCGGCGCACGCCTGGATCACCTCCGTGCCGAAATGGCGCTGCTCGACCAAGGAGTCGACGTCGGCGATGTACGCCAACATCATGGCCTCCGCGTTGGGCACGCCGCTCGCGTCCGCGAACCGGAGCGGCGGGTAGTGATCCTGGTTCGTGAGCACGGCGTCGAGCAGGTGCTCCAGGTAGGCGGCGCGGCGGGCGGCGAGGTGCTTCCCGATGCGCTGCCGGAACAGCACGACGCGCGGGAAGAGGTGGCCGCGGAGCGGCGAGCACCCCGTCAGCTGCTGGGTCAGGGCCTCGAACAGGCGGTTACCTGGGGCGCCGTCGGGGCCTGCGGCCGGTCTCGGCACCTCGGTGTACTGCACCGCCACGCCGAGGCCGCGGCTTGTCCTCAAGAGGCAGTGGCTCTCGTCCTGGTCCTGGTTCTTGAAGCCCTGCGGCACGCTGGTCAGCGGGAAGGCCTCGCCCTCGCCCTTGGGCGCCGCGTTGCATGCGATGCCCTCGGTGGAGGGAAGGCCGAGCTCGCCGTGCTCGCCGTGCTCCGGCGCGGCCGGGGTCGGCGTCATGTTCACGGCTGGCGGCTTGCCCGGGTCCGCTAGGCCACCCATCTGTGGAATGTGCCATGTCGGGAAGCAACCCGCTGACGCCAGTGGGGTGACTCCGGGCCAGTAGCAGTTCAAGTAGGCCAAGCTGTTGCTGTTGTTGTTATTGTTGATGTTGAAGCTGTCGTAGCAGTAGCCGTAGCCGCTGGCGCTGAAGTCCATCTCCGCGCCGCGCGGCGTCGCGCTGCCTAATCCAAATCGTCCCAATCACTTGCTGCAAGATGGTTATCGCTAACTTGAAGGACACACACGCGAGGCACGCGATAAGAGTCGACGCTGGGCACTGCACTGCACCGGGCACGCGAAACAGCAGACGTACGCGTGCGGCCGTGCCGGCGACCGGCCTGGAACTAGACCAGCACGTCTCTCGACTGACACTGAACGACTGACTGGCTGACTGGCAGCCCAGCGCCCAGCCACCGCTGGCAGCCGACAGTGCTGAGCCAGCTTGCCCTGCTGGCTGTGCGGAGGGTGGGGGTGCGGTGGCGGTGGCGGTCGACGGGCCTCCGCTGCTCCGCAACTGTCAACAACGAGCGCCCCGCCCCCGCCTCTCTGTCGCACCCCCACCCCCCACCCCACATCTGCCCTGGAAATGGACAACACGTGGGGTGTCGCATGGAAATTGAGTCAGGTTTCAACGGCGAAACGTAAACATGACGGAACGGCAACGGTGTAAAAATGATGTTCCCCGAAAAAGGCCGCGTCTGGGGGGCGGGGTCCTCGACGGCCAGAGTCCGGCAGATCGTGACAAGGACAAAATCCCGGCCGCGGCATTCTGCCGAATCAGTTCGCGGTCAACGTCGCCGATTATGTTACCGTTTCATCCCCCCCCCCCTCCCCGGCCCCGACGATATGCGTCGCGCGGAAGATAAAAGGGCACAGTGCATACCGGACGGACACGGTGGAGGGATACCGGATTACACCGTGTTCATGTTCACTCAAAGGAGATGCCTCGGTGTGAACATGAACCCGACACTGTTGCCAGCAAAAGGCGGAGCGTCTAGTGAGGTTTTTCAAGGGCACTGTGTAAGTTGGCAGACAGCGCGGTGAGTGATGTCCAGGAACACCTCGACGCGGAGGCGGGGCACGCCGAGGGGAGTCCCCGTCCCGTGGTCCGGCGTGTCGCTCCGCGGCCTGGCGATGCTTCAAAACTCAACCCTCCGCCTGCTGCCTCGCCCGCGACGCAGTTCCAAGTTCCAACAATTCGACTACCACCACCACCACTCGACGACGCAGTGCAGTCGCCAGGTCGCCAGCGTCGCCAGTCGGTTCTGCGGTCGTAAAACCGAAAGCGCGGTCGTGCGAACGCTGCGAACGGAGATACTGTACTGAGAAACCGGTTCGTCGAGCGGAGGGGTCCTTTGTATTTTCCATCGCAGCCCCTCCGGTGTCCTGCGGTCCTAGACCCAAGTCGTAAAAAGCCTCCCTTTCCTTCGCTTCATGGAGCGTGCAGCGCGCCGTGGTGCAGGTAGCGGTGCGCTGTCCAGGTGCGACGGGCTGAGGCTGCTGCACCCAGCATCCAGGGCTGCCCTGGCTGCCCCCAACCCACTCCATTCATAGGTCGGTGCTGTTTTACCGCTAGCTAGGCGCAATCACTGCATCACTGCAAAAACGTGTCACCTGCCGAGCGATTCGGTGTGGGATGTGCAGACAGTGTGGGGACAGGGTGCAGACAGCAGCTGGGCGTGGGCTCTCAGAAGATGCAGGAATCAGTACTCACTGGATAATAAGCCTTTATTTGAAGCGTGAGGGGACAGGGCGACGCTCAGGGCTGCTTCGGTCGGCGGCGGAATACTGGTTGTGACCGTGCTGCACGGGAGAGGTAGCCTGACTGCCGCGCCTGGGCGACAGGCGCGGGCATTTATACTCCGAGAAAAACTTGCATAAGCCTTGCACGTGCGGCTACTACTTTGTATGACTTGGCTGAAGCTGCAAAGTTGACCTTGCCCGCATGGAGCATCCGCGCTGCGTACAGTGAAGTGCGCCGAGTACACTGTCACGGTGCGGTACGACAGTCCTGGACAGGCTGAGGCTGCTGCTCCTCGGCTGCTCCCAGGGCTGCCCGTCTCACTCGTGCCCACGCGGGGCTCCCTATGAGTGCGAGAGAGACAGCGACGTAAACGACTTTCGGAATCAGTCCGCAGAACCGGCGGCTCAAGGCCCAAGTTCAAGGGCAGCCTTACATACCGCTGATTCCGAAGGTCGCTGTCTCTCTCTCACTCATGGGGCGTGCCTAGCGGGGCTAGCTGTACACATCCTCTAGAGCTGTGTGTGTCCTCCCCGTACGCCACATCTCCTGGGTTTTCCAAACGGTCCTTCGAATGTCGGGCGGCTGTGACGCGGCACGCGGTGACCTCCCTTCCCTACTGACGAAAGGGATGCCTACTCTCACGGCGTCGTGGGAGCCGAACTGGAACGGACAAGTAGCGGGGCTCTCTCTCTCTCTCAACACAATGCGGTGCCCCACGAGTGCGAGAGAGGCAAGGCGGCGGATTCACCCTGCCGACCGCGGCCCGAAAGCCAAAGGACCGGGGAAGTCCTGTGGCAGGTAAGCGATTTACAGTAATCGCGAGTATGTTTAGCAATGAATCCACTGCCATAAAAGTAAAAGTTTATTTAAAAATTTATTTACAAATTTGTACAACATGCTTCAAAAAATAATTTGTTATACAACTACAGAACATCCATTTTGGAAGAGTTTCATTCTTCTTGTCTGAGAATTTGAGACTTTACAATTCCTGGCATGAAGGCACTTCTGAATTGCTGGTCGCTGTGGACCATGAAAGGGACTCCAGCCCTGAGTCTGTCTCCACGTAGGAACTTCAAAATACCCCTATCAATTTTTCAAAAAACTTAAGGTAATATTGACACAGTTGATAAAAATTATAATGGAGGAATGTAGGACTTACATAGAACATACAATCACCACAAAGTCATTGTCATGCTCGTGAAACAAATATCACCAGTTACAGATGTTCAAAAGTCACTATGACTTTATGCGGTTGAATTGTGTTTATTTTGTGACAATGGCATCACAGGTATGATTTTATTGACTATATCCCCTCTGGAGAAGGCAGTGCAGAGCAATTCATTCTTGGTTTTAACAATAACAAAACCACCAATTAGTTACTCCTGTGAGAATGTCTAATACTGACAAGTGTTTCCAGGAAGTGGGAAAAAGGTTTGTAGTCTGTCTCCCTGAGATATGTAACTGCTAATGGATACATGAATAATACTGCGGGGGACAGTAATCACAGATACTTATGAGCTAAACATTTTCATTTTCAATATCTTGTTTTCAGTTATCATAGTAACCTTCAAGTTTGATAAAAAGAAAAGTGGTTTGAACACAAATTACCAGAAACTTCAAACATGAAGCTGCAACTCTCAGTCTTGTAGGGAGAAGTCCTCAGGTGTTTCTTCAATATTACCCTTAAGGTGGTCTGAAGCAGTGCCTTGTGCTTCATTATTGAGAGCAAATTGTTGCTCTCTGCCATTGTTGTGCTTTTGATACATATGCACGCGTAAACAACTTTTGTTTTTCATGACTTTGCCACAATGAGGACAGACGAAAAGATCATGGGAAACACTATGTTTATCTCGCATATGGATTCTTAAATTAAATTTGGTGGCAAATGGTCGACTACAGACTGGACACCAAACTTGTTTTATTTGCTTCGGTCGAGTAAACGCTGGAGGTATCATCCATGGGAATCCTGAAAAGCAAAAATAATGACAAGATAAATTTTAGCTGACACTGGTACAATATAGCTTAATCACTATCAAACAAATATTAGGATAGACTAATTAAGAATGGTGACTAACAATGTTTGTCACTTTCTTTCAGAATGATTTTGTTTATATGGTCATTCTTGACACACAAACCTATTAAATTTACTTTTTTAGGACCCAGCCCACGGCATGTTTGGAGAGAAAGTGCAATACCAGTCTTTGTTTAGTAGGAAAAATGGTACAAGATAATTTTTAAAAAGGAAACCTGGCTAGTGACATGATGAACTTGTTTATTGAGAAATAATCAATACAAACATTACATTCTTTCTGTATTTTTTTAAAGTTAACTTTTATGGTGCTTAACATGACTGACCTAAAACAAGTTACTTAACTTCAAAATTTGATCACAGGAAAATTTATCTACATAACTATATTACTTACAAATGTAAATGTATCCATTTAAATTTTTTTACATCTGAGAAGATTTTTACAAGTTCCTGAAACCTTGATGTAAGTAAAAATTCATGAGAAACAGTTCAGAACATGCTAGTTTCCTGGTTTGTAGATCACAAAAAGAGACTTAACTCAACGTCACCAAAAAAAAGAAAAAAAAAAAAGGGGGGGTCTGAAAATGTCTGACATGAGACCATTTCAACTTTGGAAATGTCGACAGGTATTTGTCTTCTGTTATTAAATAAAGAAAAGTACATACAGGAAAGATAAAACAAACCAACCAATTCATGTACATTAACACAATACAAAAACAGGTACACAAGAAGTGGCAAAAACACTTCAAAGAGAAGATAATAGTTTGTGCCCTATTGTAATACAGCAGTAAACCTACTTGAAAGGCAGACACGATGCAGCTTTTAGAGGATTCTGAACATGCATCAAACAAGACAAAGATCTGTTGTCCACACAAAACAGTTAAATTATGACGAGAGTTGTTGTCTTGCACAATATTCACAGATGTACTTCTAAAACCACAAAAAGAAGAATGTAGAAGAAACCTCTATGAACCTTTCTTAACTTATCAATCATTTACCAGTTTCATTTATAGCTTAATGAAGAAAGATACTTAAGTATTCTATTTGTACATTTACCATGTATCAGCCATAAATAATGCAACCAGTCACTGATGGTTTTGAGGCCATACTTTGATAGATTTGATGACACAAATAAAAACAAAGAAAACAAAATTTTGCTACAAGAATATTTGTGAATTGAACAATAATTTAAAACTGGAAGGGGAAAAAAGGACCTTTTTTGGCTGAAGAGAAAAAGAAAATCTTCTTACAAATATGCCAGCACATTTGTTTAACATGGCAATGACCAATTTCTTTTCTTTGAGAATACCTATTTGATCCAAACTCTCAAGAGATCACAGTAAAACTCTACCGTAGGTGACAGGGAGTCACAGGCCAGTTCATTACAGTTCTAAAGCATTTGCAAACTGCACTATGGCACAAGTATTACAGGGAACCTGAGGCCTCACTGACTTATGAGCTTCATTCATTGCAGCATTCACTTTCTTTCCCATAATTCGGCACTGTTCCAGGCCTTCATGTCTTGGGGCACTAACCATCTTGAAAGTTTTGCTATCTTCACTCGATCATGATCAGCAGGATGTGAGTGAGGTGATATTTTAGCTACGTTATTTGTACCAAAGGTGACCCAGAGACGACTGGTGCACAACTTCCGTTGATCACAGCGCCATTCAATAGTTCCATTGTTGACACGATGCCTTGTATACATATAGCCTCCGAGAAGAAGTTTGAGATGCCCCTTGTCCGTTTTGATGTATTCAACTGCAAAGAAAAACTACATTAGATTGAGGACATTTTAACTTCTATTACATAGGGGTGCAATCACTAAAATAAATTTCTTCAAATTAGCAACATTAAAATTGCTGCTTTAAAACACAAGTTTTGTTATTTTCCAAAAGGAAGAAGGGACAGATGATAAGCTTCACAGACCGGATGATTTGTGGTAGTGAAAATGAATACAATGGGAAATTTTTCATACAAATGACAACAGGAGGGATGAGCAAATTCTGTTTATTGCAATTTTACTTGAACACATGAATAACATTTCTGGAAAACTAGCTCACACAAGTCTCAAATTAACTTTGAGGAACAGGCAAATCCAGTCCAATGCAATGACCCCATAAAAAAGAAAAAATTTAATATGGAAACAAGTGCTACTAGTGTCACTTAGGGTGAGACAAGACATACCAAAAGTAGGTTCAATTGGAAAGAGAGAAAGAAACAATCAAGAAAAGGACAATAAATAATGACTTACATGAATTGCACAACAAATGGAAACCATAAGAACATGAAATTTAATGCTTGAAGTGTCCAGGATCCCTTGACAAATTCGCTTTAAGATGAGAGCTCTGGTTTACCTTTCTTGGAAGATATGGACAAAATTTACTTAGCAAAGAGAATCTCAAAGACCATAGACCATTTTGCATTAGTTAAAAAGCATTACAGTGCAATAGGGAAACTTGGACACAAATAAATAGGAAACATAAAGTAAAGGATTATTTGAGAGACAAAGACATTGAGTGTTAATGCATCCTGTAGACAGTCAATTACAACAATATAGGTCTAATGTGGTTGTGGATATGACATTCTCAACTTCTTAAAATTTGTTCTGTGGTATTCATACATATGAGTATTTAAACTGCGCTTGTTTTTGGACATTTTCCCACAAATAACACAAGAAAAAGGACCCTTTAAACTGCCATGAATATTTGAGCGATGAGTAACCATACAGGCACGAGTGGAGAAGCGGCGATGACATAAATCACAAGGCACTGATTTTTCTTCAGAGTATCTTTTCTTGGCTCGAGACAATATATCCTCAGGAAATTGATACCCTGCACAGAAAGTATGGCAAATTACAAGTCTAGAGACACCAAAGGAGAATTTACACACTCATTGACTTTGTGTCTTCACCATAATTTTAAAATAAACAGTAAGCGTCTCGGTGCAAAGGTGTGTTAGTGTCAAAATGACACCTTACAGATGATACAATTCTGTGTTGTAGAGCATTGGTTCCTGTAATCCTCACAGATGAACATGCTGACAAACTAATAATGTTAGACACAGGTGAATCATACACTTCTAACTCCATGCAAAAAATTTGGTCTGGAAGAGGGAAGATGACTGCAAAAAAAATTCTACGTAGAAAGTACAACAGAACATGGTTGCCGGGGGATCAGGTACATTTATCACCTTGTCATGAACGACATTCTGAAAAGAACTTTTCCATCAGCAAAGTTTAAAAGAAATACTCACCAGGATATCATGGTCTAGATGGTAACAGCATGGCAAGGATGTCAAATTTAGTGTGGTTGAGTTTTTTGGTATTTATGCTTACAATTAGGATCACAATTTTCTGCTATTGAAAAATCATATGAGTACTGAGTGCAGTAAAGACTCTTTTATTCAACTTAACTTTTTAGGGATACATTGAAGAGGCCAAAACAAAGATAAAATGAAATCTACAAGACACACAACAGGTTAATAAAGATCTGGGAATACCATAACAAGTTGAACAACAATGCCAATATATATGGCACAAGAAAACATTGATGTTCAGAGCTTGAATTGAACACCCCAGCTACAAGAAATACAAAAACACAATTCACATCATTCCACATGCACATCTGAATACTCAATTGTGCTTGGGCTTAAAGCTAATATGACGTTTCAAAAGAAAGAACAAAATTGAGACCATTTCGAGTCCAGTAAGATATATTTGGAAAAGCATTGCTTATATTTGGTTCCAACAAAGATAACTGACTAGTTCATAATCTTTGAATTACTTAGGGATCAAGAATTAAAACAAATACTTTGGTGGTTGAAAGTCAAAAACATCAAAACAAAGTAAAGAGGGGTCATAAATCAAGAAAACTTTAACTGGATAATTGCACACATTATTTGAGAACTCAATGGAACCTCATTTAAACACTTACAATAAACTGAAGAAAGAAAGGATAGGTGCAAATTTCAGAAATAAATGTAAGTCAAAAATATGCAGAAAAAAAGGGAGAGGAAGCAAACAACATTTTAGAACCACTTAAATCTAGAATAAAAGTTCAAATAAATGAGGTACACTCAAGTTATTTCAATATTATTGTACCATTATGCATTAATTGCCTTATCAGTCTGTTATGATAAAAAGGCGCTAGAAGAGAGAAAAAAAATGCCTTTTCTCTGAAAAGCTATCACGTAATAGCTTAGTGATGTGATTACTACTTAGGAGGCCATCAATGGACTAGATGGGAGGCTTCATTGCAATCAAATAAAACCAATGGTCAAAACAACTCCACATAGACCCAACACATATCACTGCCAAACAGCCCCACTAAACAGATGAATAACTAAATGAGACTTGAAGTGGCTAAAATGTACCAAAAGTCAATTGTTGAGTCGAGATTTCTAATTGTTTCGGTAGAACCTTAAACTGAAATAGCACAAGAGTCCAAAAGAACTTCTAAAATAACACATGGTTAAAGAAGAATAAATGAAGAACAGTATATTGAAAATTTAAAGGAACTGCAGTTGGCAGGGTGTATCTATCTGTGGCTAAGTGGTGTTAACTGTCATTTGCATCAACGAATGAAATAAAATGGTCTTACAACTAGAAGCTTTGGGATACATAGTACAGTAACATTGCAAACATGTTGAACATTCATTATTATAAAACTACTCAGACAATTGCTAGAATGAAGTATGACTACAGGTTCATAAACTGTAATACCTTGGCACTATTTTATGGTATAAGATTTAATGTAACTACATTTATGTTATGTGTATGATGTCTAAGCTTTCCAAAGACAAATAAAATACATATATTTATATATAAGTTCACTCTACTTTTATATAAGTTCAAGTTTGGCTCAAGTATGAAGGCACTTGTCAAAGGCACTAAATGATACTCGAATAATGCTGTGAAACGAGTACGAGAATGAGGTTCAGATTGACTAACCTATGAAACAATACCAATACCACTTCAATAACTGCGCCTAAACAGCTAATACTGGTGTCTCCTTTGTAGCAGAGGGTAGCTGAATAGTACATCTCTAAAATCTCATTCAGACAAGTCCAATTATACTGATCAATCAATTAAAAAATGGACAGTCACCGAAAACTAATAGAAAAAAAGCAGAGATGGTGCCATTTTTAGAATCATAGTTAACATGAAGTTCAATTTTGTATTTATACCCTAAAACTGTATATTATTATATGAAAATAATTTAAGTTTAAGGATGCAAATTAAATTTTCTTTGCCCAATAATTTTCTTGGCAGTTTTATGGCACTGAAGAAATCAAACGTTACTGACTAAAAACTGCTCAATAATCCTGAGCAAAACACAACAAACAAACAAACGGTTGGATCGCTTGGCTTATCATGACTAGTTGATGCTGCCTTTGATTGTACAATTTCAGACTAACTTTGGTCAGATAATTTGGTTTGTCTACTATATGTCTAATAAAAATCTGGCCCTGTTTAAAAGTGACAGAATGATGCTACAGGGTAATAAATAAAACTTTATCCGTAGTAAAATCTATCAGGATGGGACATCTGTGGTGGCCGTGGTAGCAGTTGATGTTGATGTCGCAACTTCACGAGAGAAGTGATACTTGGTTACATGCTTTCGCAAGCTATCAGCATTCTTGTATAACTGCATACAAATGCAGCAAGTGAATGGCCCTGCATCTTGCCCATGCAAGTTCCTCTCATGAGTGCGCAGGTGATCTCTGCGAGTGAATGTCTTCTGACACAGCGTGCAGCGGTACTCAGAAGTAACACGGGAAGCATTGGGCCGCCAGAGTTGATTGATGATATTTTTCTTGAGAATGCTCACACCTCTGCTGCTGTTGTGAATGCTAAGACTGTGTCTCAGCACTTGCAGACTGTATCCCAGCTCTGGATTCTCAGCCTTGGAAGGCAAACTGCTGGGCTTTCCATCCTCATCCTCCTCTTCAAAGTGATTCCCTGCAAAATCAATACAATATGTGGACAAAAGCACTCAAACTCTAGGTGCAAGTCAAAGTGGCGCATAGTGCTTAGTATTCATGCACAAGGAAAAATAGAAGCAATGAGAATGAAAGAAAAAAAAAGACAAGAAAAGAAAACTGGTAATAAAAATCAACCAAATCAAAGGCTAGTGACCGTGCTTTCTGATTTCTTATAACCACCAAGCACCAGTTAGGTTTACAAAGAAAGATAGATCTACCATTCACCAACAATAATCACAAAATATAAAAAAAAAAACACTGCCAAGCAATATTTTAAACTAAGCCGAAATTAATATCCAACATCTAATAAGTGAGTAAATGCTGCAAACAAACAAGAGTGAATAGAATAAGAACATTGATATAGACCATTCTGAAAGAGGTTAAGGATTGCATGTAAATGAACTCGATCCCATAAATCAGTGCCACTTCATGTAGGTTTGAAAACATGAAAATTGGAAGTTTTCTTAGGAATTAAAATCTCGATGACTCAAGGCACAACGCAACTTGTTGACAGTTTCTCAGCATCTATCGATTAAAGTATATTTGCTTTTAAGAATATTGAGAAATGAGAAGGAACAAGGGTCAATAGTTTCAGTATCGTTTCAGAATATTACTGAGGAACTTGAGTGGGAAAACTCTCTAATCTGAGCTATCAAGAATATGAGATAAATCTTTTCTGAACAAAAATTATACTCAAAGGATTGAACACATGATGTACTGTTATATAATAAAACGCCTAAACCAAAAAAAAAAAAAAAAAAAAATGCACTGTCCTGTATGTGCTGTGCCAGGCAAACCGTATTAATCCCCTGATGAAATTACCAGAAGAGCAAAGACTCCACCAAAATCACCAGTAGAAGACAGTTCTCACAAACTGAATTAAGAATCAACGAGTCAAAGATACAGAACTCACCACCACCATAAAGAAAGGCAGCTATGTGATGAATGCCTTACAAGAGGTAAACTCTAAAGACGTTACAAAGCAAATCTTTTAAGTAAAACTTAATGCAGAGCATTCAAATGATTATCTGTCCAAAATAGGTATGAAGGCTAGTGCTGTGTACCATTCATGCTAAAAAATTAAATTAAATTAAAATAATTTGAAATGAAGACAAAAATTATAACTGAAAGCATGAATTTCAAGGGTGGAAAGCAGCAAAATTAAACAATAAATATAACAAAAGAAAAAGTTGGTTGCACTACAGATGATTCCCTGCACCAATGAAAAAAAAAACAACAAAATAAATAAATAAATAATACACTATGATGTACCAGAAACCAGTTAAATTCTTATACTCATGCATGTAACTCCTATATGTCTTCTTACCATTTGCTATATATTCCAGCAATCTGCAACGTGTCTATTGGTATAGAGAAAAATTAAACACACCATGAATGGTATTAAATTTGGAGGGTGGAGGCACAGCAAGTGGAGTGAATGAGTCAAATCAACATGACTACAGTCTTTGGCAAATGTTCCTATGCTTAGTAAAAACATAATCCTTCAGCCCGCACAGAAATCTGAATGAGATAGAAAATCCTACACTAACAATGATGTATAAACATGATTTGTTGTCAAGAGAAGAACATGGTAATGGTAATTCATAAAATAGAATGAAAAAAGGTTATTTGTCCAGAAATGGCAATTTTTATAGCTGCGAGAGCATATTAAAGTAAGGATTTGTGAAAGGGAGACAATTAAGAGGGATAGAACAACAACTAGATGTAAAAATTTCACACTTTGTATTTCAAAAGGTAAAAAGCAAATGATTTCATCACAGCACAGGGTAAAAGGCAAATCAGAATGGTTCTGCAATAATGAATAATGAACTAACACACAAATCTTAAAAGATCAAAGAAAAAAAGAACTAGACAAAACAGTACGAGGTCCACCCCTGCTAAATACTGGACAAAAGAGATTTATAAAGAACAGGTAGCCCCCTAAATGGTATAGGTACTTTAGTGATAGGCACCTCCCAAACATGTGTTCTTGTAACACAACCCCCCTCTCAACCCCATAAAAAGATTGGCATTCAAAGATCATATTATTACTATTATTTTGACAACTTCAAATATTACATACCAGTATATAGCAGTGTTGTTCCATGCAACCTGCCCAACAAAAATCTAACTGAATAATTATAGACCAAGCCAATTTGACTGGAGTCCTAGGCCTGAGGGCTCCTGAAGCAGCCCAGAAAAGACGGTATCATACCTCTGCCCAGCCACCAACAAGGGTCCACAAGGATCTAATAATATGAATGTATTCCTACTGCTGGGGTATTCCAGCAATATTGACAGATATAATATGTACCACAAATTCAAACAAAACCAAGGACACAGTAAAAGAGGCTTATCTTCAACAAAAATTTGAAATAGAAATAGCTTTATCAGTCTTTGATCACAAACCATCTCATTTCTTTAGTGAAAGAATACAAAAGTTATGGCTACACCCGGCCACACCTGCTTCTACATAATTAAGACGCGAACCCATATGTCTACAGCACAGAGTGGCTCAACCATTTGACACACATAAATTCGAGTCTTGAAGGGCCTCACTATCTGGAACATTAGATTCCGGAGGCAGCAAACTACTACCGCGAGCTCCAGGCCTCTCTGTGCTTGCTGAACTTTGGCTGTTCCGGCCCCCACCATGATATTTCCAGCGATGATATCGTAAGCTACTTTGGTTTTTAAAAGTCAAGAAACACAGCTCACATGATACAGGGAGAGAACTTGTTGAAGGATCGTGGGCATCCTTAATGTGGACGCGAAGGTTGCTTGAATTACTGTAAGTTCCATCACAATATGGGCACTGAATCTTGATCCGTTTTGATGAAAAGCTTGCAACATTCATTCCAAAGTTTCCAAATCCATAACCAGCTGCAGCTCCACTATTCAGTTGATAAGTGTTCAGGGGGCCTGGAAAATGGAATGCACAATTCTTCACACTTACTAAGAATAGATAGATCAAGAAATGAGCACAGGCCACCATCAGAGCACTAATCCAAAGGTATCCTGTTCCTAGAAGAGACAACTCAAATCACAAACAATAAAATAGACATCAGGATTTGACTGAAAAGATTGGACCTTATTCCACCAGACAAACAATCTGAAGTATTTAAATCTGGTATGAAGTAAGTAAGATCAATCACCCTAACAATGTTTGGCAAAAATTGCTCAATAATATGATGTACTCGCACTGATAAATTTTAGCACATTTTGAAGGGCTCATTGTTGGGAACAGATAGAATAGCCCAGTGACCAACACCATGCAGTTCAAGGTAAACAGACATCCCCTCCTCCCCTCCAAACAAAAACCCTAACACCTAACAACTCTCTAATGCTGCTTGAAGTAAAATGTAACTGATGGCTGATTCTAAGCACCGGATACGCATTTATCTGTATTATGTATAGTTAAGACATATAAATTAAGATTTGTCACTTTAGGTAAACTGTATGAAGACAACACACACAAGTGTATACAAAAGAAGCCTTGTTTTGATGTAGTGGATTATCTTCTGAAGGTCCTTTCTAGAATGTCAGCAATATTAATGATGATTCTGCAAAAAAATTTGAGAAAGGAGGTAGAAATGAAATGAACTAAAAAAGCCAGACAAGACACCCCTAGTTGCAACAAATCAAAGGTCAAAAAAATAAAATAAATACATACCACTTTCTTTATGTGTCAGTTATCTTCTCATTAACAAAGTTTCTTCTTTTTTAGGTTAAAGACAAATAAATCATCGCAAATAAAAATAGTGACCACCTTAAGTTTGCTCAAGTATAAAACCATTATCTCCCTCTAAGCCTTCGTCTAAGATAAAGGTATTGTGAACCAAGGACAAAGGAATAATGCACACACAGTATGAAATGACTAATTAAACACTTTGTATCACTTAACCAGACTTTCCCTGACAAGCCCCACCTTATTTCTTTACATGACAGAAATGGTCAATTGCTTACAGTGTGTGCTACTATGTCTAACGTCTAGAGCTTCAAGGTTTTTCCGCGGGGCAGCTTCTTCCGAAAAGAATCAGGGGTTTAAAGACATATTACTTTTGAAAATTGTGCAATTGAGTACGTATTTTCGGAGACCAAAGTTGTTTGTAGCGTGATCTCTCTCTCAACCCCTCTCCCCCTTACTCCTCTTTTCTAGCTAGAGCCTGATAAGCTTAATTTTAACTTTGAGGGGCGGGTTCTTACTCAGGCTTTCTTATGCTCCGGGAAGATTCTTACGCTGAGCCAATGGTCTAATGCTATGGGAAAGCAATGAACCACTTATGGTGATTCTTATGCGATGACGCTCGGCGCGGCTAACTATCTGCCAGCGGGCGCGGTGTGAGGGCTTGTCACAGCGTGAGCTTTCATATATCAATCCGCGACGGAGTTTTCGGCTTAGCCTAAGGCCATCGTCACGTCGTAAGAAAGACTAAGTAAAAACCCACCTTGAGGCCTACAAATAGCACTAAATGAGCTACAGCCTGCCCGAGAAATTTTCGGTATAATGTTCAGTAATGTTCTACCTAGCACCGTAAGGAACGACTTCACCGAATTGTCCATATACTTTACCTTACGACAGGCATAGCTTTGATCAATATGTTACAATGTGAACAGATATATTTATGAACACCTATAAAACAATAGTGACAAACACATTTCAAATCAACATAGTGGTCACCCGAAAACTCCACAAAGCTAAGAAAAAATTATTGTGATTGGGGCTCTGCATTCTTATCTAACAAGAAACAATGCCACAGCAGCCTCATAATGATAATCATGAAAAAAGAACAAAAAATAAAATAACAACAAATGAATGAAATCAACACACAAGAGCAGTACTCATTTCTTCGAGGGCGAACATGTAAAGAGTAATGTCATAAGAACAAAGAACAATGTAACCATTCCATAATGTTTCATCCCTATGCAGGGTTTTCATTGCTTGGCTATGTTGCTCGTAACTTAGGTCCAGTTTTCAAATCTTTAGAACAAAGACAGACACATGGGAAGAAAAAGGTTAAAAGCAATGCAGCCTGTGAATGCAAATGTGGCAAACACTATGTTAGTAGACACTTGAACATGCTCTCTATTAACTACTGAAGTCTGTTAATTCCAGGATTGTATGCCTTGAATGCGAGGAACAAAATTATCAGAGTAAATATCCTAATAATTTTATCTTGAGCATTAACAACGCATACAAGATTAATTTATCACTCATATGATTAACACAATTTTAAACACAATGCACTACAAGAATACCTCAGCTCTGAACTTCACATTCCAACCAGTAGGAGTTTGAAATGTAGAGAGAGCATGTTGGAATTACTAAATCTAATGCACCCAACTGATATTGCACATCTCATGGCCCAGACAAACCAAATTTAGAGGCAGATCGTATTTGTTGAGTTTGTCAAACAAGCTTATAGCCTCTTAGGTTAAATGATAAAATATTTATTTCTTTGACTTATTACAAAGGCTAGGTAAGGAATTGTAACCTGAAGATGTATGATAGCAATCATGAACCATTGTTTTCCCCACCCACCCCTCCATCCCAGCTATGTTGACAACAGTAGGCAATACTGAAGTCAAAACAGAAATGAATGGGACATTATTTTCATGCCAATTACTTATAAATGTATAAATTATCAAGGATTGAAAATTTAAATTTTAGAGGAACTTGTTTAAATTTTCAAACCACCAACAATTATTTTTTTGGCTGAGGAGAAACAACTGTAGAAGTTGTAGAAGTAAAATTATACAACCCAAAAGAAAAGCATATGCAAAGGAATTGAAATCGTACAATATTATCAAACTGTATGTTAACAATCATATTTAATACAGTTGTTTGTCCTCAAAATTAAGAAAATCCTAATAAATTCTAGAATCCTACCTTGACTGGCATCCTGAGTCCCTGTTGAATCACCTTGTCCGTGCGCTGACATAGAACTGAACACCGCAGGATCCATGCCTGTGAAAAATATGGTTAAAAGTGTCTAAGATAAGATAAACTTAACAGGGTGGGATGTCTAGATAGTTTTGAAATGCCTGTGCAGTCACATTTATTAATTAGTACGTCCCTTTCTTGAACTATACAAGCAGAAGGTTGGCTAACCTTTTGTTTTTAAATCCTCACTTAACATACCTTCTGAATGAATTCCTCCATGGCTACTTTCTCCTGCTAGCAGAGTCACCAAGGAGTCGCTGGCATCTTTCTCTGCACTGTAACTGTCACCACCATCATCAGTGTCCATATCTCTGGGTTCAACTTTAGGATGAGCCAGTTCAGGATATTCTGAATGTCCCCTTGTGTTGCTGTTTTCTTCATTGACTGAGTTTGCTGTAGCAGGGCTTACAGGTCCAGAAACTCTTTTCCTCTTGAACTGTGATGAATGGATACTCCTTGAATCATCAGACAAAACCATTGATGCTGATACAAGTTTACCAGAGAGGTGTGTTCTATCTTTAGATGGCTTAGATGGTAATGCTTGAGGCTGCTGCATTTGGTTGCTTGGGGAAGAACTCTGAGAAAAGGAAATAAAGTAAATTTGAATTATAAGGTCTGTTATTGAGTCTCGAAAGAAATGAAAGGCGAAATCATATCAAATCAAGCAGCAAAACAATGAATGCTTTTTACATACCCGTTGACTATCATCCCCAGTTAACCCTTTCACTTCCAACATTTCTGCAGTCTTAAGAAAACCACCCAACTCTTCTTGGCACACATTGACTTCACCTCGGTACATGAATTGGAGCAAAGCCTCCAAATCTTTGTACGCAACATCTTTAAGAATAACAATTGGATGCTTGCAAGGATTTACCTATTCAAAAGAAAAAAAACATTGATGATAAAATAATGCTTCACTGCCAAAATGTAAATGAGTACTCAGTTATTGATATAGATAATAATGCTTTACTTACCTTGAACAGAGTCTTGAAATATGGACTACAAACAGACAAAACAACTTTGTGTGCTTGTAGAAATCGCCCATCAGCAGCTAGAGTGACATCGACTAAGTCTTCTCCTTCCCACAGGGCATGAAACCCTGAGGTCATATTGCTCTGGAAATTGTTCCATCTTAGAGAAAACTGCTCAGCTGTTGCCATTATCTACCTATAATAAAAAAATTAACAAATTAAAATTCAAAACCAAACACAATAATAAAATTTCAAACGTTCCAAAACTGATTTATAATTAACTCAAAATGCTACTCAATGAAAACAATTATAACAGAGGATTACTTTTTTCCCAGAAAGGATCAAAATGTTGTGCAAGCAACAATTCAACAATACAACGGCAAAATACTTTGAAGCTTGTGGAGGGGAAAGGGTTACGCGTTTCTAGACACCGCAGAGGAAACGAACAGACCACTGTATATTAACCCTACATATACGGGTAACACTCAACCCCGCCGAGCGCACGATTTGTCGACGCGAAGTATGCTTATGCAAGTGAATGGGAGCGGCTGAATGTGGCAGCCAAGTTCATTGTGGGCTGCGGCCACAAATCACCAAATCGCGTCGGAAATCTGAAAGGGCATTCATCTCCGGGTCCAAGCGCGAGCCGAGCCGAGCCTACCCAGCCCAAGAGGACTGCAGCAGTCCGAGTCCCCGCGGTCTACTCAGGCCTTACCTAAATCGCCTAGGCGCTCTCCTCTGTTCACACATCGATCCGCAGCAGGAAAATTGGGACAACGTAGTGACTGCTAACGAATCTCATCTGTTCCAACGAAAACAATTAAACAGAAGCACCAAAATTAGCAGAAAGTTCCTGAGCAATAGACGCCAATCTTAACAACAATGCTTTTTTTGTTACACAGCATCACCGCCTTCTTGAATGTAGTTGGTGCCCCCCATCGAGCTCACAGGATACCAACACATCGGCACGAATAACTGAGCCACATTTCAGTAGGTTTTCACGCAAATCCTTAGCCAAAATTGACTGAGAGTGACAGAATTCAATACAGAAACTTCGAATAAAACATGGGATTTTGACAAGGCACTCGCCCTCTCGACGGCGATTAACTGACCGTCATACAAGTGGACCTCTTGGATGTCAACAGACTGTACAAGCAGCTTTGACGGTTGACACAGAAGTTGATTGTTTTTGTAGTTTTCACTTCATGTAATTTTAAGGCAATTCCGTCTTAAAATTCTGAATGTAATTCATCGGAAGGTAAAACATTTTGATTTGTCGAATATCTCTTGATTATAAGAAGCCATGAGACGTACCCTCGGCCTCTTCGAATCTGGATATGCAATCAAGCCTAACCCCCTGGAAAAAGCTTTCTACTACATTTAAGCCTCAAAATCGTCTCACAATCTGTTGATTCTGTCGTCGTTTCCTTTCGATTGCTTAAGTGGACTGATAGTCAGTCCATCTCTTTCTCGCTTTCGTGCTTACACTGTAACAATCTCACCTTTTTGTTTCTGCTTGTATATGTTAGGTTTGTAAACTGAATTTGGTCCACCACCTAGCCATAGCCAAACCCATTTCCAATTCTGTTATTTTCCTTAAGTTTTCTTTAATTTTCCAGGAGGAATCATTTCCAAAAATTTCAACACTATTATAACAATTATCTCAAGATGTCTCTCAGTGCAAGTGCCGAAAATCTCACAAGTGACACACAGGTAACAGAACGTGAAGATGATAAAAACATTCATCTGCGATCAGATATTTATTTCTTTCTTTTGTTTTTTCACAGAGCTGTGGTGACAGTAACAACATGTGCTTAGAACTGGCTCTAGAAGGAGAACGTCTTTGCAAGGCTGGTGATTGTAGAGCAGGAGTTGCCTTTTTTCAAGCTGCAATTCAAGCTGGCACAGATGACTTACGAACCTTGAGTGCGATTTACAGCCAATTAGGAAATGCTTATTTCTATCTTGGAGACTATGCCAAAGCTATGCAGTATCACAAGCATGATTTAACCCTTGCAAGGTTTGTCATTATTATCTGGTCTGATGTGAAGTGTTTTCATCCATTTGGGTATGTTTGTGTTTTGATCTTCATTTTTGTTTTAGAACAATGGGAGACAAATTAGGTGAAGCCAAATCAAGCGGAAACCTTGGGAACACACTTAAAGTAATGGGAAAATTTGATGAGGCAATGATATGCTGCAAACGACACTTGGAAATTTCCCGTGATCTTGGTGACAAGGTCTGTAAATCTTTTTTTTTTTTTTTAAATTCTTATATACGTTTAGTTTAATTAAATCTTATATTATTTTGCAGCTGAGTGAAGGAAGAGCCCTGTACAATTTGGGCAATGTTTATCATGCTAAAGGTAAACATATTGGCCGTGTGGGACAACAAGAGCCTGGAGAATTTCCTGAGGACGTCCGCACCTGTTTGAAAGAAGCTGTTCATTATTATGAGTAATGCCATAGTGAAATTTCAATTAATTTATTTTCAATTTAAAAACTCTTGAAGTTTTGCCTTATCTAATTTTCCTGTCCTATTCCAGAGAAAATTTAAAGCTTATGCGAGAGTTGAATGATACAGCTGCTCAAGGCAGGGCCTGTGGGAATCTTGGAAATACATATTATCTGTTAGGTGACTTTCAGCAAGCTATCCGTTATCATGAAGAGGTACGCCACATAGATTTGTTTCACTCGTATTCTGCTGTGTTGTAGTTTCTTAATGCTCCATAATTTTATCAATTTGTGTGCAGAGGCTGAAAATAGCTCGTGAGTTTGGTGACCGTGCGGCAGAAAGAAGGGCAAACAGTAATTTAGGAAACTCACACATATTCCTTGGTGAATTTGAGGCAGCAGCAGAACACTACAAGTAAGCATCTCTATGCAATTAATTTGACTATTTTAATTTATTTGTTATGTTGCTCATCTTATCTTAACAATTTGTTTCTGCAGGAGAACTCTTGTGCTTGCTCAAGAGCTGGGAGACAGGGCTGTTGAAGCACAAGCCTGCTATAGTTTGGGAAACACCTACACCCTCCTTCGAGATTATCAAACTGCCATTGAGTATCATCTGAGGCATTTAATTATTGCTCAGCAATTGATGGATCGTGTTGGGGAAGGTAATGCATTTAACAATAGCATATTCTACCTCTTCTACAAGATCCGACTTCTTTGAGAATTAACTGTGAATTATCATTCATCAGGCAGAGCATGTTGGAGTTTAGGAAATGCCCATGCTGCCATGGCAAACCATGAAAAGGCACTTCATTTTGCAACAAGACATCTGGAAATATCAAAAGAGGTATGTCTTACTCATGAACCCTATAGTTGTCATGATGTATTCCCTCTTTCTCTCCATTCATGATATTATTTTGTTTTTGCAGTTGGGTGATCCTATGGGTCAAGCTACTGCCCAGATGAATGTCAGCGATCTCCGCAAGGCACTTGGTCTACCTGTGGATGAGCTATCCCCTAGTAGTCTGGAACTGGTTTCTGCATTAAGCAATCAGCCTTCTCCTGGACTCAGGCGCTATAGGGTGAGGCGCCAAAGCATGGAACAGCTGGATTTAATCAAGGTCAGATATCCTTTTCCCTATTCCCTCTCCTGATGCCCGTTCGATGGATCACTAACATGCACTCATCTGGGTGGTAAGGTACTCAGCATGTGTAGAGCTTTAACATTGGGACCGTTCAAATGCTATCAAAAAGCGCGGATTGAAAGTATCCAAAATGTATTTGACTGAATACGGCATTAGTTGCTGTTCAAAAATATGCAAATAAATTGAACGGTTCCTTTGTGGGAAGGTTCTTCTCACACAGGATGTGGTCATCAAATTCATCGGGCTCTAACTCTGGTGCTGAACTTAAGAATAGTTTTGGGTGTGCGTTATTTACTTAAGTGCCATATTCTACTAGTCATCTAACATTGGGTCCTTCAGTGCTATCTTCAAAGGTGCATTTTCATGTCTACCGTAACATTTCCAAAATTTTCCTTGGTACTAGGTGGCATTCAGTAATATAATATCCTATCTTCACCTTCTTAATAACTGTGCGAACGTCTTATACAATGTGTATGTCCAGTTCCCTTCCTCTGAACTCTTTTTTTTATCCTGACCTGACTTTCATCCATATTGTTTATTTTATGTTATAGATAATTACAGATAATTTTAGAAGCTTGAATGCCATTGTGAACATTGCATGTATGTAGAAGCTTGTGAACATTGCAAACTTTGACTGATTTGTACTTAGAGTAATTAGCTGTTTAGTTAGTTACTGCATTTTCTCTTCCTTCTTAACATACAATAATGCATGTTTTAAGTGTTGAGTATTATTGTACTGTATGTACATGTATTTTATGTATGTTTTGACCTAGTTTTTCTCAGTATTCTTGATTAGCTATTGGTGTATCTTTGTTCTCAAGATCTTATTAATTTTTAATTTTGTTCTGACAGCTTACTCCTGATGGCAAACAGAGATCATCTCCCACTGCATCTGTCGCGGCGACTTCCAGCGGCTCTGGAGATACTCATATGGTGAGGAAAGCTCTCCTCAAAATCAAAGCTAATGCAATGGATGTATCTCATATTATAACTCTATGTGTTTCTTCTAGACTGAGCATACAGATGATGAAGATTCATTCTTTGATCTTCTTTCCCGCTTTCAATCTAAGCGTATGGACGACCAGCGCTGCTCTTTGAAGAAGTCCGATAACAAGGAAAACTCTCATTCTAATAATGGAATGCCCATATTCAAAGGATTCAGTCAAAAGTTGCCTCCTGTCAAGGCACCCACCCTTCCTAATAATGGTATAATGTTCACTTCTTCTATCCAACCATTTAATACTGAATTCTACAATATATTTCTATTTTACTTAATATAACTTTCCTCCTGAAGGTGATGGCCCTGATGATCTGCTTGATCTTATTGTGGGAATGCAAAGTAAGCGGATGGATGAGCAGAGAGTCGCTCTTCCTCATCTTCCCGGTTTATGTCCACCCGGCAGTAGCCAGGGACAGAGGCAGAGACTATCTCTTGCCAGTGGAGTGGATGCCACTCCTGATGATCAATTTCTGGAAATGCTGATGAGATCACAGGTAAGGGCAACCTAAAATGTCTCTTTAAGATGCATGGGTGCACTATGTTCTTGTCATGGCCTTTTGGTAACTCTTGTTAAATATTTCTTTGTGATAGTGTGCTCGTTTGGAAGATCAGCGCAGCTTCCTACCGGGTGGTCCAGAGGATGTGGATTTGGAAGACGTGACAGTTGCTGTTGACGGAGCTGTAGCAGCTGGGTCTGTGCCTACCAAGGCTCCCACTGTTCCTGATGAAGACTTTTTCTCCCTTATTTTAAGGCTCCAGTCTGGACGTATGGAAGATCAACGTGCCTCAGTACCAACAGCAAGATATCAGCATCCTCCTCTTTCAGAAAAAACATTAAACGCAAAAACAAATAATGCTGCTGCACGCAAAGACAAGAAATGATATTTGAGTAAACATCTGTCCTTGTCCAGAGATTGAAACTGAGTCCACTAGTCTGTTAAACAGGAGTAGGAATTAATTTTTTTTCTTTTTGTGCTACCCTGTGCAAGAAAAGTATTTCTACTGATTTTTATCATGTGTCAGATCCTGACCTTAAACATATAAGGAAAGACCTGCTTGGGCTGACTCATTGTTTTCTGTCACAGTTCTTGATACTACACTATGTCGTTAATTTTGTCAAGACTCTATGACTTACATTAATTCCTCTGGATATTGGTCAGATGTGTTTTGTGCCAAATGAATGAACTCATGAAAGTAGAGCCGAGTTTCAACTGTTGATTTTTGCTGCAGTATTACTAATCACTTCACAAAATTTATACCTAAACTTTGTTGTTGTTGAGAATATTTGTACTCATTTTAGTATCGATCATGGTGTCCATGCCACTATTTATAACTCATGCTTGTATACCTTGTTACGACTTGTTCCTTATTATGACCTTTATTGGAGAAAGATATGATCTCTTGTTCTCCACATGAAACATTTATTTTTGTGCTAAAAACTGTTATGAAACTCATATTTTGCGACTGATGCTTTCCAGCACTGCTTTGTTTCCAGTGCATATTTGAGAGTATGCATGAGAGAAGGGTGCCCTTCTTTCTCTCATTAAGTAGTTAGGGCTAATGTGAGAAACAGAAAGATAAACACTAGCCGAAAGATTTTCTGCGTATAGATTTGCAACTTGTTTCCATCCTGTAATATCGACATAGCAATATAGCAGATCTTCAAATTACCGAATATATTACAAAGCCGTATCCAACAGTGCCTAACAGAACTGATACAATATATGGCTACCAGTGAAGGTAGTTGTCTACTGCTGTATTTTATCACTTTTCATTTCAAAATTGAAGAAATGGTTTTTTATCTGATCCACCATGCTAGTAACTATGTATTAGAATGTGTTCTCCAAATTAGTCATTGTGTATCAGGTAATGCACCACTAGCTTTAAGACAAGAAGAAAACTGAAACTTGGTACATGTTTTCTTTCAGTGGAAAATTGACATGTATTTTTTTTGTTTGTTTTTTTGCTGTAGTGTTTTCCTATTCTGTTTCTCTCTTTTTGAATTTTGAAAATGCATTTTCAATCAACTTGTATAGTTTATATGTAACAGATATTTTTATTTTTTAACAATAATTTTAACCTTAACATGTTTGTAGATTATCTATCACACAGTATTCTTTAATTTGCCATTTATTTTAACATACGTATGCCATATGTTTAGCAATCATGATTTTTAAAAAGTTTATGTTATCTCTCTCTTTTTCATATGTAACCATTGTACCAGTAAGTGTTTATGGCCTAGTTGTGATTAGAGAATAGGCTAAAATTTACTCTGTCCAGACATTGTGTATGTTAAAACGTTTTTACATTTCTACTACACAAATTTTATTTGCTTGCCAAAGATTCATAAATAGAATATTTTAGCTTATGTAGTAGACTTTTCCTCTTATTACTACATTTGGTTATCTTGTTCTTTGTTGTTGAGGACCTGAGAACCAGTGACTAGAGTGCTATTTATTTTAGTACGTAGCTGAACACATGATATAAATCCAGGAACACAGAGTTTATTTTGTGGTGTATTAATGTTCCATCTCTTCATGTGCTGTCTCTTTACATTTTTTGTTAGTTTGCACCAAGAGCAAGGAAAAAGAAAATTTCTTATCTCTATATTTAACTAATGATGGTTTCTTTGGTGCACCGCCACATTCCATGAACCCTCACTGCTTTACATTATTTTTATTTTTCATTGTTTGACTCCTCTGCTAGACCTATTTGGTTTCAGGTCCAATAATCAAGGACATGTACTCAAAGTAAGCCACATTTATAGTGGAAAAGTAAAGATCTTTCGCATAGGTCTTTCCTATGTACTCAAATTCTATATTTTCCGAAACTTTTCTGAACAATGGCTGTGAGGAACCTATTGTTTATGGATGTTTATCTCTTCGCAGCAGTAGAATTTTTCGATTCGCACTGGTGCATAATGTGTTTGTCCACCTTTTGTCAAGTTCAAATTAAATTCCAGTACGTGTTATTGTTTTGTTTGTTGTATTGCATGTACTTGCCTGTTATAAAATTGATTTATTAGTACCGTAATATGGCTAGAAATGAGCTTCTTAAGAAATTCATCCACATATATATTATTTCTTATGGCCACAAATTATTTGTAAAAAGTATATATAATAATAAACCTATGCCCTTAAATACATAAGTGTATGCTTTGGATGTTTTCCCTTGTCCTCAACACTCCTTGGAGAAACCATTCTAACGATGGCGGGTTTGGCAAATTATGAATGGTACACGAGATGACATATTTTGTTGGCAGGACAAATGGATTCTTTCACTAAGCAAAATAAATGTTTTATTGTTTTTTTAAAATTTATTTGTGTCTTTGGTAACAATTAATATTTAGGAAAAGATATGAGGGAATGCATGAAGTCGTGACTGTCTTCCTTCCATGAACTGAGATCAACCCGTGGAAGGCTGTCGCAAGGCGTTTCTTCATTGCTGTAAATGCAAAACAAGAAATTGAATCATTTGTTGGGCAAAAAGATCAAAACAGAACACAAACATATACTATAAGTTATGCACCACTATTTTTAACATTGTGGACCAGAAATTGAATACATCATGGTTTTTTCACATTTTGGGCAAAAAATTTAAAGTGGCCCAAATTGGAGCTGGTTGTGCAGGAGCACTCCCCCGTGACTCCTGTCACTATTTCAGGGACCATTTCGGCCCTTAACAACCGCACCGGAGCTCAACTAGCGTCACTGGAAACGTCACTTTTTGTCCCCTGTTACACCGCGCCTCGCGTGTAGCGCCTGCGAGGTAGGCCACCGAGTTGCCCCTCAACACCCCTGGCGAGACGGTGGCCTACCCGGCCCCTGTGAAGACCACAGGGGCGAGGTAGGCTACCGCCTCCACACAGGAGTGTTGCGGGGCAACTCGGTGGCCTACCTCGCAGGCGCTGGCCCCGCTGGCCTCCTGGACAGCAGCCAGCATTCCCACACAGTCGGCGCCGTAATGTATTTACCACGCACTGTCCTTGGACTTACCCGTTGTAGTTGGTCTTAACGAAAGGGTCGCGGGGGACGAAGCGGAATCCTTCGACGTTGTCGCAGAAAAGCCGCGCCACGGAGGCGCCCTCTATCGCTCGGATTTGATCTGCAGAGAGGAAGACTCGTCAGGGTGAAGCGTTCCCACGCGATAATTGGAGATCGAGCTTTCTGGGTTGGCCGTGGGCTGGAATGCCCAGTATGTTGAGGACCGACCATGTTTCGCTTCCACTTGCGAAGGTGTCGAAGATCAAAGTCCAATCAACGAGCGCTTTAAGGAAAACGTTTGACCCAAAGAAAGGCCACACGAACACGAACACAACCAGCGTGGGAACTCCACGGAGGATTCTCCATCATGTTCCGGGACTGGCTTAACGACGGCTCTCGCCACAAGATTAATTTTTTTCCCCTCGCTACAGTTTTTTTTTGTTACTGCAAACCTGTCGTATATATTTTCCCTCTTACCTTTTGTGAAAGAATGGGGGAAACCGACGAAGTTGAAGAAAAAGCGATCGGCGAATCTCCAGCGCCAGAACTGGTCCTCGAGGAGGGCCTGGAAGGTGGGGCCGAAGAGCGGGGCCTTGCGGCGCTCCAGCAGCCCTCCCACGTAGTAGTCGACGTCCTCCACGTCCTCGTAGAGCTCCTTGAGCACGTCGATGTCCTGCGGAGGGGAAAACACCGACCATTCAGCGGTCAACTTGGCACTGGTTCGTCTGGATTCGCGCTTCGCACACACACCTTCTGGTGGAGGGTGTCGCTGAGGTCGTCGAAGTCCTCCGCGTCGGGCAGGCCGACGTACTTCCGGTACTCGACGTAGCCGGGCAGGCCGTGGTCGCGGCCGCGCTGGATGTCCACGGCGACGAGGTTGTGCCCCCACTGGCGGCCGTCGGGCTCCCTCGTCGGCTCGTACTGCTGCGTCAGCTGGAACACCCAAATTCGAACATCGAGCGTGGAACGTCGACAGACGCGTAGAGTATCGCTACAGGGGACGCCCCATGAGTGCGAGGGAGACAGACTCACCTCGTTGTCCATGTAGCGGTCCAGGTCCTGCGCCTGCTGGAACGCCATGCCCTGCAGCACGTCGAGGAGGCCGTCCTCGCGCTCCAGCACGGGCCCCGGGTTCTGCAGCCACTGGCTGATGCGTCCGGTGCGCTCGCCGCGCTCGCCCAGCCAGAAGGTGCCCTGCACCATGCTGTGGATGGCGCGGTAGCCGGCCGTCGTCACGTCGTTGGCCGTGCGCGGGTCCACGTCGGCGCGGTACTCGCTGCGCGCGCACGGCCCCGTCGGCGCCAGCCCGCGCTCCCGGACGCGGTCCTGGCCTGCAAACAGGACAGAGTGCAGCCCGTCAGACTCACTCGGTCCGTCTCTCTCGCACCGAACGAGGCATCCATTGGTGGGGTCACACGTTTGATTCGAGTCCGATTTAGCTACTCTGGAGCTGGAAACGCGTCTAGAGTTTTGGCCGCCTCCGCCGGTCTTCTGGCGAACCCACTGTGGAGTGCAAGTCCTTACCCAGGAGCCACGGCAGCCAGTCCCGGTACGTGATGAGCTGCCACTCGGCCACCACCACGCGGCGCGCCTCCTGGTACAGCGTCTCGTCGTCCCAGTGGGGGTTGAGTGCCGACAGTGTGCTAGCCACGCGGTTGTGCTCGCGCAGCCACAGCGTCTGCGAACCAAAACAAACAATGTCACTCGGGAAAGCGGACTTGACAAACTTAAAGATCTGTCCAGGATTACTAGCACAAAAAATACTCTTAAATTTCTGAACCTTACTCAAGGAAGATGTATGTAAATTCGCAAGACGTGTGAATTTTGTTTGCAAGCCCTATTTTTGTGGACAGTGTAACGTAATTTAATTCCGAAGCCAAAGCCTTGCCCAGAGGCACGGCTCGGACTAGACGAGACGCCGCGAGCCGCGAGCTCTGAGGGAATCCCCACACGAAGGCGGAAGGCTGCTGAAGGCTCACCGCGCGCTTCTTTCAAGGAGAAATAATTCACTTGCACGTTGAGCACTCAAATAATCCCAACTCGCGAGCAGCCTGTTTTTGGCGAAAGTCTTAATATATGACGCGCCTCACCTAAAGGCTGAAGCATCCAATCACTGCGCTCGCTCGGCTGAGCCATCGAATGAGAGCGCGCTGACGTCATCGAGATGTCGCCTCTCTCCCTACGAGGCTCTCTACGCAGTTGCGCCGCAGCGGATTGCTTCCGAGCGTCGTAGCTCTGTCTCTCTCGCACTCGCGGGGCGTCTAGGTGCGAGAGAGACAGAGCTACGCAGTGGTCGCAGTGGGTACGCACCTGCAGCCCCGCCAGCATGGGCGTCTGGTTGGTGCGGGGGTCGCCAGTGTCGTAGCAGGGGTGCTGCCCGCAGGCGGCCTTGGGGTTGGCCACGTCGGGGGGGAAGTCCCCCAGGGCGGTGGGCCGCACGCGCAGCAGCCCGCCGCGGAAGACGCGCAGGCGCTGCGCCGTGGCCTCGCTGGAGCCGTACACGAAGGAGGCGTCGATCCAGTGCGTCGAGCCGGACAGCTGTGGCAACGCGTTGCAACGGGGCGGCAGGTTTTAACAGAGCAGGTGGCCGAAACTCTAGACGCGTTTTGAGCTCCAGAGTCGCTAAATGGTAATCGAACCGAACGCGTGACCCCACCGATGGATTCCTCGTCCGGAGAGCAATCCATTGGTAGGGTCACACGTTTGGTTTCAACGACTCCCAGTGTACCTGCTCCGGCTGACTGCTGTTGCAGGTGGTGGCGTTGGTGCGCTCCATGGGGAGGCACGTCCTGTTGAACTGCCGGTAGAAAGGGTCGTTCTCCGAGACGGGAATGGGGATGCAGCGTTCGCCGGCCCCCTCACCGCAGCACGGCCCGATGGCTGCAAGACGAAGAGCGAGTTTATGCCGTCGCAGTGTACCGCCGCCCTGCAGACTCATGCGCTCTGTCTCTCTCGCACCTGCAAGGGACGCCCTATGGGTGCCAGAGAGACAGAGCGATGAAACCGTTTTTCGGAATCAGTCTGCTGATGACGGTCTCTCTCTCCCTCCCTCCCCTACCTTTGTTCTTGGGCGCCGCCCTGAGCGCGAAGTCGTGGCTGACGAGCTGCGACCAGATGACGAACAAGTGCGTGATGTAGGACTGGTGGTCGGTCTGCGGCATGAGGCGCGACACCACGTCCTGGGCCGACGGCAGCGGCCTGCCCCTCAGGCTGGAGCGCGGCAGCCCCCCTGCAGGGAGGGAAAACGGGGAAACCCCGAGCAGTGTGAGTACGTGAGCGAGTGCGCCGTGCCGGCCGTACGCAGAGCGCCAGCGCGCCAGCGCACCAGCGCGACGAGGAATCGACCAGCAAACCAGTTTCGGTTCGGCAGCCGCGACGCGACAGGATGATGAACTCCATCCAACTCCCCGCGCAAAACTTTGCAAGCGGACAGAGTTGTGTTCTGCACGCCGTTCACCAGAGAGTTTCGAATTACTATTGTGCAAAGGGCGGCAGCATGGCATCGAACTGAGCAATTATTTGTCTCAACCATTGGTCGTTGCTTCGACCTGATTTTTCAAAAGTACCTGCAGCTTAAATTTGATTTAATTAATTTACTTGATTGTGTGATTTGGTGCTGCTTGGGATGAACAAGTCACAAGGATTGGCGATGCCTCCTCCCCTCACCCTGACTGTAGTCCGGGGCGACGACGCGCAGGACCGGTGTGTTGGCGCGGCCCAGCCAGGGCTGCTTCAGGTTGTTGCAGGAGCCGTCGATGGGCCGGTACACGATGCCCTCCGCGCACTGCGTCTCCAGGAAGAGGCACGGGTCGGGACTCCGGCTGGGGAACAAGAAAATTTAGCCGGCGTTCGGACCCGCGAGTATATCCCTGTAAGCATTTTCGGCAATGTTTACAAACTGAAGTTTGTTTGTTCACTCTAAATAGTACGAACTCCTCCATCAGTTCTCCGCAACAGTATACTTGGCGGCAGCCATGACGAGAGACCATGTAGGCAGCCCCTTACAGGCGGCCCCTTAAGGCAGTCTCTTAAGGGCAGCCCCCGAAAGGACTCACCTTCCCGCCGAGGCGTACAGCCGCTCACTGAGGGTGGCGGGGCGGGCGGTCGGCGCTGGGGTCGTCGTGGTCGTCGTGGGGTCCTCGCTGGCGGCGGCCGAGCTCGGCGCGCGGCCCTCGTCCTGGGCGACGGCGCTCGCCAGCACCAGGACGACGACGACGACGCCGACGCGGAGGGCCGGCCGGGTAGGCCTGGCGGCAGGCGGCATGGCTTGCTCGGACGCGCGCTGGAGGCGGACTGCGGGACCGGCCAGGACCGGCCTGCGTGCGTAGCGCGGCACTGCGCGTACGGCGCCGGGCTGCTCGCTCTGCCTCTCTCGCCCTCCCGCGGCGTCCAGTAAGGGTGCGAGAGAGGCAGATCCACGAAAGCACGGTTCGGAATCATCCCGCAGGCCGATTCCGAGCGGGGGCTCTGTCTCTCTCGCACCCATACGCGAGCGCACCCATGAGAGCGAGAGAGAGACACGCCGCTCGGAGCGAGTCCGCGGTGACGCAGGGACGCGGCGGGACGCGGCGGCCAAGGCTCCGGGACGCTCCGGGACGCCTCCGGGTCGGCCTGACGTCGAGCCTGCCCGCGGAAAGTCCGGCCGTCCGGCACACCGCAAGTCCACTAATGACTCGTTGACTCGTTCGCATTATACGGCGAGGAATGCCGACGGTGGAGTAGAGGTGTTTGTTCCTCGCTTCTTTTCCTTTTTGCCGGCCGCTTATTTACCTCGCCGGGCAAACCGAGGCGAAAACGTCTCAATCGCACCGAGAAGACGAGATGGACAGAGAGCGGCGCGATGACGCTCGGGGCCTCGCAGAGCCTCGCAGTGTGGGGGCATGGACCACCAGCAGACTCATGCGAGGAGCATTCTCTCTCTCTCTCTCTCTCTCTCTCTCTCTCTCTCTCTCTCTCTCGCACCTGTTGAGGACGCCCAGTGGGCGCGAGAGAGACAGAGCGACGAAAGCTACGTTCGGAAAAGTCTGCTGCTGGACGCATTCGGCGATCCCCGAGGAGTGAGAAAGGCCAGTGAGTAAGCCCCAGTTTTCATGGTTTGTTTTGATTTTCTTTTGGCAATAATGGTGTCAGTCGTTTCAGCTTCGCGGCAGAGGAGGAAACGCAAGATGAGAGAGTGGCACCAAGTGGCCTGCCTTTTGCATTGTCTCCTTCTCTTTCTTCTTTCGCACTTCAGAGAGCGCCTGCCGTGCAGAGAGTAGGCAACACCTTGCCTGCCATGGGCTCGTCCAGCGGCCGTGTGGTAGGCAACCCACCAGCGGGGTGTGCTCGGCGGGACTGCCTATCTGCCGGCGCCACACGCAACAATTTGAAGCCATCGTTCGTTTGTAAAGGGTTTATTGCTTTTAAAGAGGAAATAAATAAAATGATTTGGCGAGCGCTTCAAAAGGGGGTTTGTGTTTATCTGGCCAGCAGCAGCCAAGCCAGCAGCGCCAGGGGCAGGGCGGTGACGGTGGCGGTGGCTGCACTGTTGCGTTGGGTGGTGGACACTGGAGCCTGGGTCGTCCCGGACTTGGGGGTCGTGCGGTCGGTGGTCGGCGGGTTGGTCGGCGGCTTGGTGGGCGGCTTGGTGGGCGCGGCCGTGGTGGAGGCGTCGGCGGGGTTCTCCACGTAGGGCACCACGTTCGTCTCCGCCAGCTGCGTCCAGAACGAGGACGAGTCCTTGATGGCGCGGTCGAGGGTTTGGCCCTCGTAGTCTATGTGCACGAGTCCGAAGGGCCGCCTAAAGAGTGAGAGAGATAGCGTGAGTAGAGCGACGCGTTGCAACGACACGGGTTCTGTCGGCCCTTCCCACACTCACGAGTATCCGCCGGAGAACTCGAAGGAGTCGAGCAGGCTCCAGGCACTGTAGGCCAGCACTTGGACGCCGTAGTCCTTGACGGTCGTCACGAGGGACCGCAGGTAGGCCTGCAGGATGAAGGACGGAAGCATAGTCAGTGTCGACGAGACAACCTAACACAGGTTCAGATTGCCCCTTTCGGAGGCCGAACTGAAGACTGCAGTCGCGGAGGTCCCGGAGGCCCCAGACTCACGCTGAAGTACGCCGCGCGAGTCTTGTCGTGCAGGCCCATGCCCATCATGTCGCCGTAGCCGTTCTCGGTGATGACGATCGGCTTCTGGTACGACTTCCAGGTCCACAGCAGCGCGTCCCGGATGGTGCTGGGGTTGATCTGCGAGGGGCCGGACGGCTCGGGTGAGTTCTCTCGTCAACACTCTTAGCTCACTCACAGGCGCGGAGTGTTGCCACCAGTCCTACCGTGGTGAAGGCGGCCATGGGGCTCCCGCCGCCAGGGACGTTCATGGCGACGTCGATGAAGGGGATGTCGTTGGTCATCTGCCCCAGCACCATGCTCATGACGCCACTCGACGTCGAGTTCATGAACCTGTTGTACGAGGCCGACAAGCTGAAGTAGATGTTGAGGCCGATGAAGTCGGTGGAGTCTGCAAGGGCGGGAAACAGTGAGGCGTCAGCGGTTTGGGAGAGGGACTACTAGAGCGCAGACGAGAAACGCGGACCCACCTACGAGATCCCTCTTCTCCACGTCCGTGAACTTGGGCAGCTTGTCGCCGAGCAGGGTCTTGATGGACTGCAAAGCAACAGAGCGGGGGTCAGGGCCTGCTTGTCGAGTCAGAACGCGGCCGGGCCTTGCCTGACTAGGGACGGGACCGTACCTGGGGGTAGTCGCCGTAGACGACGGGGGCGAGCGATGTGCCGGCGTGCAGCTGGTTGAAGATGTCGGTGGCGTACACGTCCTCGGGGTTCGAGGTCGCGGGGTTGGTCTGCATCAGCAGGGTGGAGTAGCCGACCTTACCTGGAGGCAAAGGCAAAACAACACTCTGAACCACGCCGACAACAGCCTGGCCGGGGCAGTGCGCGGCTGGCCAAAACTCTAGACGCGTTTGGAGCTCTAGAGTCACTGAACAGGACTCGGACCGAACGTGACCAATGGATTGCTCTCCGAACGAGGAATCCATTGGTGGAGTCACACGTTCGGTTCGAGTCCTGCTTAGCGACTCTGGAGCTCCAAACGCGGCGGCGGTGCAGCGCCTCACCGTTCCATTTGCCGGCCTTCACGCCCTGCTGGTAGAACTGGTAGGCGGCCTGGTGCGCCAGGATGTTGTTGTGGATGCACTGGTAGGGGTCCACCTCGGCCTCCGTGCGGAAGCCCGCCGCCACGAACTGCGCCGTGAAGTAGGCGCAGTACATGTTGGGCTCGTTGATGGTCACGAAGATGGGCACCTGGAACGATGGGCCGCCCGGAGGTGAGACTCGGCCGCAGAGCGCTGCAGCGCGCAGCAGCGGGGACATCGGCCACTCACCTTGCTGGCGTACTCGTCGAAGATGAACTTGCTGTACTCGGCGAACTTGTACACCATCTCGCGCGACTGCCAGCCCTTGAACTGGTCCTCGAGGATTTGCGGGTGGTCGAAGTGGTACATGGTCACCTGAAGAAGGCGAGTCGAGTGGCGGTTATCGGTGGGTCACCAAGTTGGAGTGATGCCATTTGATTTCTTCTCTCTCGCACTCACCACCGGGGTCATGCCGGCTTTGATGATCTCGTCGATGAGGTTGTGGTAGAACTGGACGCCCGCGGGGTTCGGCTTCAGGGCGTTCGCCTCCGGCAGCACGCGCGCCCACGAGATGGAGAACTTGTACATCTTGAGCTGGAAGAGGGAGCAACATCCATCTCGGTTAGTGAGGTTTCGGCGGGAAATGTTTCGGCCGTGTTTTGGCGCCTACTACCTTGAGCTGCTTGGCCGCGGCGACATCCTCCTTGAAGCGGTGGTAGGAGTCGGCGGCAATGGCGTGGTTCACCGTGTAGGTGGGCAGGTTGCCCTTGAAGATCACGTGGTCTGCCACACTCTCCGCCTTGCCTGACATGAGGAACACAGAGAGAGAGAGGGAGATAAATTGCCAAAAATGGCAGGGGAATTTCGGGGTACGTCGCTCGAACCCTCGTTGACAAGGTTGGATCGGATAGACACGAGATAACCCCCGACGACGCGACGCTCCTGACGGCCTGCCTGACGTACAGGAGGGAGGTTCAAGTGGTTCAAGAGCAACCGTCACATGAGTGAATCAGAGTTCGCTGCAAAGGGCGGGAGATAAGGCGACGGCCTTCAGATTGCTCGCTGCACTTCGACAACTTTGAGACACACGTGTCCGCACAACAGGTGCGTGCTCCCCGAACGAGCCGCGTCACTCGTGTGTGTGTGTGTGGCTTTCTAAGCAGTTTCCGCGAATTCCCGGCAGTGCTCGGCATATGTAGGCCAGCCGGGAAACCGCTGCGACCCCTCAAAATTTTTTCGCGACCCCACATGGTTGAGAACCACTGGGTTGGGGTCTGTCCAAGCGGACTCACCATCGGCGTCCCACGCCCCCTCGGTCTGCAGCGCCGAGACGCCGGCGCCCCACAGCATGCCGTCGGGCACCCGGTAGCGGTCGGCGTCCTCGTCGGCCACGTCGGCCACGTCGGCGACCAGGTCGTCCCTGTCGGCGACCCTGACGACGTTCGCGGCGGCGGCCGCCAACAGCGCCGCCAACAAAACGGCGCGCAACATGATCGCTCTGGAGTCCGACGGAGGCTGCCACAACAACAAAAACAATAACAACAAATCTCAAGTCTCAGGGCTGGATGCACGCAAAACGTAAAAATAATAACAAAGCGCGCGCACTTCCGCACGCACACAAACGAACACCTTTCCAAAATGGATTTGCACAATCCTGTCAAATTATTATCGGAACACGTGAAATTTTTCTGACAAATTCAAGCGAAATTTCTTCAAAAAATTTGTAAGAAATTTACGCCTCATGCACCACATTGTGTGGGACATTATGCGAAAATTGTGCATCGAAATCTAGTAGTGCGTAAGTCGTGTTCGAAACGGTGCGACAACCGGCTGAACCGTGAGGAGCGTACCTGGTTTGGGGAGGCTCCTGCTGCGGTGCCCGGCTAACAGTGTGTCGAGTACGCTGATTGTTTCGATTTATAGTGGTGCAGCGTCCGATCGGCGTAGATAACGGCGCCTCACGCCTCGGGCCAGTGTCTGCGTCCGCGGGGTGGCGGTGACTCATCCACCGTCGAGGTGGGATTTGGGGAGCGCAGTGATATAATAAGTACGTTTATATAATAAAAAGTGTGATCGGAGATACGCGGCGCAAATCATTGTAGTTCTCGAGTGGGCTGCCCGTGCATGGCTTTGGCTTTGAGGACCCCCATTCGGTAGCAGTGACGGCATCTAGTTTCAGCTGGCGGTCGAAAGTCCAGTCAATAGGTCCCTCAAATCCGGAATTCCACTTCGGGCCCCGGGTTCAAGTGCGGCATCCAGTTCTGGACCATTTCTTTTTTTGTCAAAACCGTACGAGACTGTACGTCCGCAGATACGGCGACAGGTGTCACAGGTCCTACTCAAAACAAATAATAAAAAATAATAATCGGAACTGCAAATTATTACGTCATAACTCCGCGCTCTGCCCCACTCAGTTGGCCGCAGTAAGGACGTGTGGAGGAGAGAGAGAGAGAGAGAGAGAGAGAGAGAGAGAGAGAGAGAGAGAGAGAGAGAGAGAGAGAGAGAGAGAGAGAGAGAGAGAGAGAGAGAGAGAGAGAGAGAGAGAGAGAGAGAGAGAGAGGTTTCGACGGCATCTATTTCAGATACGGATAGGAGCCACTAGATTTGGAGTGTCTCGTCTGGGGTGTGAGTCAACGCATATGGAAGTGGGATGTCAAGGCGTCGTGGCCAGTACACTGCCAAACTGTGACGTATCATCTAGAAATATAATGATTGAAGGCATTAGGGAGTGAGTGTTCCTGCAAATTTTTCTTCATTTTTGTCATTTTTTGTTCTTTTTAAAATTATTGACTTTGTTGGATTTGTTGACACGGTTGCGTGTGTTGGACAGTGGTTTGTGCAGGGGAGGGAGGCCACTGAAAATCAACGAGACAACTCTGTGAGCATTCTGTTTTTTATTAATAAAACTCCTTCCAGTTCAGTCTCCTGCAGCCCAAGTCCGCACTGACTCTCGACGCGCCCACTTCCCATTTGAAAGGGCGTCGTAGACGGACCGTAACTTACACTAACATTTGACGCGTAACAGCACAATACGAGGACGAGAATGAGAGCCAGGTTGGCGGTCAGGGCGGCGGCCCGGCGGCGGGCTGGCGGGCCGTGGGGATGAGGGTGGTGACGAGCACGGCCAGCGAGGCGACGAGCAGCGCGCAGACGGTCCACAGCCGCAGCCAGCGGAACGAGTCCTTGCTCACCAAGTACCACAGCTCGGACGCCATCTCCCTGCCGCGGCCCCAGCAGTCCAGCAGCAGCGCTCTGCGGCAACAACAACAACAACGTTTCAGAAATGCCGTTTGTTCGATCGCAATAGTAAGTCCTGGGTGCAGCACAGTGGGCCGGAAGAACGGTGGCGGCGGCCAAAATTCTAGACGCGTTTTGAGCTTAGTCGCTAAATGCGACTCGAACCGAACGTGTGACCCCACCAATGGATTCCTCTTTCGGAAAGCAATCCGTTGGTGGGGTCACACGTTCGGTTCGAGTCGCATTTAGCGACTCTGGAGCTCGAAACGCGTCCGGGGTTTTGACCGCCCCTAGGACCCTCGACCAAACATTAGTCCTTGGACGTGGAACTCACAGCCGGTCCAGTAGTGAGTCCGGGGCGCCCTGGGTGCGGCAGACGCCGTTGGCCTGCAGCTGCTGCAGGTGCTGGAGGTGCTGCAGCTGACGAAGGTGCTCCTCGTGCTGGTCCTCGTCGTCGTCCTCGTCGTCGTGGTGGAGCACCGCCCCGTTCTGGCCGAGCGCCGCCAGGAGGCAGCTGGAGGGGGAGAGGCGACACGAAAAATGAAAACTCGGTTCTGCTGTTTTGCCGTCGTTGCTCTGTCTCGGGGCGTCCCGTGCCGGTGCGAGAGGGAGGCCTACCTGTCGGGGCGCGCGTGCAGGGCGTCCTCCTCGGCCGTCTCGGCCGCGCTCTCCCGCCGACTCTCCGACAGCTCCGCGATCTCCGACATGCACGAGCTGGGCGCCGAGTGGGCGTAGGCGCTGCAAAGGCCGAAACAAGCAAAAGCCAGAAACATTTTGAGCACGTGTCGGGCGAGGGCGAGGAGGCTCTGGGAGTTTGATTGGAGCACGCATACGCACTCGACGCGGCTGTCCCTCCGGCCGGCGTCCGCAGGGTGGCCGGCGTGGCCCGGGGAGGGAGGGTGCGCCTCGGTGGGGCTCTGGTCCAGCGCCAGGGACACCCGCCGCACCCGGCTGGGCGCCGACCACCTGCCCGAGCGACCCTCCTGCGACAGACAGAGAAAGACGGTGCTGTAACCGGCGGCAAGCAGCACGCCAGGCTAGGCCTGCGTGGGCCTGCGCCCGGAGGGTAGGCAGCCCATTCGACTTCAGCGCTCCGTCTCCGCCGCACCAATGAGAGTGCGAGAGAGACGCGTGGCGGTGGCGCTCACCAGGACCTGCGACCCGCTGCCCGGGCTCCTGGACAGCACGGCGACGTCCCCGTTGGCGGGCTGCGACCCCAGCGACCCGGGGCGCGGCATGGCGGCGATCGAGGCCCTCCGCTTGGTGCCCTGTTGGCACGGACACGCCTTTACCGTCGTTTTCATTCACGTTTTTACCAGTGGTAGAGTAGCCAGAGTGGTGCCTCACCGCCAGGGGGTTGCTGGCCAGCGCCGAGAGCGACCGGTAGCGCGTGGTGCGCGGAGGCGGCTCGTCCGTCATGTCCTGCAGCTCCTCCATCACGATGTTGTTCTCCGACAGCACTCGCCTGCAAGCAACAGTCACGTCTCTGTCTCTCTCGCACTCGCGGGGCGTCTCCTGCAGGTGCGAGAGAGACAGAGCGACGAAAAGGCCGTCGTCCTCCACATTTCGACTCACTTCTTCTCCTCCAGCTCCTGGCACAGCTTCTGGTGCAGGCGCTTGAGGCTCTCCACGTACAAGTCTATGACCTCCATGGCGTGGGACAGGCGGTCCTCCTGCTGCACGGCGCCGTACATCTGCAGGCAGTGATTCAGACCGTCAGCGAGGCCGCGGTCTGTCTCTCTCGCACGCACTCGACGCGCCGAAGGAGTGCGAGAGAGACGGCGCGACAAAGCACGGCGAGGCGCGAGGTCACGCATTGACTTGGACTCACCTCCGCGGCACTTGACACTTGCCGGCTGGCGTGGTCGAGGGCCTCCAGCTGGGTCCTGAAGCGGTCCAGGAAGTCGCCGCGCTCGGCGTCCGACGCGGCGCGGGACAGGCGCTGCAGCAGGACAACAAGGAGAGTGTGCTGTGAGTCGGAGTGGCGCACAGTGGGCCAGAAGACCGGCGGAGCCGGCCGAAATTCTAAACGCGTTTTGAGCTCCAGAGTCGCTAAATGGGACTCGAACCGAACGTGTGACCCCACCAATGGATTCCTCGTTCGGAGAGCAATCGATTGGTGGGGTCACACGCTCGGTTCGAGTCGCATTTAGCGACTCTGGAGCTCAAAACGCGTCCGGGATTTCGGTCGCCTGCCGGTCTTCTGGCCCACTGTTCGGCGGTGTCGATACCCCGGCGGCCGGCCCGATCGGCGGCGCTACCCCGGGCGGCCTTCTCTGGAAGCGCGGGGTAGCGCCGCCCGGGGAAATGGCAAACAAAAGTCATTGACTTTGGCCGGCCAGTGTGCCATACAGTGTGCCGTCATGGTGCCATCGCATCGCCGCGCTCGGCCACTCAGAAATAAACGATCGCGCGCTATCGCAGTTCCTGCTCACCCGAAAAGCGCGATAGCGCGGAGAAATTCGCGAAGAGTCTAGTCTGCCTGTCTGGGCCTTCCCATGCCTCAGCGCGCCTCAGCGGGCAGATTCCGCGAGAGAGACAGAGCGACCGAAGCACTGTTCGCAATCGGCAGAACAAGAAAGAGGAAGAAGACGCACCTTGTGTATGTCCAGCAGCCTGTTGAACTCCGTCGACATGTTGTTCTCGGCCAGGTCCCGCTGCCGCTGCTGCCGCAACAGCCGCTGCCCCAGGGTCATCTTGTCCGTCTTGAAGGCGAGAGACAGGGCCGTGAACTTGCTCTGGAAACAACCACGACTCCTGTGAGAGGGCGTACGACTTGTCATGCTTCTTTTTGGTTATGTTTATTCCTTCGGGTTTGGGCTGCAGCCGGCTGCAGGGCCGTTTCGTCGCTCTGTCTCTCTCGCTCCCACATGGGACGCCCCGTGAGTGCGACAGAGACAGACTGCGTGCGAGACCAACGAGTCCAGCGGGCCCGTGGGCGGCTGCCTTTGAATCATTGCCTCTGTGGGGCCCGGCAGAACCATGGCAGAGCCACGGCAGAGCCCGGCCGTAATTAAGATGATTGCATTAATCAGGGGTTTTATTGGGCGACCTGCAGCGCTGCAGCTCCCGCCCGCTTTCGGGAACCTTTCGGGAACCCCTCCCGGAACCGGACCAGCCGGGCGGGCGGCGCCGGACCAGATCTGGTTCCTAGTTCCGGAGTTCTAGAGTCCGTCCCAAGTCACCGCCCCGCCGCCCAGGGCAGATCCCCAAGTCGCGTGGGCGGAAGCTAATTCCAAATTCTAGAGACTCTGCTCCAGTGTACTGTACACAAATGTCGGTCCCCTGACACACACACACAGACACACACACAAACACACACAAACACACACACGCCCCGATAATAGGGTACTTTCGTAGAATCCTGAACCGGAAGCAAGCAGACCAGCAGACGCCAAATTGGCCGGAAACTAACCTCTCTTCGGATCCAAAACTATAGCCGAGCTGTACAAATATTGCTCGCGAAACACATATGCACTGCAAACAAGTATCAAACGACTATTTATGTTCAAGTGTGGCCGATATCTTTGACGAACGTCTCTTTCCCATGTCAAGTTTGGATCTACTTCCGCCAACATGGCGTCTGTGTGCTTCCGGCTCAGGGATCTACGAAAGTACCCTATTTAAATTGCTAAATCGGAAGGCACGTCGTTTGACGGTTGAGATGCCCTTTGATGCCCGGTGGTGCTCGTCGCAAAGGACCCAAAGGATCTCCCTGAAAGGGGGCGGCGCCTCGCGAGACACCCACCCGCATGTCGCCGCGCTATCTCTCGGGTACCAGCACGAGCAAGGAGTGAGTACGGCGGCCGGTAGCGGCGCTGGCAGAGGGACAGAAATGGCCCATTCGGTTCAACGTTTTTTGCATTCGGGACGTTTAACAGTGTGATGTCGTTCTCGCGCGACTGTATACGGCGCGTGCACTGGTAGCACAGGCCTCGCGCGAGGCGTCATTGACATGTCCACTGCCACGGCACCGCTCTCGTTGTCCACCAGGTGGTTGCCCCCCTTCCAGCGTGTCTCCCGGGTGGCGAGTGCAACAACGTGCCGGCTTATCTGGAGTACTGTAATGTCTGCCGCGCCGTGCCGTTGCGCAAGTGAGACGAAAGCCCGGCCGTGCGGCGCGCGACGCACCGTGGGCCAGAAGGCCGTTGGAGGCGGCCAAAACTCTAGACGCGTTTTGAGCTCCAGAGTCGCTAAATGGGACTCGAACCGAACGTGTGACCCCACCAAGGAATTGCTCTTCGAACGAGGAATCCATTGTTGGGGTCAAACGTTCCCACGTGCGCCCACTATACGCCAGCACTACTTACGCCTAACCGAAATGGGACTGATACACCGTCAAAATTAAGTCTTAGGCCTTTACTCTGGAAAAACAAAACAACGTGACAGGTAGAGACTGCCTTGTGAATGACTGCGCCGAACGCGCAGTGCTCCCAACAACCACAACAACAACAACAACAACAACAAGCGTGAGTGATGTGCCCTTCCCTTGCACGCGCTGAAAGCAACCAAAACAAACAACAACAAAGGGACGACGGCGTTTTGCTGTCGCATGTAATTCAATGCTTATCCGCGGGCCGATCGCACAGAGGCAGAAACCGCACTTTGTGCGAGATGTGGCTCTGGCCTCCTCCTCCCCCCCCCCCCCCCCCCCCCAATGCAACCTTGGGGCCGGACGGCGGAAGCGCGGCGGTGCGCTGCTCGACTTGGCCGCTCGGTCGCGGCTTGGCGGTGCACAGTGTGTCAGAAGGCCGGTGGAGGCGGCCGAAACTCTAGACGCGTTTTGAGCTCCAGAGTCGCTAATCAGGACTCGAACCGAACGTGTGACCCCACCAATGGCTTGCTCTCCGAACGAGGTATCCATTGGTGGGGTCACACGTTCGGTTCGAGTCCTGATTAGCGACTCTGGAGCTCAAAACGCGTCTAGAGTTTTGGCCGGCGCCACCGGTCTCCTGGCCCACTGTGCGGTGCTTGGCGGCTCGGTCGCGGTGCTTCGCGGTGCTTGGCGGTGTGGGTGGTCACCGCCAAAGGTCATCCCGCGACGGCGCGACGACCGGACGGACGCGCAGCAGCGCACCGCGTCGGCCGATCACGAAAAAAAAGAGACAAAAAAGAAGAGAGGCGGCGCCGAAAGAGAAGGACGTTTGAATATAAAAGGATTTGTCCGAAACGGAAGAGACGCTTACAACGCAAAGGAAGAAAAAAAAAATAGCGCTCCCGGCGGGAGGTTTACTTTTTAAATCCGGAAGGAAGAGGCCTTTTTGAAATATCTCAAACTTTTGCTGCGTGGACAAATTAACTTTTCGGCCGCAGTGTGAACCTTCACTTCTCGCGTGTCTGGTACGATTTTATAACGTTTACTTCGTTAAAGGGAAATAAACATGCTGGCACGACGCTGCTTGGAGAAGGAAGCACTTTGACGTAGGGCGAAGGAACAGGTGCACCCTCGGACCAAATATCTAAAAATCCGATTTTGTGTTTGACGCGGCGCGGGGGGGGGGGGGGGGGGGGGAAAGAGCTTCCAGGTTGGGGTCCCGGCAGGAGCCAGCAGCATCCAGGTCGTGTATGGGGTATCGCGTGTCTCAAGGGCCGATACAGCCGTTATTACTTTACTCGTCTTTTTCCGTATTTTCCCGTCTCGACCAGGCCTGCCTGCCCGCCGGGCTGCCTGCCCGCCTGGCTGGCTGGCTGGCGTGCGTTTCGCCCTCCGTTTCGCCATACCCTCGACGTGCGTTTGACAAGGCGAGACTCCCACACCGCCACCAAAATCGCCGGAATAAATTGGAAGCTGCTGCTTCAGTTCTGCATCGTTTGTTGTTGTATCGCTCTCGAGGCGGGGCGGGAGGGCAGAGCGTTTCCGCAGAGCGGCGTGCATGAGGCCGAGTCCCGGGGCGGCGCCGCTGACTTTGGCCGCTATGAGAAATCGCGTGGCGACGGCCGGCCGGACAGTGACATATCGTGCAGGCAAATTCGCGCGACCGGAAATACGCGTGTAGTATGAAAACTTGCTGCCGCCCATCGCGGACGGATGGTGACTCAGCGACGCGGCCGCATCACAGTGGAACCAGCGCTTGAGCAGCCGTGACGTGGAGTGGGGAGTTCTCACACGAAACAAGCCACTGCACCAGTCCGGTCAGAGGCTAAATTGCCGCCGGCGAGTTGTTTTCTTACCTCAATATCCTTGTCCGAAACGCTGCCCCTGCAACAAGCGAAAGAGTTCGGTGAGACAAAACGCGAAGGTGAAAGGAACCGTACACGCACTCAAATTAAATAAACCCGAGAAGCTCCCGCCGCGCTATCCAAACACAAACGGCTCCAGTTTGCATTGATTTACAAAGCGGCTGGCATAATGGTCGGACAATCGCCCCTAGCCATTCTGAGAAGATTGCCGGGCTGGCATGGCAGGCACAAGCCAACGGCAGCCAAGGTGCCGAGTGGCTGAGTTACGGCCGAGCCAGAATAAACCAAACGCCCGGCGGGGAGCTGCAGCCCGCTGCGGCTCGACCTACCGCAACGACGGGCCCCTTACAGTGTCGCCGAGTGAACCTAACCTTGCTTACAGAACCTGAAGCTCACTGACCAAGCGTCATTTCATCAAACTAAAACTGACGTAAACCAAAGCCGACGTCATTTGACCAAACCTGGCGTTGTTTGACCTAACGTGGCGCCATTTGACCAAACCTGGCGTCATTTGACCAAACCTGGCGTCATGTACCCTAACCTGGCGCCGTTTGACCAACCCTGGCGTCATTTCGTCATTTGACCAAACCTGGCGCTATTTGACCAGAACCTGGCGTCATTTGACCAAACCTGACGCAATTTGACCGAACCTAACCTGACAGGCTGAGGTGACCTTGCGTGCCCGGTCGATAATTACTTTTCCGAGAGTTAGTTTTCTAGCCAAACTCCAAACTGTTGGGCACTCCACTGGGAAAGTCCGGCCCGTGGCCACGCCGCCTCGGCGTTCGTTCGGGGGTCGCGCGCCAAAACCCGTCCACTCTGCAGATGGACTTCATTAATCCCTCGGTGCGTGTCGAACCCGGGGCCCCGCCTGGCCGGGCCGCCTGGCCGGGCCGCCTGGCCGTGCGGCGGTTCGCGGTCGCCCGAAATCATTATCTAGAGCCTGTTTGCAGAAGGCCCATCGGGCTAGCGCGCTAGCGGGGCCTGGGCTGAGGCCTGGGCCAGCCCGGGCCAGTCCCGGACCGACCCCCTGCGACGCAACATTAATTCAAACGTCAAGCCGTGACAGCCGCGCCTCAGCCAGGCCCAGGGCCGCGCTCTCATATACTTGTTGCGCTGTGTGTGTGTGTGTGTGTGTGTGTGTGTGTGCGTAATGCACCGAGAGCCAACTGAGCAGGCTTTTAGGCGCGTTAATTGGGCCGCGTTTCGCACCCAGATTGCTGCCTTATGATCCGCCGGCGGCATCTGGCGTCTGGAGGAAAAAGAGAGAGACGGAGACGGGGAGTCAGAGCGACAGCGGAGAGAGAGAGAGAGAAGAGGGAGAGAGAGAGAGAGAGAGAGAGAGAGAGAGAGAGAGAGAGAGAGAGAGAGAGAGAGAGAGAGAGAGAGAGAGAGAGAGAGAGAGAGAGAGTCTGGCCTCCCTCAGGGCGATGCAGGCGACGCAGCCGACAGGGTGTGACGCTTGGCAGCGCTTGGCAGGCTGGGGAAGAGCGCCTCGAGGCGCAATGCGTCAAAAGCGACCCGAACCACTCCATTTATTCTCGAATTGGAGAGATCGAGCGAGAGTGACCTTTCATTCGGACCATCAGTAACCCCTTTTTTTCTCGCGCTCATCTTCAAACCTTTCGGAGTTTTCATCTCGGGAAGTGACCGACCATGACCTTCGCCGCGGGGCTTTCCCGCGTTCCCCTCACTCGCTTTCCAAACTCATCTATACACTGTGGGAATTTTAGTTGTCACTTAGTTTGTCACGCCCAAGTGATGAATAAACATTAAGCACGATTTTGCCATGAAGTGGCGCTGTGGTGGTAAGCCCACACCACTCCACACACTTTGTTGCCAATATTATTATTTCGTCTTTGACACTCGATGCCCTAGCCTCCTAGCCGTCCCCCTCGGACCGGGCCACGTCGTAGGGGCCTCCAGGCCAGTAAACACACACACACATACACACATATCGCAAACACGGGTACGTAGACCTTCCCCCACCCCTGCCCAGAGAAGTGGGTCAAAACACACGTAGGGTGACCGGACCTGATGTGCCGAAGCAGATGACCGCACTGGCTGTGCTCACAAGACGATGACCCCGAGGGCCAGACATCGCGCGCTCGCCCGTCCGTCCGTCTGTCTGCGAAGTGTCTGCTCGACTCACGCATTGACACACACACACACACACACACACAAACACACACACACGCACGCACAAATATTCGCGAGTGCAACTTGATACCGTACGATGAATATGCGTAGAAACGTAATCCTACGCAAAACAAAATTCAAAATAGTCCCTTTTTCTTTTCAAGGATTTTTTGTTTTGCCATTTTTTTTTATTATTTTTCTTTTTTTTTTGCGGTTGCCAACGGAGACCGGCAACTGGCCCGCCACCCGAAAGATCTCGTCACGTCCGCTTCGGAAGCGAAGCAAAGCGAAGCCGAGGCGACCGGAAGCTCTCAAATCGGCCCGCCGCGCCGCCGCCGCAGACAAACCAGATTTTATTTCAATCTTTGCGAAAAAGTAAAAAAAAAGAAGAAAAATTGGGTCGCATCACGAGGACGCCGTGTGCACACTGATATGGCGGCCGCAGCGCTGCTGTCCGAATCGCAAATCAGCCGCTGCCTGTTCTATCTTTTTCGTTTTTTTCGGTCAACAGCGAGGCGTTGCACTGCCCGTTGGAGCGGATAAGGCCCAAACATTGAAACGTGTTTTCTCGAACCGTCGGAACCCAACGACCGCCGGAAAGCGCATGGCCCGTCTCCGGCTTTTCTCGCGATCCGAATCCATTCCGCCGGTAATCGCACCCATCGCTCGGATCGACCGCCTTCCCCGAATCAAGCCCGTCTCTCTCGCACCCGTGTGGCACGCTGCGGCGCCCTGCGGCACGGGCCACGACAGCGAGAGAGGCAGAGGCACTGTTCGGAACGCAGGAAAACAGCAATATGAACGAGAGACAAGCGGCTGTGGTGTACCAACGCAAACATGCGAGCAACGATCTACTACATTATTTGGAAGTGTGAGCTGAGACCGCTCTGCGTCGCTTCGCGCTGCATCGGCCGATAAGTGACCGGCTCCTTGCTCGCCTCTATCGCCGCCGCCCAGGACACCACTCTCTCTCTCTCTCTCTCTCTCTCTCTCTCTCTCTCTCTCTCTCTCTCTGCAGCCCCCAGCAGCGTGAAGGCACAATGCGCCCCCCGTTTTTGGCGGGAACAGAGGTGACACCGGACGCAGCCAGGCGAAGACGCCAGGCGATGATGGCAGTCGATGCCGTCGGTAGATTTATTCTGGTCGGGGTTAGGTCAGGTCAGGGCCCTGGCTGGCACACTGGCTGGCAGGCTGGCCCGCCGCGCTGCCGCCGGGCCGGGGGATGGGTACTCCGCCTCAAAAATAGTTTCCTTCCACAAAAGCGCCGATCTCCCCCGGGGCGTGGGCCTCGGGGTTGACGGCGGCGGGGGGCTTTCCGCTTGCTTTCGTGCGAACCGGCGGCGCGGCGGCCTGAGCCTACACGGGCGGACTGGGGAGTGGGGGGGGGGTTAATTTGAAAAAGGCGCCAAACATCAAAAAACAGCCCGCGGACCACGGAAGTGCGGAGCGCGGTCGCGCGGAGAGGCTTGGATGCCCTTTCCATTTGCAGCGTTTGCGGCCTTCTTGGCAAGCTGCGCCCCGCCCCGCCCCGCCCCGCCCCGCCCCGCCTCGGCGCTGGGACGCCTCGCTCGCTGGACGAGCCTTTATCCTGTATGATGGATGGCTTGGCCCGGGGCTGGAGCGGGGGCTGGGAGGGGGCAGTTTCGGCAGTGCCTATCCCTACTTCTCGCAGGCGCTTTAGAGAGCCCCTGCAGGGTAGGCAACAGACACACAGGGGAACACTGCGGGCTTGCCTATCCTACATCCCGCAGGCGCTTTACAGAGCCCCTGCGGGGTAGGCAACCGCCACACAGGGGAACACTGCGGGCTTGCCTATCCTACATCTCGCAGGCGCTTTACAGAGCCCCTGCGGGATAGGCAACCGCCACACATGGGAGCACTGCGGGCTTGCCTATCCTACTTCTCGCAGGCGCTCCAAGGACTCTTTTCAGAGCAGGCGACAAACGAAAACGGAGGCAAAATATTGCGAAATTTGACGTGTCACTCGCGTCACCACGCATACACCGCGGCCTCTGCGTTGCGTTCGGGGCGTGGCCTGCCGTGGCCTGCTTGCTGTGCCGGAGGTCCTTACGCCCACGACCTGTCCTTACGCCGAACCGGGCGACGGACCACGCCCCGCCCCTCGCACACAGTCACTTCATTCATTACCCGCCATGCATAACACTCCGATATGTGTGTGCATGTGTGTGTGTGTCCTCCGCCCAGGAGGAAGAGAACCAAGCGGTAGGCGTTTCTGCAAATTGCAAGCAGGAAGTATATAGCGGCACGGAAAAAACCGAGAAAGGTACAGGAGTAAATGATTAAAGGAGTATTTGAAGGCATCGTTTGGGAGGACCTCTGCAAGGGGCTGAGACGGAGCGCGTCCCCTGGCTGTGTGTGCGTGTGTGTGTGTGTGTACACGTTGCCGTGTACGTGCAAGGGACGGAAAAGCACGCACACTCTGCCGCCAGTCCTTTGTGTGCGGTGGCGTCCGCGGCATACGCAAATAAAGCAGTCGCTTTCGTTTTCTGCAATTATTTTTTATTTATTTATTTTTTAGTTATTTTATTTTTGCGCTCTCTCGTCCTCCTCCCCCTCCTCCTCTTGCTGTTTGGCTTTTTCCAAAGTGGCGTTGACTGGGTCACAGAGGTCCGCATCTAAAATGCACGTATAATCAGTGACATCTCTCTCTCTCTCTCTCTCTCTCTCTCTCTCTCTCTCTCTCTCTCTCTCTCTCTCAGTGTGTGTGTCTGTGGCCCCCGCGGCACCGACACACCACGCTCCGTGACCTCTTTCCCCTTTTCCTCCGCGGGGGATCGTTCATTTCGTTCGGCAGGCAATGTCACGACCACTGTGGAGTCGAACTAGCGGCAAGCCAGGAAGCCAGGCAGGCAGCCAGGC